TAGTTATTAGCTAGTAAGTCTTGAGTCTTTACTTAAGTCTTACGTAAGTCTTTACGTAAGTCTAAGTCTTTACTTAAGTAAGTCTTTACTTAAGTAAGGTAGTAAGTCTAGTAAGGCTTGAGGACGTGAAGGCACAATTAATGCTCTCTCTATCAAAAGCAACAATCAAATGTTAGTGAAGAGCTTTTTGTTATTATCTTCACTGCTCGGTTTAAATTACATTGATGTTTATAATTCATTAAGCAAGTTATTTACTTCAGATTCCTTCACAATTAAAAATGTTGTCTTATGTATAAAATTGACCAGTATTTTTATGAAGTGTACAAATAGTCTGTCCTTATCCAATGTTTTTTGTATATATATGCCGTTTCTATTTTCATTTGAGGTCTACATCTCCTGCTCACACAGATTCTTAGACAATTATATTGTATGTATGTATGGTAGTTTGCGGGAGTTGAAAAAAAAAGAGTCCGTGGCTTATACATCTAGCCATACAAAATACTTTTTTTTTGCCTATTGTATTACCGTATCACAGGTATATATATATATATATATATATATATATATATATATATATATATATATATATATATATATATATATATATATATATATATATATAATATGTTTGTCGAACATTTATATAGTTTTGAAAATACAGACAGGCTACTGTTCCTTGCGCCCAGCCGCTGCGTGGATTGTCATGCTAGGGCAGCTGAGTTATCTTGTCAGCTGTGTTGTGGTAGGTCAGCTGTGTTATGGTATCTCAGCTGTTACAGTATTTCAGCTTTGTTTTGGGAAGTCAGCTCCAAATGTGCTATAATGTCATCTGTGTTATTTTAACGTCAAGTGGGCTATAGAATGTCAGCTGTAGCGTAGCACATGAGCTGTGTTATGATATGCCGGGTAAGCTATGGCATATTAGTTGGCTTTATAGCACGTCAACTGTGCTGTTGTACATGAGCTATGCTCGGATGCAGCAGCAATCTTGCACGTCAGCTACATTAAGGTACAGAGTAGCTTAAATATTATGAACAATAAACAAACAATTGGGTCATGATACATCCAATTATTTCGTTATTAGTCTTGGTACAATCGTTATCTGTTCGTTATGTAGCCACGGAGAGGAGTCTGAACTTGGCATATATAATATAACTGGTGCCCAGGAAGGCCGTCTGTGAGCCAAGCTGGCGCCTTCCCCCGAAACTTTTAAAAACAGAACGTGTCCATTTTAAAGTAAAGAGTTGGGAGGAGAGCTGTATACCACATCCTCCATGAGGTCGGCCACTCCACCATGCTTTCACGGGCGGGCGACCTTATTAGGGCTGCGGGCACGGCCGCTTTATCCCGACGATATTCGGTCAGAAACATTGTATTGTATGTTACACGCTTGCTATACCCAGGGCCGGGCTCTGGGACGGAGCCAGAGTGTCGGCAGCCCCTGCTTGCTCTCTACAGTGGGCCGCTCTCACCCTCCGAGGCCCAGTCAGCAGTCTAGGGTTTCACTATTGCTAATTGGCCCTCGGAGCACCAATCAGCATCCGAATGTTTCACTTATCAAGTGCTAATTGGCCCTCAGCGCACCAATCAGCAGCAGTTTCACTATCCTAGTGCTTATTGGCCCTCTGAGCACCAGTTGGCAGCCAGAAGTATTTTTCAAACATTTATTTAATTAGGGAACTCACTAACATGATGCGTTAATTATTGTTTACTAGACTCAAAATTTCAACCTCCAGCAAAGGTTAATTGCCCAAGAGCTCGAGGAGCAAATATAAATATTGATTATATAAGATGTGGTGGTCGGCACTCGAGTGATGTTCTGGAGTTGTAGCCGTCAACTGCTCATAGGAGATAAATATACATTTTGTAAACTAATGTTCCAAAATGGTTTTCTTATCCTTCGCTTACAGATGGAGAGGTAAACTGTGTTTAGCTGCAGCTCATTAACGTAACTGATTTCCTATATATCAGCTGAAATAAGGTTATTAACTATAGTTATAAGGGTGAATAAGAGTATCACCTTTAAATGTGACAAATAATTGCCACATCATGGCACAAAAACCGACGTTCTGGCTTTTGTTGAAACGTCTACAATCTGTCATATCACTTGATGCGTCTTCTTTTTTTTTACGAATCTAAAAAGTTGTTAAAATTACGACGTATTACTCAAACGTTTTCTATGCACCTGCCTCTATATGTCAGGTGGGTTGCTTGGGCTCGCATTTTTGAGGCAAAGAGAGTCATATTTTACGGAAAGTTAATTTTACTAGTTAACAGGCTGTCCAGTTAAGCCTGAACATCTTTGGCAACAAACTAGACGTCAGTATTGTATACCGGACACATGTTATGACTCGAATCTTTCCCGTAAATCTGGCAACCTTACAAAGATCGCAGCCACCAACAGCAGCAGCTTCCTAAATATCACCAATAATACTAGTTTTCTGGTCTAGTCATGTACAAGATTCAAGATGCCATCCTTTAAAAATCATATGAAAAATTATTAGTTTTCATCTGAAAAATATTCTATTGAGCTGAGATAATGGCGTGAGTTACCGAGTGCCAGCAGGCAGTGTCTTCGCCATATCCTCTGCACGAGTGACCTAAGCCGCTTATAAATTTGTTGTTATAGATTCAGCTACTCGGAACAAGTTCCAAGTAGCACGGGCTATGGTGAGCCCGTAGTGAACTTACCTGGCACAGGAGCGGTGCTGTGTGTGTGTGTTTGCTTATAAATCACCCCTGAGCTCTTATAAATCACTCCTGACCCTTTATATGTCATCCCTGAGCTCTCATACATCACCCCTATACCTTAGCCTTTGCCTAAACAATATATTGATAGGCTTACAGCAGCACAATGCGGATGTCACTCTGGTAATGTTAACATATATATTATACGCTTGTCATATTGTCGCAGTGTCACAAGCGTATACAGAATATTCACTTGTGTTACATAGTGGTAATATTGAAATACACACTATATGTTTTTCACACTGTGTAATGGTGAAATATTATAAGCTTGTCACATTGTCGTAATGTTGAAATACACACTGTACGGTGACACCGTGGGAACTGGTTAGGGGGTGAGCGGATATTCCCACAACTGAGTCTACTTATTGTACGGAGCTGCGTCAGTGTTACGATGGAACAATTCTCGTAACTTCAAGCTACTGGAGATGATGACGTCGTTTCCTTGCAGTAGAAAAATAGTCAAGTTAGAATTGAAAACTATTCAAGAAACAAAGCGGTGGTGATGGTGTTCACCAGTAAGAGTTCATTTACACTCTGGAAATATATCATTCACTATTGAGGATATAGCTATATTTACTTGTGTATACATATTTCCGACGTGTTAATCAATTTCGAAAGGTTGTTTTATTAGTTTCGGACTTGTACGAATACAACAGCTAGTAATAAACTTTGCAATGAAGCACCTATGTATTTACAATGTATCATTATGCATTTTAAGTAAGTTTTGTTAATACCTAAAATATTTTCAATATTGGATATTACTGGCTAATAGAAGAGTTTCTGTTTATGATTTAAAGTCTATACATTTACACAGATTATATATTAATTATACATATGTCATATATCGCGAAATATGGATAGTGTAAGAATTTCAGACACTGGTGGAGACATGATAAGTGTCCCTCGTTCATGTCAGCGCGACGCTGCCGTCGACAAGGCTACGAACACAAACGCGACCCTACACAAGCGAGACATTAGTGTTACTTCTGCCCTTCTCCACTCTGTTCAGATTTAATATATTGTAATCATGTTGTTATCATCCTCCACGTCTAAATTTTAAGCTTTAGTGAAATCAAAAGCGCCGCAATATCGATGCCACCTCGGAATAAAGAGTATGGGCATCAATAAGTTAGGTGTATTTCCTAGGCTTGAACTTTTCTAGTTAAGCAAATCCACTTAAAATTTGATGCTCGTGAAATCGTGAGAACGTGTCGTTGCCTAACGCCACTGTGGATGTATGCGATGGGAAACCCACGCGTGTGTCACCAGTCTTGTACATGGGTACAATAATAGTTACTTTAAGCGGTCTTCCCAACCACTACTAAAATCAAGACCACATCTCTTTGCCAGATGTTGCTTAAGCTTAAGCCTCAGGAAGATCAACTTCCAACAAAAATACATTATACGACTTAAAGCTCGCCCCCTTCACACATATATATATATATATATATATATATATATATATATATATATATATATATATATATATATATATATATATATGCGAACAAGCCTGAATGGTCCCCAGGACTATATGCGACTGAAAACTCACACCCCAGAAGTGACTCGAACCCATACTCCCAGGAGCAACGCAACTGGTAGCTACAGGACGCCTTAATCCGCTTGATCATCACGACCGGACAAAAGGAAGTGATAGCCGAAGCTATCGAATATAGAACATATATATATATATATATATATATATATATATATATATATATTATATATATATATAATATATATATATATATCGTATATATAACATATATATGCAGAATACATACCGAGGCTGCACCCCGGTAAGGCTGAACCCCGAGCCTACATGGTTCTCAAACCACTCAATGGTGTTTAAATTGACTTGTTAGCAAGCGAAGCTGTTGCACATTCCGTCACTGATAGAAACAATATTAAGTAAATAAATAAAACAACTGCGAGAAATATTCAACGTTTCCCTAGAGAATTTTACTTATTTCTACTACTGTTAGGCATCGTTGGCCGATGGCTCCTCTCCACAGTTCAAGTAAGTTTATTGAGATAATAAAATAAATCCCAAACTGTATAGACTAGTTTAGGCTATTTCTATCCTCCACCCCCTCCCTCCCCCTTCAAACCTGCTTCCGGCAATCAGTAATCAGCATTTTTATCAGCTGTGTGTCATTTCCCGCGAAAAGGTGTGATAATTTGGCGGGTCGTACGTCACTCTGCTCCAGCTGGGTGTTTGCCGCCAGTTATGTGAAGGGTTAAAAGGCTGTGTCAGTTCCGTCAGGCACTCAGTAGCCACCGGGAATCCAGTGAAGGAGGGTAACAGTTAACTATTGTACTTGTGCTCACCGTTATTCACGCTTACCAGATAATACGGGCTTGATACGATTGATATCAGGCGGCGTGTGTGATAAGAGAGCCAGTGTGGAGGACGACGTTTGAATTTATCTTACTTTACTACTCAAGCAACCATGGCTGTCGGAATCACCTGCTGGACGGTTTTCGTCTTATTAGGTACGTACGTGACTTGTAATTATCCAAAGAAAGCTCTAAGCCAGTATGGCTCTACAGCATTGTTTATGGTATTGAATATTAAAGTTTAAGATGCCAATACGAAAGTAGAGCGCCAGTTTTATCGATAACATCATTGAGAGACATATAGCACTCTGGAGAATCAGGAGAGCAAAATTTCTGATTTACCTTTGAACCGAAGATATTCTACCAGGTAATGAATAACCATAAGCAAAAAGTGAGGTATGAGGCTATTGGTGAAACTAGACTACACACACACACTAGAAATTAGAAAGCAGGAGAAATTTTCAAATGCTTGAAGAGCAGACTGAATCACAGAAAATAACAAGGGTAGCTGTAACAGATAGTAATAACAACGGTAGCAATAACAACAGTAATAATATGCAGGCGATGAGTCACAATAACGTGGCTAAAGTAAGTTGACCAGACCACACACTAGAAGGTGAAAGGACGACGACGTTTCGGTCCGTCCTGGACCATTCTCAAGTCGATGAGAATGGACTACTGGTCAACAGTAGTAATAATTGTAGTAGCTACGTCACAGAGTTAGGCTACTTTACAATTTGTCTATTAATTGGGCATAAGTAAAAAAATTAATAGTATTAAATTGCGAATTAACTTCTCAACAAACTCAATTTCAAGTCATGAAATGTCAGGGAGACAGTCATAGAGAGGTGAGGGTGAGAAGAATAGACTATATACACACTATCACAGCCCGTTTTCACGATATACCATTATGTAAATAAAACAAGTCAACTATGTAGCCTAATCAGATGCGTACGATGCATTAAAAACTTCAGTATTACGGGCCAATCCTCCTCATTCAGGCCCTGAACCTATTATGTGGCTCTGAAATCCTATCCGTCACCGCCCCACACCAATGTAAGGGATCCAAAATTACCTAATTGAACTAAATTACCAAGGTCAACGCTGATAGTATCCGGAAATGGATTAATACAGTATTCTGCTGTTTCAATAGCATTTCATCACTATTCCGGTTGTACCAGTGTTAATCTTGTGTTTCCTGTTACATGAGGCTGTTTGATTATCAAGGTGAGTAATATAAGCTGTAAGGTCACAACCAGCGCTGGTGCGGTGGCATTAGTGACTCACCCTTTACTACCACCACCTGCACTGACGGCACACCTGAAATATTAATGTAAATGGTACAGTCACTATTAATTTTCCCGTTTTTCTACATGTACGTTAAAAGATTATCCATAATAAATTTTCCCGAATATAAATAATAATGATAAAATATTCAGACATATTTCAAATGACCTACTGACCTTGCCAATGTGTCAGGGAACCGTTCCATCATGAGGGTGTTCCAGTGTGCCTTGTGTTGTATTGAGGCATCATTTGTTCCACCCAGACGCCACAAACAGAGTCAGATGTTACAACCCTCCATTACTGGCCTGTGTTGTGCCCTTTTCACCCACCGTCACGACCTGTTGGTACAAGCGACGCCTCTTCTCATAGAATTCATAAAGCTTTAACACGGAAGTATTATTTACTATAACTCCGCATCCAAATGCAAGTTTTGGAGGAGATAAACGTAGATCAGGTTTTGTTATGAGACTTGAGTTGAGGGTAGAAACTAATTGCTAGTGGAAGTTCAGTTTTATAATCTAGTTGGCAAAAATTCTCTGCTTATCATGTCTAGCCTACCTTTTCTCACGATGAGAAATCTCTGACGGATTATTAAGCCCACCACAAGATCTTACTAACAAATCATTAAGTATACCTGTATATAGCTTAGGACAAAACTCTCTCGGTAGAATCCTTGGTGAATCAGATACCTTTGGTATCGTTCGCCTTATGTGCGTTTGTTCTCGTATTGGCATCTTTAGTGATATTTAGCACCTTCTGAATATCCCGCACATTTGATGATAATACATTGCCTTCCCGGTTTGGTGCCTTCTTTTGATAATTACTTACTTAGGTCAAAATTAAACCAGCAGTTTATATACACCAAAAAGAGGTTTATTTTAGTGTTGAGCTTAAGGCCTGTCAACTGCACGAGGGATATTAACACCGTGACATGTAACTGCACTAGTTACTAACCAACCAGCAAGAATATTTTAATCCTGAACATAGTCCAAAACTCCCAGTGCATCTACACCGAGTAGTGGGGTACACAACTGTATTAAAAAACCAAGAGCGAGGGAATATATGCTTCTTAATTATGGTAAGTACTTAATTATGGTATTATGAAGTACTTACCTATATATAAATCCATTAATATAATATTTATCCTCTAGGTGTATCGCAGAACTGTTTTGCAGAGGAGGCCAACTTTGCCTACCAATTGCGACATTTTCTGGGCGTTCGCCACCCTGAGGCCCCCAGCAACAAGCCCTTGACGGAAGCCCGGGACTATATTAAGGAACAGTTCAAGCAGTACGGCCTCGACCTCGAAATTAACCAGTTTACCACAGATATTTACACCAATTCACAGAAAAACTCGGTATGAACATTTGAACCCTTGATACCAAAACAGGGTAGACGCGTGTGTGTGTTTTGTGCCACTTCAGGAAGATTCGTGAATGAATGTGTGTGTGTGTGTGTGTGTGTGTGTGTGTGTGTGTGTGTGTGTGTGTGTGTGTGTGTGTGTGTGTGTGTGTGTGTGTGTGTTAAATTATCTTCTTTGTCTGCTTTTTCATAGATTGTTAGTTTCCAGTTTGACGTGCGATGCCCACCATCTTTTTTTTCTTCTACCTTGTTATTTTAAGTACATAAGTACATGGATAAACTACAAAATGTTATTGACGTATTAGAGGCAACTCCTATTTATACTCGACCCAATTCACACAAACATGTTTAACATACGTTGGTGACAATCCTGTGATCCCTTATCTATTACATAACACCCTCCCAGCTGAGCGAAATTATTGACTCCTACTTATACCCTCATGTATCCATTCTGCTTCTGCAGGTTCACCTGTCACTGTTTTTCCTGTAATTTAGGGCTCTGAGTTACTGTAATTCTTCACTCATTTTAGCTAGTTTCTCTCCAATTTCTTCATTTTATTTATCTGTCTCTCATAGTTGTCTCTTATTTGTTCCAACTCTCTCTTCCGATGATTGATGAAGATTAAGCCACCCAAAAGGTGGCACGGGCATGAAAAGCCCGTAAGTGGTGGCCCTTTTGAGCCGTTACCAGTATCAAGAGCTGATACTGGAGATCTGTGGAGGTGCGACTGCACCCTGCGTGACGGGAGATGTCTCCCGTGCTCTCTCTCTCTTCCGAGGCTTCCTTATGCTTATACATCTGTTCCTTCAGATCTTCCTCACTCCTGTTTCCACACAAACTTTGGCTCACTTTACTATCTCAGCAAAGTTAACTTTACCTGTGAGCTCCCTAGGATCGAGAAAATGTTCACCACTTTTTGTGCCTTATTTAAATGAATGCGTAAAATAATGTTATAATTCTAGAAAATTCAGTCGGTTATTTATTTTTAGGTTGTATTTTGCTCTTTCGTCAACCATAATGTTAGAATCACAATCTTCACGTTGTCAAAGGCAAGTGGTATGCATCACATGGAGGGGCTGGGGAGTATTAGATGACTAATAGGGTAGTAATGACCTTCATCCTTCCCAATATATTATTCTGGGATGCATTTCATTTCATACATTATTTATTTATGAAGGGCACTATGTTGTTTATGGGTCTTTTATAAGCTTAAGATAAGTAATATAATTTGAGCTTAACGTAGTTTAATTGTATGGCTAGTCGAGCTTCATCCTCAATGCCAAAACGTACGAATAATTCTACTGCGATTTCCAGGTCGCCGGAGAAAACATAGTGGGGGTAGCTAGAGGCCATGCAGGAGGTCCTGTGCTCTTAGTGGGAGCAGACTACGACTCCAACCTGGAACAGTCTCCTCTTGAGAACAACGGGGCGGGGGTGGCGGCCATGTTGGAGGTCGCTGGGAGCTACATGGCGGCCACCAGACAACAATATCGGCGAGCCAGCACCGTTCTCTTCGTCGCCTTCGATCTCAATACAAAAGAATATGTAAGTTTTATTAAATATTACAATTTAGAAGGGAATTGAAAAGACTAGCTTAAAATATAATTTATGCTTTACTTCAAGAGTTAAACTGTGCGAGTTTTACCTTACCTTGCGATGATTTCGGGGCTTAGAGTCCCCGCGGGTCGGTCCTCGACCAGACCTCCTTGTAAGGTGACCAAGTGTAAGACAAAGTACATTATGGGTGTGTCAAGGTGTTGCGCCTCCCCCCCCCCCCCCCAGACCACCACACACCTTGTTACTGTGCCAGAGTAATTAATAAGTCAACCCCAACAGGAGAACACCCGCGTTCGCTACGGACCTCCGGGTTCCTACCACTTCCTCCACCAGTGGCTGTGGCCCTTCATCAACCAGTCGGTGGACAACTTTGCTGGAGCCATCATCCTCGACTCTATAACCCGCTTCAGTACCGAGAACAGCAGTCAGCATCTTCCTCGAGGATTTGAGACGGTAATATTACATATACCTCAGTGCTCCTGCTTCTTGCATAATGTTATGAGTGGAATGATAAAATAATAAGTTAAATTTTAAAACATTTGAGCCAATGATACATTTGTCAGGTTTTGGCATTTCTTAGGATACAATGCTTGCCATAGTGTTCCAAAGTTTTTGAACTGTTCTTCTCGCCATTCGAAAGACAACTTTAAGGTAACAGCGTCAATCTCACTCTCCAAAATTGAATACAAATTAATTGTTCATATTTAAGGAGGTTTTCAGTGACACCTGAGCCTTGCAGGTGAATTTGATCCACCATTTAAAATACCATCATCAACTCAAGTTCAAGTATGTTTATTGAGACAAGAAAAAAATACATCTCAAAGGGACAGACTAGTTTAGGCTATTTCTACCCCCCCCCCCCGTCATCAACTCATAAGCTTTGTGCTGGCGTGCACTTGGGGGTCACTAGTACAACGTCATTAGCGTTTACAAGATGTTGTAACAACTTCACTACTACAGGCATTCCGGGAGGCGAACCAGGAGATCAGAACCAGAGGTAAGAAAGGTGACTTTCTGGCTCTCTTCTCCACCGGGTCATCGGCCGCCCAGCACCTCGCCCGGACCATCATAGCCAACTACAATGAGGTGAGCCGTCGTCTGTTGAGTGTACGGAGGGAGGAAGAGGCAGTATGTAGTGTGTTCGGTTGAAAGTCAATTTGTTAATAATTGCCGGTTGCTTTCTATTTCCCGTACCACAATGGCATAAGAACAGCTGACCATTATAAGGCTAAGGCATTAAAAAATGATCTCTTTAATGAATTTTAACGAATTATTTTTGTCTAAAATTACTAAATCACTGATTTGTCAGTCTTTTCACTATTTACAGAACATTTTGCAAGGACTTGTCCTCTTCGGTGATGATCTCTGTATATATTTATATCGTCCGGGCAATTATATAAATTCACATGATGGTTATCCTGACACCTAGTCTATAAGCTAATAACCAAATCAAATCTATTTTTTATTTATTTACACCTTGCATAACCCATTGTACCTTAACAAGAAGGTGTAATGAGTTATGCAAGTGCTGATTTTGGCGTGTGAGTGGTACATTGTTACAGAGGTACTAACACATAGCAGTACTCTCTTTGCCTTCGCCAGGATCCTAAAACCCCATAAACATTCATCTCCTCACCAATGCTTTCCCTTCGTCAGGACCCCAAGGCGAGCAAGCTACGGTTGCAGGAGCTGCGGGTCCTGACCAACCGAAGTGTGGGCGACTCACTCCACATGTTCAACCACCAGGCACAGTTCCACTTCTGGACCTTCCAGCCCTCAGACGAACCCATGTCCCTGCCAGCCGTCCTCCTCACAGACACAGGTACTCACAGACACGGGTCAGTGTAGACACAAGTCAGTGTACCCTTTCAACTTTTCATTAATCCACAAAGTAGTAATTTATGTTGTTTTTAGACCAGTTAATTATTCACGTATTAAACAGGAAATATATCTTCCATAACTTTTTGACACTTTTTGACATGAATAAATAATACATAAAATGCATTCGGTATTTTCTATAAATATACTTTGATAATATAATTTCTTACTGAATATTCTGAGGATAAATATACCTGTTGGTTAGTCAGTAAGCTATTGTCTCAGTTTTAATAACCCTCCAGAAATCGCCAGGCCATAGTCCAATACTAAACTGTTAAAAGTTAATGTTCTACTGTATATACTTGCTGGTTGGTCTGTAAGCTATTTTCACAGCCTCAATAACCCTCCAGAAATTGATAGGCCTTAAGGCCATCACCAAAGTAGTAAGCGAAATAACTCAGGAAAGAGAACTGGACCAATGTGTGAGAGCATTGTTGCAGATGTGTACCGGAAGTCAGGAGAAGTGTGCGAGGAGGACTGTTCTGTGGAAGTCTTCCTGACCCAGACCCGCCAGGATGCGCTAGGCCTCGTCTCCACCACGCTCACCAACGCTCTTCTCCAACTTCAAACTGCTGGCGGTGAGTGGTGACTTCTTTTTTAATAAGTAATAGTATTAGGCATCCCTCAGTCTCAGGAGACTATGGAGTTGCGCTCTGGTTGTCGGTCTGGAGTAGCCTCTCCAGGGCATAAAGCAGGATAGGTTGATATGGGGGGAGAAGCTGTCACCCATGCAGCAGGTCCCTCCTCTCCACGGCGCCGAAATTCTCCAATGGAAAGGCAAACGCCAATGCGATTAGTTCCAGCGCCGTCGCAAGAACTGTCAGAACGAGGTCGAAGGCAACAACGAACTGCCCTAGGGGCTCCAGCTCTGGTAATAACTTATGTAATTATTGCACTCATTAGCTTTAGTAGTAATTACAGTGACAGTTGGAAGTGCAGTGTCATTAGTAGTGGTAAATACAATATTAATTTAAATAAAAACTTAAAATCAAAGCCATTATTAGGAGAAAGCGCTAAGCCATTACGACTATATATAGCACTTGGAAGGGGTCAGGATAAGGATTTGGGATGGGACGGGGTGAAGGAATGGTGCCCAATCACTTGGACGGTCGGGGATTGACCTGTAGATAGCGAGACCGTCGCTATACCGTTCAATCCCTGGACGATATAGCGGGGTACAAAGGCATGGAAATGTAAAGTAACAGCAAAATATAATTATAATACAGTGTAGCAGATGTAGTTATTAGAACCAGGGGAACAAAATCCTTGTCATGAGTGATTTAAACCACCCATAAATTGAATGAACATAAAAAAAATATCCATGGAAACAAAGAGACGTGAAGCACTTTACTAGTTGAGTCCAAAGACAAACCTTTACTAATACAACATATCAAGGAGGCAACTGGGCTTAGAGAAGGTGATACTCCTTCATGGTTAGATCTCATCTTCAGCTAGAAGAAAATATATCATACATGTGCGGCTCTAGGTAATATCTTGTGTATACATCCACAGGTGGCAGCACTGGCCTGACGGTGGCGCCCGCATTTGTCGTGTCGACCCTGGTGGCCTCCATCCTCGTCCTCTTCAATTGGTGAATTTTCCAGTGAGTGTTGCTCGACAGAGTGTTTCTTGAGCTTCTACTCTTTAAGTGTAAGGGGCTCATTTTACAACGTGCTCTAGTGAGAGCTAAGCCACAGAATGCTAATTTAATAATTGCTTAGCCTACGAGTGTTCAAACAACGAGTCTCTCTCAGGTGTAGGCTTCTGCAGTGACTGCTGTCTAGAGGAGTGAGTGTTCCCTCAGTGAACGCTCCTCCAGGGAGTACTGCGCCAGTGACGCAGCTAAGGTGACTACTGCTGCGCCAGCGACTGCTTCTCCAGTGACTGCTGCTCCAGTGACTGCTGCTCCATTGACTGCTGCTCCATTACTGCTGCCTTAGGCTTCGACAGTAACTTCCTTCCGTAAAGTGAAATCTTTCCATCTTTTCGCAACTGATAACGAAGACGTAACAGCAGAAAATGAGTTCCTAAATATAGAAATGGAAACTACAACACTGTGATGCATTATATTAGAGAAAAGTTTTGAATGTTGACAGTGTTGCAGATCAAATTTACAAAGAATATTATAGTGATTGTATAGTTCATTTCATATGCGTGACATTACATAAATTAGCATTATGCCAGTAGCACCATCTTCTTGGAGTTATCTGATATCTTGATGGAAAAAAAGTTTGGAATGCAGTTGTGAAAGTTAATTGGTATAATGGCTGTGTGTGTGTGTGTGTGTGTGTGTACTCACCTAGTTGTGCTTGCGGGGGTTGAGCTCTGGTTCTTTGGTCCTGCCTCTCAACCGTCAATCAACAGGTGTACAGGTTCCTGAGCCCATTGGGCTCTATCATATCTACACTTGAAAATGTGTATGGAGTCAGCCTCCACCACATTACTTCCTGTGTGTGTGTGTGTGTGTGTGTGTGTGTGTGTGTGTGTGTGTGTGTGTGTGTGTGTGTGTGTGTGTGTGTGTGTGTAACTACTATACACATGGGGAACATTTCATCACCCCCACATCTGTATATTATAACCTCATGTGCCATGTTTTATTAATAAATTAATAAGAATTATTGATGTTTATTTTGTATCCTCGTGTCGAGAGAAATTTGGGTTTTCAGTTTGATACACCAGTGAATCCTGTTACATATCGCTGTGATTTATAGTCCATTATATGTTGTATTTTGGGGATTTTGATATCAAAGCCCGATGAATTATCCGAGAAGACAGACTTTGTATACATGTGTAAACTTCATTTGAAGCAATCTAATGATCCCACTCCCTCTATTTTACCCGGTAATTTGTTTCAAGAATCTACAATCCTGTTTCCAAACCAGCATTTACCAAATCTTTTCTAAATCTAAACTCATCCAATTTGTTTCATTAATTTGTTTTTGAGTGCGTGTGTGTAAATATTTAAAAAAACATATTGATTCCCCCATTGGTATACCTTTTTATTCATGTTCATACTTCAGTTATATTGCCCCCCTTCTGCGCCTTTCTAAAGAATGCATATTAAGCTTCGTTAATCTGCTTTTATAAATGAGGCTTCGAATTTCTGAGGTTAACTGCCAATGTTAATATCACCTGCAGTCGTTTAAGGGTTCAAAACAATCCCCAACGAGTCCAATGAAACATATTACTTCGGCTTCCAAAACATACGTAGCTAAACACAGGTTATATTCATTTAGCTTGATTTTTTCACAATATCACAAATATGTATGAAACATACAAGGAAAAAATATCAATCAACATTCGAAATATATTTCCCGCGCAAAGTATCACTCCCACACGAACACCTGTCACCAAGCAGTGGGCTTCCTGCCCTGGACGAGGGAAGGTGTGGTTTCGCGTTGCTCCGCACTTTCTCATAGCTTCCATCTTTCCAGCAAGCACCCCGGATTATTGTCGCTAACGTAAGTTACGGAAGTGATTCTATTTGCTAAATAATATAAGAATTAAGGAAAATATAACAAAATTAACTGTACTAGGCAATCCCTGACCCGATTAAGCCCTTTTTACCCCCCCCCCCCCCCCCCACCCACACACACCGACAATATATATATATATATCAGCTCTCCACGTCTACTTCAATTACGGGCTATTCATGCCCATGCTACCTCTTCAGTGGCTTAATCTTCACCATTCATCAGTCTACTTCATTTATTGGCTATTCATGCCCGTGCCTCCTTTTGAGTGGCTTAGTCTTCTTGGTTTACTTCGTTAATTACCACTTAACGGGCTACCCAACCATACCCTTGTCGTCTCTTGGGTAACTTAGTCTTCATAAATCAATCAATCAATCGTCTACTTCACTTCCAGCCATGTTCTATATTCAATGTTGACTTCCCATGTCTCTCGCCTCCAATTCACATCACCCCTCACTTGTTAATGTGGCCGTAAGCATCACTTCAGGCAATTGTAACGGTCTCTCTTTGTCAACACCTTCCTCAAGTATATATAAAGGAAAGTGTTCGTTCTATCGAAGCATTACGGGCTCACCATAGCCCGTGCTACATGGACATTTCGTTCTGAGTAGCTAAATCTAAAACAACAACAATGTTCTATCGAGTCAGTTTAACATTTAAATTGGCCAGGTCGGAGGTACAGGCGTCAGTCAGACAATATTTGGTAACCGTTTCATTACAGATAACATAACATGTTATCCGTCATTACGGATAACATAGTGCTTTAGAAAGATTATAAGGAACCTGGAAGATTGTGATCAGAGTAACTTATTCAATGATCATAGTAACTTACACGAATTATCAGAGACGCGGACTCTGGTATATTTATTTGCTAATAAATAAATACAAATTATAACCAGTTCAATAGTATTTACATTTTGTAACAATTGGATGTTTAATTTAATAATAGTTAAAGATTATATTTGAGAAATTTGTTTTATTGCTTAGCGAGTCATGTGGTGTATGAAAATATATACAAAATACATTAATAATTTATAAGATTTATTATTATTCAAATTTCTTACAAGTTTAAATACACATTTATTTTGGTTTTGATAATCTGAAATATTTTTAAAAATTTTATGAAAAGTAGGTTTACAAGGATTCAAATTTCAGTATTTTGAATGCAAAATTAAAAATAATAGCTAATGCCAGTAAATGGTTTGATGTTGACCAGACCACACACTAGAATTTGAAGGGACGACGACGTTTCGGTCCGTCCTGGACCATTCTCAAGTCGATTGAGAATGGTCCTCATTCTCAATCGACTTGAGAATGGTCCAGGACGGACCGAAACGTCGTCGTCCCTTCAAATTCTAGTGTGTGGTCTGGTCAACATACTTCAGCCACGTTATTGTGACTCATCGCCTGCAAATGGTTTGATGTTGAGCATAGGACCTGTCAACCTCGGGAAGGTTATTAAAGCCACTACAATATCTTACTAATTACATCCAGTATAGTCTTGCACGTAGCTAAGATTAATTAAGATTAAGCTACCCAAGAGGTGGCACGGGCATGAATAGCCCGTAGCTAAAATTAAATTAATGAACATAGATAAGGTTCACCCGTGTATACATATGTAAATAGGGGTACCACCTCTGATGCATTTGTAGGGGACCCATAGCCTCGGAGAAGGGAATAAAGAGCATTCAGATAAAAACTCACCGTTTGACTCTAAATACGTAGGAGTATTTGCTTCTCCTACCACCCCCTATTTATATATATAAATGTGGTAATATTCAACACAAATATTTTATTACATTAATAAAAATCTGATGACAGGATCATGATTCATTACTTAATTTAAGAGGTTTTGGTATAGTGAGAAAGCTTATGAACTATAATTGTAACTCGCTAACTAAATGGATACAAAACAATGAAATAAAGCGTTATAGTAGGACATTCAACACCAAAATACCAAACAAGTGACATCATTAACACATGGTGAAATCAAATACTATTTAGTAAGAACAAAAAAGATGGTTGAAAAAAAGCACCATTAAAGTTGCGAAGATCTTGGTAACATAGTTCTAAACGAGTCGGAGCAATAATTCGTTATTGTTTTAGTAAATGCATATCAGAAGCCTCGGTAAAAAAAACAACATTGGGGGCTTGAGTAGTGAGTTTTGATGAGGGTGCCTGAGTTAATGAGGCTTCATGAGTCTTAGTGATGCTACATTTATCTCTATGGCATTTCTGAACTGGCCACGTGAGTCTAGAGTCTATAGTTATTATTACTATATTTATTTACAAAATTATCATACACTTTTACCTATTCGGAGTAATTCGATTAGGTCTTATTGCAGTAAGAATGCTGCTTATATTCACTGCCACACAGGACAGAGGCTCATACATAAGACAATAGGTCTTAATTGTAGATTTGAACACCCATTTAATGATACCTTTTTTTTTTAACACATTTAGGTACATCTGCATTTGTGCAGCTGCTCTAGACTATATAAACAGGAGTACAGCGTGTCCAAAAACTAGCTACGTGATGCTAAAAATCCCCATCACACAGGATTACGTAGCTAGTTTTATAACACACTGGACAGATATTGATTCATTCGAGATGCCGCAGAAATTGCTAATATGGACAAGGAAATTTTTGATAACTTGTTACGATGTCTTCTAATATAACAGATTCAGTGAACTAGTTACGTAGTTGAGTGTACAGTAGTCAGTTACACCTCATATATGCGGGCCAGAGCGAAGAGCAGGGCTGTCACAAGAAGGGAAGGCAGGATACCCCTACTCGTTCCAGAATCTGTCATTAATAATAAGGTTGGCGTTAAGGTTCAGAACAAATATTAAATAATGCAAGAATGTTTGGAAACAAAGAGTGTATTTAAAATTTGGGTGAAACGTCAAACCTAATCTGACACAAAATAAGAATGTTCTTAAGAAACTAGTCAATATTTTTCCTTAATTTTATTACTCGTAGGATAGTAATCTGGGTAATTACTGATGTTGATAGCACGGTCCATGATGATTATTTTCGGATGCAAATTTTAATGTAAACTAGTCCAGTTAAAATGTATTAATCAGTTAAATTTGTTCTTTAGTTTCATCGTACTGTACTTCAGCGTTAGACAAAAACTAACTAATGCGTTCATTATGATGCAAGGAGTGAAACAAACTGAGAGAAGACTATTGAAAATTATGGCTATAAAATATATATAAATGTAATAATTTCCCCTGTATTTTAATGTAAATTTATTCTCCAATTTTTGTAAATCGTTTATAGGTAAATAAGTATAACATTCAGGGTTTTTTTCAAGATCTTGTTCTACTGAAACACTTGTTCACTAAGAATTGTAATGTATAATTGCCTTGTAAAACTTATGTATATGTAATTTATATTGTATTTTCTTAAAGAAAAAAAAAGAAAAACTCATGGCTACACAGAATTATTATCATGGAGATTAATGATGATATGAAGGTGGAATGGGGTGAGAACAGTGAGATGAAGTGCGATGGGCGCAGAGTAGTGAAGATCTGATGGGGCCAGAATGGTGAAGTGAAGGTCCGATGGAGTCAGGGTGAAGAGGTGCAAGTTGGAAGGGGGGGGGGGGAGCATTAAGTACGTCACAATTGATTTTTGTCTTGAATCAGTGTAGAAGAAGCGGAAGCAATACGCAGTGGTGCCCGTGAGTAATGCAAACTTTGCGGGTTATTGACGTATTATCGTATTAATGACGTTCTTTATGCATCGGTCTCTATAGGTTAGGTAGGTCGTTTAGGTTAGTACATTTCTGGTTGGGGAAAACAGTTGCATTTTTTTACGTAGCGGCAAATCAAGAGACCGCACTTTTTGTTTTTTTGCTGGGTTATTCCTAAGCCTCTGGCTAGCGCCGCGTCGGAGGACCGGGCCGCGGGGACGCTAAGCTCTGAAATCATCGCAAGGTAAGATAGCCCGGTATTACTCGTTTCTCATTTCGGTCTTACTTGGGCGGTGAATGAGTGTTTTTTACTCGTATGTTCGCTTCAGTAAGATTGTGTCAAATGTATTTAACAACTTCTCATGCTATGTTAAATCTCAGTTGAAATCTTATTTGGTTTGTCGCTGCGCTGTGTTAGATAATGTTCCAGCGGTATGTCGATATGTCTCCAGTGCTGACATTTCCTCTCATCTTCTGGAGCCTGTAAGCCTATTTCCCGTGCACATGGGTATGCAAGGCTGGTGCATTGTAAGTACACTTCTGTTTTTCTATTGGTCCCTTTCCTCAAAATAAGTGGTTCGTAGTTGGTTGAATTCTAGTACTAACCTTCAGATCCTGATGTTGCAGCTGCAGTGTTACGGTCCCTGTACATTTTCAGCATAGCTCTATCTCTAATTATTTGCTTAATCTGTGCTAGACACTGGTATGTCTAAATTTTTTAGTTGCAAATTTTGCAGCTGCATCTACAGTGTCATTCCCTAGTATTCCTACGTGACTTGGCACGTAGGAATCCTCACGAGAAACCCGTGAATTACTGAGACGCCACGGTCACCACTCCGCCACAGCACCCACGAACAAATGCTGTTTCTGAAGGAGGTCTGTGAGGAGAGGACTTGAAAGTGGGGGGGGGGAATAGTGATGAAAGTGAAGAAGAAGGAAGAAAAGGATGAGGAAGAGGCAGAAGATGAGGTTAAGGCAACTGACCAGTAACTGGGGATGCCTGACGGCGAATCAGGGTGCGTGTGAGACTCTTGACTGTGGCGTCCATGAAGTCTACTGTGTCCTGTGTGAGGAGTAGATTGATCGGGCAGCCTTTCTGGCAGCTGTCGGGGAGCGGCGGCCTCTTACGAAGACCCTCTGTAAGGAAAACAGAAAAGTATGACAGAATGTTGTATTGCTGCGTCTTGAAGTATTAGCCGTTAGTGACGGAATTCTATAAATATTGTAATAATTTAATGTAAAAATATAATGAAAGATAATGAATGAAGCTTTGCATCCTGGAATAAATGGACGCTTATAACTTGAAGGGAATTATATAGTACTAATTCAAATATACATAAATATAAATATGTCTCGGTTCCAAAAATGACAAGACGACTGCTTACGGGTGTCAGTGATAAGAATAGCTGGCAGAGGCAGCTGGGTGGTGGTGTTGTCGATAGCATTGTCGATAGTGAAGGTCCAGAAGTGGATGGTGTCCTGCTTGGTCAGTTCTATGATGAGTTTGTTCAGTATTACAGAAGGCATGGTGATGTCCATGTCCTCTAGCCGATACATTGAAAGTTTTCTCTCCTACGGAGCAGATTAGAAAGCACCGGTTATATATCACTAAATGTAATTGTATATGTAGAATTTAAAATTTATGTAGACTCTCATACGGATATATAACTTGTCTTCTTACGAAGAACGTCACTTTTCGCTCGTATGCGTTACATAAGGCCAAAAATTGTCGCACTAGATAATGGAAGCGACTCGCGAAAGTCACGTACTATCTCGTTTTCTGTCTTGGGTCCTCTGGTAGGTTAGGATACTTTCAATTTGTTTTCTTGACGTTCGGAAACCTTAGGAGGACGGACTGGATGATAAAGATCAACCCACCCAGGAGGTGGCACGGGCATGAATAGCCCATAAAGCCCCATGAGAAGCTGCTCGGTTTTAATATAGAACCATAAAGTATGGCAGTGGTTGTATACTGAATCAAAAATGATGATTTTTTAAAAATTGGATTTTCGTTACTTTACGTTGTTGTTGTTATAGATTTAGCTACTCTGAACAAGTTCCAAGTAGCACGGGCTATGGTGAGCCCGTATCTTACCTGGCACAGGAGAGGGGCAAGTAGCACGGGCTATGGTGAGCCCGTAGTGGACTTACCTGGCATAGGAGCGGTGCTGTGCGTTACTTTACGTATCGTCAGAGAAGAAATCGTCGGCGCTAATAATGCCGTGAATACTACTAACCTTATTGTAGCTGCCAGAAAACTGGTCTTTGAGCATGTCAGCTTTTGTTCCTGACACCGTCAGCGCCGTCAAGAAGTTTCCCTTATAACCGCTCTCCACTATCCGCTTGTATGTCTCGGGGAACATCTGTAGTGAAGAAATAAAAAGTTTGTTGTGCATGGCGCTGCTTATTATTACTACTATCCCCTCTACTACACCTTACTTTGCTCCTCAGCTCTCTCTTGCCTATTTAATGCCTGTCTCTACTTCCTCATCACACACACACGTCACGCAGGGTGCAGTCGCACCTCCACAGATCTCCAGTATCAGCTCTTGATACTGGTAATGGCTCAAAAGGGCCACCATTTACAGGCTATTCATGCCCGTGCCACCTCTTGGGTGGCTTCATCTTCATCTTAACACATTCACAAAGGAGACATCTCCCGTCATGCAGGGTGCATTCGCACCTCCACAGATCTCCAGTATCAGCTCTTGATACTGGTAATGACTCAAAAGGGCCACCACTTACGAGCTATTCATGCCCGTGCCACCTTTTGGGTGGCTTAATCTTCATCAATCAATCAATCAAACATGGCACACCATCTGGTCACCACTTGGTCCGGGAGACATCTCCCGTCACGCAGGGTGCAGTCGCACCTCCACAGATCTCCAGTATCATCTATTGATACTGGAAATGGCTCAAAAGGGCCACCACTTACGGGCTATTCATGCCCGTGCCACCTTTTGGGTGGCTTAATCTTCTCCCTCTCTCTCTCTCCTCATCACTCATCTGGTCACCATTTGGTCCGGGAGACATCTCCCGTCACGCAGGGTGCAGTCGCACCTCCACAGATCTCCAGTATCATCTCTTGATACTGGTAATGGCTCAAAAGGACCTCCACTTACGAGCTATTCATGCCTGTGCCACCTTTTGGGTGGCTTCATCTTCATCTTAACACATTCACAAGGGAGACATCTCCCGTCATGCAGGGTGCATTCGCACCTCCACAGATCTCCAGTATCAGCTCTTGATACTGGTAATGGCTTAAAATGGCCACCACTTACGGGCTATTTATGCCCGTGCCACCTTTTGGGTTGCTTCATCTTCATCTTAACACATTCATAAGGGAGACATCTCCCGTCATGCAGGGTGCATTCGCACCTCCACAGATCTCCAGTATCAGCTCTTGATACTGGTAATGGCTCAAAAGGGCCACCACTTACGGGCTATTTATGCCCGTGCCTCATCTTCATCTTAACACATTCATAAGGGAGACATCTCCCGTCATGCTTCCTCATCACCACCCACCATTTGGTCACCACTTGGTCCGGGAGACATCTCCCGTCACGCAGGGTGCAGTTGCGCCTCCACAGATCTCCAGTATCATCTTTTGATACTGGTAATGGCTCGAAAGGGCCACCACTTACGGGCTATTCATGCCCGTGCCACCTCTTGGGTGGCTTAATCTTCATCAATCATCAATCAATTCCTCATCATAACCAAATTAGAAAGGTTAAATATCCCAAAAGGAATCCACAGGGAAATAGCAGTTAGGTTATATAGACTACGTCTAGGTTACAGATGCAACTGGGAGATTGGTGAACCCCGACAGAGAGCATGCATCTTCTGCCAAACTGTCACAGAAAAGCCATTACTTCACTATCTTCTGGAATGTGAAGCAACCAATGACCTTAGAAGAGCTTTAAGAGTTCCTGAATCATGCAGTGACCACCCTGAAGCCATCAACACAGCCACTCTCCTGGTCAACAAAGGTGTTCAGCAGCTGGACACCCTCATAAAGACTGTGAAGCAGTATCCTCCCCCGCGATAACAGCTTGATGGTTAAATGCAACCTCAGAATACTGAGAAAAAAAAAATTGTACCACTTACGGGCTATTCATGCCCGTGCCACCTCTTGGGTGGCTTAATCTTTATCAATCAATCAATCTTCCTCATCACAATCGACTTGAGAATGGTCCAGGACGGACCGAAACGTCGTCGTCCCTTCACCTTCTATCCCAAAGCTATCCCAGCAGTAAATCCTATATCATTTTATATTTCTTCACTCATCTATATTAATTTAAGACTTGTATTTTGACCAATTTGTTTGATAAGGGTACGCACCTTATGGAAATCGTCATCGACAGTTTGGGAATTCTCGTTAAAGTTAACGTTCATGATGGAGTCTAGAATGAAGGCGCCCCCGAAGTTGGCCTCCGACTCGTTGAGGTACGGCCACAGGTAGTCGTGGACGAAGTGAAGTGCTCCTGGCTTGCCCGGGGAATGCTGAAATATACAGAGAAATCTCTGTTATGGAAGAGAAACGACCGCTGAAGATCTGGTGCCAGATTCACGGAGCAGTTACGCAAGTACTTACGAACGTGTCCATCTTTCCTCAATCTTTGACGGCTTTGGTTACATTTACTAAACAGTTTACAAGATTGAAAATATCCCAATCAACTGTTGTTATTGTTATAAACAGCCTCCTGGTGCTTCGGAGCTCATTAACTGTTTAATAATTGTAAACGCAGCCGCTAAAGATTGAGAAAAGATGTATAGGTTCGTAAGTGCTTCCATAACTGCTTCGTGAATCTGGCCCCTGCGCTCGACTATATTCGCTGGGCAGGGTTGATTATTTCTCTCTTTAGACACATGCTTAGGAAGGACTTTGTAACTTGAGTCTGTGATCTCTGATCACTGGGCTACCCGCACGAAAATGGATATTTGTCAGGAGAACTTCAGTTGCGAAATCCAAAAGGTTTGTAACATGGTTTGAAGTCCACTAACCATCTGATTCCCTTATACAGTATTGTGAAAGTCATGCATGATCTAAATTATTCAATAGAAAAGCCACTAACATATCAACATGCATTACAAAAAAGATAAAAATCTAAGAATTAGTTATACAGGTAAAATTAAAAAAAAAATAGTGCAGAAGGTGAACTTGTAAGACAACATTATGGAGAAGGAACCCAACCAAGACAACACAGTTGAGAAGGAACCCACCCAAGACAACACAGTTGAGAAGGAACCCACCCAAGACAACACAGTTGAGAAGGAACCCACCCAAGACAACACAGTTGAGAAGGAACCCACCCAAGACAACACAGTTGAGAAGGAACTCATCCAAGACAATAATAAGACACTCTCTGGGGATGATTATATCCAGTGCAGCAACACTGAGAACTTACTAAGCATCAGTGCACTATTTTTGTCCTACATATTTCATTGTTCTTATCTGGAGATATCTCGTAACAATAGTTATAAGCCACCTCTATACCTATTTCTAAAAAGGACCATTAGATTCAGACCTGTTCTCGCTAGCATCAGGTTTCTGTAAATGTTAAGAGATTCAATTGAATGTACTGAAGACTCCACTAGCTAGTGGAGCTAGACTCCACTAAATGGATACGATGAAAGGTGGAAGCACAGTACTGTCTGCGTCACCACATTGTATTCAACTTCAGTTAACCTGAAAAGGGATTTTGAAACGTCTTTAATATATATTAGTCACATTTTTACATTGTAATAAGGATTGGTGTCCCATTGTTGGTCACAGGAAGCTTCTTAGGCGTATCCCTACAAACATTTCGCCCTTTCCGGGAATCGAACTCTGGGGTAAGTGGTTGTAAGTCGACTGACTGCCTTGATCACAGCTAGTCACCGTTTCCACTCAATTGTGTAATATTAATGTGGATTTAGGTGTGTGAAAACCAATAGAAGTTAAGACTGCGAAGATCTCGCTTCTTCCAAGTCGGCGTTCAATCCCCGACCGTCCAAGTGGTTGGGCACCATTTCTTTCCTCCGTCCTATCCCAAGCCTTTGTTCTCATATCCCTAACTAAGTGCTATATTGTCGTAGTGGCTTAGCGCTTTCTCCTGGTGATGATCTTACCTGTTGACTCAAAAAAAAAAAAGCTGAATGGGTTAAAGAAAGCAAGACTCCATTTACCCTCTGTGTAAAAAAAAGCTGAATGGGATAAAGAAAGCAAGACTGCATTTGCCCTCTGTGTCTAACCTGATGCTCCTTGGTGTTGAGATCAAAGGCCACAAATATTGTGGTGAAATTCTGTACGTATTGTCCAGACCAGCGAGAGTTGTGCATGAAGAGCCTCGCGGTCTCCAGCATGGCGGCCAACCCTGCCCCGTTGTTATACAAGGGGTCGTCCCAGCCGTTGGTGTCGTAGTCGGCCCCGACCAACAGCACTGCTCCCGACTTGTTGCTCTCCGCTTCCGCGATCGCGATGATGTTCACTCCTTCAACCTGCGCCAGTACACCAAAAACTTACTTTTATTGTTTTTTATTCTAAGGAATGAACTCAGTCTAAGGCCTGTAGAACTCAGGATTATCTCCTAATAGTATCTGAATACTCAAGACTTTTTAAATCAACTTGATTAATAGTACAGTATGTCCGTGTTATTATTTAACAGACGATTCAGGCACCCGAATAATAATTGCGTCAAAGTTGGAACGTGACCCTATCCTTCAATATGTATCATAAAATATATGGCAGTTAACTGCAGTTAAGGAGCCTCGTTATCTATCTTGAGGTTATCTTGAGATGATTTCGGGGCTTTTTTTTTATAGTGTCCCCGCGGCCCGGTCCTCGACCAGGCCTCCAACCCCAGGAAGCAGCCCGTGACAGCTGACTAACACCCAGGTACCTATTTTACTGCTAGGTAACAGGGGCATTGGGTGAAAGAAACTCTGCCCATTGTTTCTCGCCGGCGCCTGGGATCGAACCCAGGACCACAGGATCACAAGTCCCGCGTGCTGTCCTCTCGGCCGACCGGCTCCTCAGATGGGATTATTTTTCGTTATCAAGTTTCTTGTGTGGTTGCGATTTTAAACTTATCAAAATCATGATATTTAATGATAACCTGTGAAAATTGGGGGGGAACTTACGAGTTTTTCGTTGGAAGTTAAGCCAGTGGGGTCAGGATTGATTGTGGTGTTGAACTTGTGCTCGAAAACTTTGAATCCATAGTTGACAAAGCGTTCTTTAATATACTTTTGTGCGGCAAGCCGCCCGTTGCTAAATCTTTCATTGGGGAACCTCTGCGTGTCGAGGTGCTCGAGGTGGGACGCGATGTCCACATCGAACTGCATCTCGGCGCACACTATGGAAGCTCCTGCGGGAGGTGAAGGATATGTATATATATGCAATTGACGATCACTAAACACTGATCATTTGTATGCGGAAAAACCACAAAGAAATGGGGAAGAGAGATGAACGTTTCGGCCTGTTAAAGCCGTTGTCAACACCAGTCTGGTGTTGACAACGGCTTTAACAGGCCGAAACGTTCATCTCTCTTCCCCATTTCTTTGTGGGTTTTTCCGCATGTGTATATATATATATATGGTGTTAAATATGACCGAAAAAGTAAGATTAATAATTCTAACACGAATTTTCTCAATATTTCTTATGCTTCTTTTTACTGTTTACTGTTAAGAAACATAAGAAATATTGAGAAAATTCGTGTTAGAATTATTAATCTTACTTTTTCGGTCACATTCAACAACATATGTTTACAAGAAAGACTGCTACCAAAATATACTAATATATATATATGGATAAAAGAGCATAACAAAATATAAACAAGATTTTAAATATAACACAAAACAATGATTTTAAATTGGGAGTTGAGAAACAGGGCTGTTGATTTATGGAACAAATTACCAGATAACATAATAGACAAAAGGATATCTGGATTGTTTCAAGCGTAGGTTACACATATGTAGTTTGGGGGAATATATAATTGGAGCTGCTTCGTATAGGCCAATTAGGCCCTTCTACCGTTCATGTATTACAATATCTCTTGTGACAGTGTTAGTTGCTAGGCTTCAGTGTAGTTAGAGATACCAGAGAGCGGTCGTGCCTCTACTCAAGACATTCATGAGGAAGTCCAACACTAAGTTTAAGATATATATATTCAGCGGCGAAGTACAGAACACTGGTACTGGAGAAGGAATATTACACAGGGGTACGAGGGATGAATTACTTGTTATAAGTAATTCAGTGTAAGTAATTACTTGTTATAAGTAATTCAGTATAAGTAATTACTTGTTATAAGTAATTCGGTTGTGGAGATCCCAGAGCGCTGATAACGGCGGCCAGAGGACCAAATATACACCTGACAACCATCGCAAACTTTTGTCAGTTAGACATTTATAATTGGGCAATACACAATGATCTCGGACGTAGGTTCGAATCCTCGTCACGGCCCTTGTGGATTTGTTCATAGTTGGGCAAGTTTACATCAGATTACGGTGCGGTAATTACATACAGTCGTCTTAACAGTAAAGCGAGTAGACATTATCCTTATATACCGTTCAATTGTGGTTTAAAGTAAAAGTATATTTGTCAATGGTTTATGAAAATTCAGACAACACAAGTAACTGGGAGGAGGAGGGAGGAGAGGGACAGAGAGAAAGAGAGGGAGGAGGGAGAGAGAGAGAAAGAGAGAGGGGGGAGAGAGAGAGAGAAGGGGAGCGGAGAGGGAGGGGAGGGAGAGAGAGAAAGAGAAAGAGAGAGAGAGAGAGAAGGGGAGGGAGAGAGAGAGAGAGAGAGAGAGAGAGAGAGGGGGGGAGAGAGGGAGGGGGCGGAGAGGGAGAGAGAGAGAGAAGGGGGAGGGTCGAGGTCCTATAGACACCAGCTTTATATAAGGGCGTTTTCCTACATATAAGGAAGAGAGAGCTAGCACAATTGTATATTTGTGTAGTATGTGTTCACCCACCCACCCTGCCCACCACACAACCAAACGTTATCACAGATACGTTATCAAGAATTATAGACTGTGTGTCATGAAGCTCACATCACAGGTCTTATCAGGCTAGTCAGTTACTCCCGCCCTGCCTCCGTCCCTCTCTGTCTAGGCTAGTACATGGGGAAGTGACAGTACCAAGATACAGGGAGGGGGCAGTACCATTATACAGGAGAAGGGGCTGTACCATGATACAGGGAAGGGGCTGTACCATGATACAGGAGAAGGGGCTGTACCATGATACAGGAGAAGGGGCTGTACCATGATACAGGAGAAGGGGCTGTACCATGATACAGGGAAGAGACAGTACCAAGATACAGGGAAGGGACAGTACCATGATACAGGGAAGGGACAGTACCATGATACAGGGAAGGGGCAGTACCAAAATACAGGGAAGGGACAGTACCAAGATACAGGGAAGGGACAGTACCAAAATACAGGGAAGGGACAGTACCAAGATACAGGGAAGGGACAGTACCATGATACAGGGAAGGGACAGTACCAAAATACAGGAGAAGGGACAGTACCATGATACAGGGAAGGGACAGTACCAAGATACAGGGAAGGGACAGTACCAAAATACAGGGAAGGGACAGTACCAAGATACAGGGAAGGAACAGTACCATGATACAGGGAAGGGGCAGTACCATGATACAGGGAAGGGACAGTACCAAGATACAGGGAAGGGGCAGTACCAAAATACAGGGAAGGGACAGTACCAAGATACAGGGAAGGGACAGTACCAAAATACAGGGAAGGGACAGTACCAAGATACAGGAAGTACCATGATACAGGGAAGGGACAGTACCAAAATACAGGAGAAGGGACAGTACCATGATACAGGGAAGGGACAGTACCAAAATACAGGGAAGGGACAGTACCAAGATACAGGGGAAGTAACAGTACCAAGATACAGGGGAAGTAACAGTACCAAAATACAGGGAAGGGACAATACCAATCCAAGGGAAAGCGGTAATACCGAGCCAAGGAGAAGGCCAATGCGTTAGTTTCGACAATTTGCTAACGTGAGGTTGTTGTAAGGAAATGTAAATTGTAAGTTGTTGTAAATGTTGTAAGTTGTATGACGGGCAGCAGGTCTGTTGAGTCTCTCGAGACGCCTCATGACAATACCCATCAACGTAGACTCATTAATTTGTCTTAACCCACACTGAGACACCATGTGTATCGGACTACTACTGAAAAATGTCACGCAGTTCAAGATGTGATGTCATGAAGATTCGAAAGGGCAATATATATAAAATGTGGAAGATGATACTGATATTTTCACTTTGAACAAGCCATCATGTAGGACAGATTGGAGGTGGTTTTTCACCCATAGGGTTATACGCCCATGGAACCGCCTACCCGCCGAAGCCGTAAAGGCCAAAATGCTGATGCATTTCAGAATCTAGCCAAAACAAAAATCAAGAAGAATAGGGTGGGAGAGGGTGGGACGGCTTTGACAAGCCGCTGGTTTCCTGTCCTCGTCGAAGCCACTAGAGAGATAATAGCCCTGAGGTAAGGGAGTTCGGCCTAATCTTGTGTTGTGTGGGGCTACACAGTGACTCAGCCTCCACCTCCACAAGGGAACACCCAGGGGGCTACACAGTGACTCAGCCCCCACCTCCACAAGGGAACACCCAGGGGGCTACACAGTGACTCAGCCCTCCACCCCCACAAGGGAGCACCCAGGGGGCTCTACGGAGACTCCACCCCCACACCCCCACACAAGTCACCGGCTCCCTGACCGTCTTACCTGCCGCCACCAGCAGCACCGCCAGTAACACCTTCATCTTGGTCCTTCCTCAATTGCTATCACTTGAGTCTTCAAGGCCTTGCTCGTCCTTCAGATGGTATTCAAGCACAAGGTGTAGCCGCCCCGGGGCGTGTACTAGCGGAAGGGTAAGCAGTTTGTCGCCACAACTAACCGCCGTCCTCACCAGCCTAGTGTCTCCACTCGAGTGAAAGAAACCCAGGAATCAGTGGCTCCCACGCCCAGCTTATCAACGATATCTCTCCCTACTGCCTCTATCCGGGACGTTCGTTTATGACGATATATATATATATATATATATATATATATATATATATATATATATATATATGTGTGTGTGTGTGTGTGTGTGTGTATTGTACATTGATGGTGAAACTTCCCAACTTGGCCAAGTAGGCTGGGTTCTTCGTACCCAACTTGGCTAAGTTCGCCAAGTGCTGTTCTTCGAGTCCAACTTTGCAGTTTTTTTATTTGTTTTTTCCTCGTGTAACTCTGCAGAATATTTCTATTTTATAATGATTCTTTGATATGTTGTTGATTATTGTTTTTACTTATGTTAAATAGTGCTATAACGATTAACGGCAGCTTAATGTTATATATATATATATATATATATATATATATATATATATATATATATATATATATATATATATATATATATATATACGCATATACATATACACGCCCACACCAGGAACTCCACGCCCACACCAATAACTCCACGCCCACATCAGGAAGCTGAAACATCAGTTTATATACGCTTGTGGGGTCCACAGCCCCAGTCTTCCGGCGCCCAAATGAATAAAATGTTTGTTTCCATGACAGTGTGGAATTCCGTCCCCGCACCCAATTCTTGTGAAGAAACAGGAAACGGAAGAGACGGGATACTTGTGAAGAGCCAGGGTCCTTCTGAGGAAGGTGTGCGTGGACTGGAACCTTTCTACCATCTTCTGGGCCAGGCCGGCATGTCTTCCCTTTTCTGAAATAACAATAGAAGCAAACTTCAGACGAAGGTGAATAATAATAGTATTAAACTAACATTTCTCCGAGGTATCGATGACCTACTGAGAGGTGTAGAGCCAGTGTGCATGGCACACACACACACACACACACACACACACACACACACACACACACACACACACACACACACACACACACACACACACACACACACCTCAGGTGGAAGCTGAGTGCCCAAATGAGCCACAGAGACATTAGAAAGAACTTTTTCAGTGTCAGAGTAGTTAGTAAATAGAATGCATTAGGTAGTGATGTGGTGGAGGCTGACTTTTACACAGTTTCAAGTATAGATATGATAGAGCCCAGTAGGCTCAGGAATCTGAACATAAGTTGATTTGACAGTTGAGAGGCGGGACCAAAGAGCCAGAGCTCAACCCCCAACAAGTACAGCTAGGTGAGTACACAGCGTGGCATTAACACACACACAGACGTTAATCTGTGTGCGATAAGACGACAATGACACGTCATGGGCGAGTACACACAGATGCAGGCCCAAGCTATAGGGCTTGATTGTGTCACCCCTGTACCATGGTGGTGACACTCCATGATTGTGTCACTCGTGTACCATGGGGGTGACAGTATGATTGTCGCCCCTGTACCATGGGGGTGACACTCCTTAATTGTCACCCCTCTACTGTGGGGATGACACCATGATTGTGTCACCCCTGTACCATGGGGGGTGACACTCCATGATTATGTCACCCCTGTACCATGGGGGTGACACTCCATGATTGTATCACCCCTGTACCATGGGGGGGGTGACACCCCTTGTAGAGTCTACCTCCGGAGTACTGTACTCTAGCATCCGTTGTATACACTACTAGGAAACCTCTTACTAAGTACTGCCTCATAAACCCACTTTACGTCTTAAATATCAACATAATATTGTGCTGTATTTGAACACTAATTACTGAACCTCCACTACTGCTGTTGTCTGTCATGTAAAAAATATATTCAATCTGTATTCCTTCTGTTTATGCTGTCAAGTTAATATGTCCTGTTGTGATTTGTGCTGTGCCAATCATAATGTAATTATTATTATTTTATTTCTATTCCTGTACTTTAACTCATTATTTTTATCTCATTTAGTTTTATGTCTCAAGTGTTTTATTATGCCAGAAGGGCCCTGTACTCACCTATTTGTGCTTGTGGGGGTTGAGCTCTGGCTCTTTGGTCCCGCCTCTCAACTGTCAATCAACTGGTGTACAGATTCCGGAGCCTACTGGGCTCTATCATATCTACATTTGAAACTATTTGTATACTGTATTTGAAACCTGTGTATTAGTGTCTTAGAGCATATCGTACTTGCTGTACCCATGAATCATACAATGTTCGTGTATGCTATGTATGTATGTATGTACTTTTGCTTAAATACAAATTATCATCATTATAAAATTAATATGAACGAAAATAGCCAAAAGGCAAAAATGTCTATCGAGAGTACAATTACAGAAAACGGAACTAATTTGACCAGAAACTTAACTAGAATCATCTATCACACGTCGCTAGGAGAAAATGACTTTGGCTCCGGGGGAAAGGTAATACAGATAGTGCCAAATTATGTCTTTGTCAGGGAGAAATGCTCAATGCGTTAACAGTGAGCATGGCGCATGTTGGGGAAGGTGAAGCACCAGCAGCAGCGAGCATGAGTCAGTGTGGGAGGGAGGTGCGGGGGGTCATAGGGGAAGGCTATCAACTGATTGACAAATTATCTTGGAATTTTTGAGAATTAGGCGTTCGTCATTGGGTGCCGGAAGTGCTGGTAGCCGGAGAGTAACGCTAGATTGGTTCCAGATTGTGCGATAAGGCGCGGTGTAATGTTCAATGGTCTCCTTTTATGGCGTTCATTGTATATGTATGTCCGTATGTATATTTAGTGCTACATATGAATTTGTTTAGGCTTCCAGGGTTGTGTCAAACCCTGATTAGGATTCAGTGGAAGCCTCGAAAACCCTAGAGGATTCGGTTGAATCCCTGGTTTCAACGCTTTTGACCACGTGGTGGTGTAGTGGTGTGGATCGTTGCCTGAGTTCCCAGTGCATAGGTTCCAGTCCTCTGTGTGGCTCCTACTAATTTCCTCAATAATAATAATAATAATAATAATAATAATACACAAGGAAATCACAGTAACGTGATGTATTAGTGAGAACATCAGGTGGAGCAATTGATTTTCTTATTGATGTATGTTGGTATGATTTCTTTGTGTACAGTATCTGAAGGGAGTGTATGGTAGAGAACTCCTACACCCACACGTGAGAGTATGCAGGTAATTTGTGAAAACGAGATGGTATAAGCTCGGTGCCTCAAGACACCTAGTAGGTTTAGTAGGATCCCAGGTTTACTTATCATGGTGCTGTGGGGTCAGGCGTGTGCCTGGGTGCAACCCGTTCTCACACTAGGCTGTTTGAAGCAGCGGCCGTCCACCCCTAGACGCATTCATCAATTTTAACATAATGTGTAATAAACATTGGTTTGTTCTCATATATAAATTAATATTCTTATAAGAATTGTATGTGTAGTTTGGCCTAGGATAGGATAGGTTTGGTTAGGTTAGGTTAGGTTTGGTTAGGTTAGGTTAGGTTAGGTTAGGTGTTTAGGTTCTGTTGGTAATTATTTGTTTTTGAAGTTCGTGGGGTGAAAAAATTATAGAATTGTGGTTCGAACAGAGGACGTGAGCGAAGCACTTGTTCCGGAAGTGTTCGGACGTCATCAGTTGTGAGTCGTGTGTAAACCCCTTTTCATTCATAAACAGGAGGGAGGGAGTTTGGCGGCTGGATTAACGAGCTTGGATCTTTGTATGCGAGAACGGGTTGCTAGGTGTAACCCCAGGTCGCAAGTTCGAATCCCCTCATTGCTCAAATTGATTTTCTCAGTAATAATAATAATAACGTATTTATATACAAGTACATTCGTATGTGTGTGATGATAAAGTGGATAATTTGCAGGTAAACAATATACATTATATAAAGCCACAAAGCTGAACAGACACGACGTTCACTTAAGATTTATGTACAAGTTAATGGGGTAATACATAAACAAAGAGAAGTTAATATATTTGAATTAGTAAAGAGCTTTAACAAATGATTTAAACATTTGTGAATGATTAAAAACTGCAGATTTTTGCGACAGTATATATTATTGTACTTAAATGTATAATTATTAAAAAGATTTAATAAATGATTTGGTGCCACTGGGGGGGGGGGGGTAGTCACCGTGGCGCAGTGGTAAAGCACTCGCTCAGGGCTTCGCCAGCGCTTTCGCCTGGGTTCTTATCCTGGCCGGGGAGGATTGACTGGGCGCCAATCCGTAGCCTCTGTAGTTCACCCAGCAGGTGAAAGGGTACCTGGTTGTTAAACGATTTGGCGGGTCGTATTCCAGGGAGAATTAGCATTAAGAACCTGCCCGAAACGTTATGCGTGTACATGAACTCTTGTACATATAAATAAAATATAATAATATATTTTTTTTTTAAAGTGACGGCATTAACACTATAATACCTTTGAAAACACTAACTATTAGTCCTTTGGAAGCATTAACTATTAGTCTTATGGTATTGGCCAATGGTAACTCATAATCAGATATGAGGTGAAATTATCTAGAATGAGTTATACATTTACCCCCCCCCCCCCAATAACACTATCCTGTCCGTTTTCTGTTACCAGAAACACAAGGGGCACTATTCTATATACTGACTCGACCGACACACTCGCCTTTCGAGAGTAATGTTCGCCCTTACAAAACAACGGGTCAAGAGCTGGAGCCTCTTTGTCTAGTGTCTGTGGCTGCTGGAGGTCTGGGTAAGTTAAGGGTAGCGTGTCTTTGGCTGCTGGGAGCCTGATACAGGCAGGATTTATATCTTTGTATTTATTTATTGAGATATATATATACAAGAAGGTACATTGCGTTTATGAGAGTGCATAGTATTGATGATTTTACATTCTTGTAAAGCCACAAGCACGTATAGCGTTTCGGTTATTCGTCTGTTAAACAGGGGTTCCTTGTACGTCTCTGTTGAACAGTAGTGCCAAATATGTCATTTGAATAAGGGTGGGGTGCCATACACGTTCGGGGTGCCTTATACGTGAACAAGGGGTTGTTTTTATGTCTGTGTTGAAAAGGGATGACTTATGCGTGTCTGTTGAACAGAGGAGCCTTACACGTCTCTGTTGAACAAGGGGTGTATTATGTTTGTTGAACAAGGGGGACCTTAAACGTCCCTATTGAATAGGGGTGCCTTATGTCTCTGTTGAACAGGGTTACCTTTTACGTCTTCGTTGAACAGGGTTACCTTTTACGTCTTCGTTGAACAGGGTTACCTTTTACGTCTTCGTTGAACAGGGTTACCTTTTACGTCTTCGTTGAACAGGGTTACCTTTTACGTCTTCGTTGAACAGGGTTACCTTTTACGTCTTCGTTGAACAGGGTTACCTTTTACGTCTTCGTTGAACAGGGTTACCTTTTACGTCTTCGTTGAACAGGGTTACCTTTTACGTCTTCGTTGAACAGGGTTACCTTTTACGTCTTCGTTGAACAGGGTTACCTTTTACGTCTTCGTTGAACAGGGTTACCTTTTACGTCTTCGTTGAACAGGGTTACCTTTTACGTCTTCGTTGAACAAATGGCATATGCATCTCTTTAACAGGAACATCGTATGCATCTGTTGTTGTTTTAGATTTAGCTACTCAGAACGAAATGTTCATGTAGCACGGGGTATGGCGAGCCCGTAACTTATTCATCTCTGAACTGCCTAATACGTCTCTGTTGAACAAGGAGTATACCCACCGAGTTGGGGTGGAATGCCACAGTTCATATCTGCATCACTCACCAGCATGTCACAGTGGACTCGGGGACCAGCGGGGGAGGAACTCATTAGACAAATGGCAAGAGTGAGTTACGTCCACTAATGGACAGCACTTCTTCTGTCATGAATAATTCTCTACTCTCCGTGCCGCAAGGTGCTGTCCCCGCCGAGGCCACTAGAGATGATGGGCCCTAAGGTAAATATAGGTAATATTCACCCATGTAAACATTACCAAACGGCTGCGGCAGAATAAGAAGGGTTGGGATAAAAGGGGGAACTGAAGCTCTGTTTCATTTCTATGTTTATTACAAAATAGACTCTGGTTACACTCAACAATATTAACATATACGCTGCCTGACATGCCTCGTTCTCGTGGCCACACTGACCCATACCCGCCACCTGACCATGGTCATACCTGGGCATGGCCTTATCAGCCCCTTCCTGAGTATCTTACATTTACGGGCTATTCATGCCCGTGCTACCTCCTGGGTGGCTTAATCTTCATCGATCAATCACCTTACATGAAGCTTGAGCTTCACTACACTCTTGATTTACCATAGTCTACACGTCTAAGGCTCTACCAGAGAAGCATGACTACAACACCACTTTTGGCAAGTCTCTTATCTCTCGCTTAGTTACAGCCCCGCTCCGGCGCCAGATAAGTCCACTACGGGCTCACCATAGCCCGTGCTACTCGCCCCGCTCCTGTGCCAGGTAAGTACACTACGGGCTCACCATAGCCCGTCCTACTTGCCCCGCTCCTGTGCCAGATAAGTACACTACGGACTCACCATAGCCCGTGCTACTTGCCCCGCTCCTGTGCCAGATAAGTACACTACGGACTCACCATAGCCCGTGCTACTTGCCCTGCTCCTGTGCCAGGTAAGTCCACTACGGGCTTACCATACCCCGTGCTACTTGCCCCGCTCCTGTGCCAGATAAGTACACTACGGACTCACCATAGCCCGTGCTACTTGCCCTGCTCCTGTGCCAGGTAAGTCCACTACGGGCTTACCATAGCCCGTGCTACTTGCAACGTTTTGTTCCGAGTTGCTGAATCCAAAGCAACAACTTCCCACTTGCTTTTGACGCACTCTAGGCTGGCTCTGAACACCGCAGCCTGGCGCCAACCACTCACTGCAGCCATCACTGCTCTACTGCTACTCGGTCGCTCCTGACAGGTCGGGTCTTCGCGAGACTGCTGCTACAAGCTCACTCCCTGGCTTCTCCATTCCAAGTCTGAGTAGGCTCCTTAGGCTATTCAAGTTTACATAGCCCCAGGGATCTTTACAGGCGAGTCTTGAACATGTGTGTGTGCACAAGACCAAGCTCTGTTCAAGCGAGTACTTGTTTCAAACTTTCTGAGCTGCCTCCATTGACGGTTCTCGGGAGTTGTGGGTTTTGGACGCCCCTGTATTGTCTTCACCTCACATCCCAGTATGAACACCGCCATGAATGAACTGCCACGCTCCGGACACATCTGCCACGCTCCCTGACACACCTGTCACGCTGTTGGTACCGCCGTCACAGTTGACACATTTTTACTGACAATTTCTGTTACCTTTGTTTTGGTTTTCTGGTGATGCCGCACGACAGCTGGCCAGATGTCCGCCATCTTTACCTTCTTCAAGTGGAACCACGCTAGTTTTGTACCGATATCCTTCATATCGAACTTACCGGTGCCGACCTTGGCCTTTATATTGGCTATAGAAATGTTGGCCTTGGCGCGAAGCAGGCCAGTGAGGTAGGCGTCGTCCACCCACAGATAATTGACTGTTTTGGAGGCTTGAAGGAGTTTGTGGAGGTGTTGGGTGGAGAGTAGCCACACCGGCCCCTGGCAGTACGGCGGGTACACCCTCCCTGGGTATTCGTTCCTTGCCACTTTATACCTGCCTTTCCGGCGTACTGGACTCTTCATTATGGCCCTACACTGGAACTGTTCCTGGGAGCTGTTGAGGTTCTGGATGAACTCCTGCAGAAGGAAGACGTCGAGGATGAGGTCATCGTCGGCGTGGAGGGTCCAAGGCACGTGGGAACAGTGGCCCAAGACCCAATTGATGGCCGCCAGCGCCTTGTAGCTCAGCAGGCGGTAGTCGTCGGCGTAGTCGCCCTGTTAGAGAGAGGTATTACGCTTGTCTTAATGTTCACATTGTTTCCTAAATACATTTGACTAATACATTTATACCAGACAGAAATATAACATCCCGGGAAACAGAACACTGCGGACACTTCCACGGCACAAAGAGGGAAGTAAAGCAATGGTCTTAGAGTGGTCAACACTACATCTTAGAGCGCACTAAGGCACAAGGTTACCAGTGTTATTAAGAACCTACCATAACTACACAGAGTAACACGGCTTCAGAGCAGGATGAGAATGTTGGTATCAGAAGACACCCAAAATCAAGATATACACAGATATTTTCATAAGCATTTGGTATATTAACCAGACCACACACTAGAAGGTGAAGGGGCGACGACGTTTCGGTCCGTCCTGGACCATTCTCAAGTCGATTGCCATTCTCAAGTCACAATCGACTTCAGAATGGTCCAGGACGGACCGAAACGTCGTCGTCCCTTCACCTTCTAGTGTGTGGTCTGGTTAGCTTACTTTAGCCACGTTATTGTGACTCATCGCCTGCATTTGGTATATGCGACCATGTACTGATAAGCCATGCAATAAGGTCATTGGGAATGATATGTAAAAGTTGGACGTGAACCACAACCCAGTCCCTGTACAGGACGGAGCTCAATGTTTATAATACTAATTACCAAATGAATCACAGACCACATTCGAGTTACAGCCCCGCTCCTGTGCCAGGCAAGTCCACTCCGGGCTCACCATAGCCCGTGCTACTTTGGAACTTTTGTTCTAAGTAGCTGAATCTAAAACAACAACAGAATCACAGACCGGGCAATCCCCAGGAAACGCTGGCCCCAGGCCACACTGCCATACCGCAACACGAAATTGTCAACAGGCAAATGTTGACATCTTAATAATTCTTCAGTGTACGATTAGTAGACCATGAAGTGTTATATTTCAGTGGTAGAGGTAAATAAACCAGCCGATCGCAGGTTGAGAGGCAGAACCTCAGAGCTGAAGCTCAACTCCCACAAGCACAATTTAATGAGTGCTCTTATACAAGTATAGCTCTCTCTTCCATCAAATAATTCGGAGTTAACATTTTTCCTAGAGCGTAATAGTGGCTTTAGGCATTGTATGTACTAGCTCTTATCTATAAATCCATCAACTTTTGTATCTCACCTTGTATGTATGTATGTACCTGAATAAATATTTGTATTCGTATTTTTGTATGCTCTCATGTTATATCCTGAGTACTGTTGTAACACACCCTTGGTCCCCAGAATCAGGTTATCTACATATCAGTTACCTATTAGAGGCTACCAGGATATGAAGCCCATCCTTTGGTGTGTCACTCGCTACCACGCCGCTTGCCAACCAGCCCATTCTCACTATCTGACACTACGTAAAAAAAATACAGCCGTTGTTGCCTAATCAGAAGCGTTCACACCTACTCAACCCACCTAACCAATCGAGGCTGGCGGTCAGAAAACGTCAGTCACACACAGATATCACACTAACGTGATGCATCAAATGAACAAATCCACAAGGGCCGTGACGAGGATTCGAACCTGCGTCGATTAAGGCAGTGTCTGGGATGCTCCCGGACGCAGGTTCGAATCCTCGTCACGGCCCTTGTGGATTTGTTCAGAAAACGTCAGTGTTACAATGTAGTTTTTTTTTCTAAAAAACTATTTTTGATGGTCAGATTGATTCCGTTAGAAATGCGGTGGATTAGTGTTGACCGCAGTAGACTGATGGGTTCGTCTCGTTGTTGACATGTTTAGTGGTTTTGTCTAGTATTATTTAGGCTTGTTATAGGCAAGAAATAGTTGGGGATATGTTATGTGTTATTGTGTAGTTAGTGTTTACACATCACCATGTTTGTATAATGGTCAAGTGGCGCCACACCTTGTGTGGTGGCGTGAGCCACACCTTGTGTTGTAGTGCCAGTTGTTGTTGTTGTTATAGATTCAGCTACTCGGAATAAGTTCCAAGTAGCACGGGCTATGGTGAGCCCGTAACTTACCTGGCACAGGAGCGGGGCAAGTAGCACGGGCTATGGTGAACCCGTAACTTACCTGGCACTGGAGCGGGGCAAGTAGCACGGGCTATGGTGAGCCCGTAGTGGACTTACCTGGCACAGGAGCGGTGCTGTGTTGCAGTGCCAGGCTCTCATGTTCTTTAATGTAACATTGTAGGTATGGTGCTCTGATGCACAGACTCGTGCAACACACACACACTGACCAACCTGACATTCTTTTGCGTTATTGTTTTCTGATGAGACGAAGACCATGACAATCAGAACACTCAGTTACTGTAGATTAGTTTGCATAGACGGACAAATGGACACTAAACTAAAAACCAGATACGTGCAAGGTTATGAGAGATCTGAGGAACAACATAAAGAGGAATTGATCAGGGTCAGTGAGAAAAAAAAAGAGGACCAAGGAGCAGACATAACACCTAACCTATCTCACATCAGTAGCATATGCTAAGGTTGCAAGCATCAGGACAGCCTTCAGGAACCTATGTTGACCAGACCACACACTAGAAGGTGAGGAGACGACGATGTTTCTGTCCAGGACGGACCGAAACGTGGTCGTCCCTTCACCTTCTAGTGTGTGGTCTGGTCAACATACTTCAGCCACGTTATTGTGACTCATCGCCTGCTTCAGGAACCTATACGAGGATCCGTTCAAAACGCTGTACACAGCATACTGTAAGTTGGGACAGTGGTGGAGCATGCAGCACCAACTCAGAGCCCCAGCTTCCTAAAACAATACGATTATCGGGAAAGTACGAAGGCTCGCTACGAGATTGAAATTGAAAATTGAAATTGAAATAAGTTTATTGAGGTAAAATACACACAAAGGGATGAGGTAGCTCAAGCTATTCTCACCCCGTTCAGTACATCGTGTTAATACATACATATACACACATCACAAACAATAAACATATTACCAAACATTCTGAGAGATAAACATATACATTTCCTCGCTACGAGATAGCCTGAACATAGCGATACAAGGGAAGGATAAATAGATTGAACATGCTCTAGAAACACAAGAGAATTACACGGATTATGAGGCAATGAGAACTAGAAGCGGAAATATCATGGCCCACCAACATACATCGTATGTTATAAGTAATTATGTTGGGAGTCATTGCATTAAACAACCGTCAACTGGAAATTCCAGGACGAGCAGGAAAAACTAGAACGGTACCTGAGTGAAGGGAGTATCTAGCTGACAGGAAACAGATAGCGCGAGATAAGAAAAATTCACGTCAGAAAAAAAGGAACAAGCAGAGCTCTTCAGGGCTCGGTCCTTATAACACCTGTTATTGCTGATCAATGTGTATCACCAGCCGAGGGAGGTATTCTCTTGCCAGTTACTATTTGTACTATTTTTAGATGGTGGATTACTGATGACAAGTCTTGGCTGCAACACGGCGACGTAAACAAACTGCAGAATTTAGCAACAAATGGCTACGAGAGTTTAGCAACACTGCAATGAATGTAGACGAAATATTGATGCTTTTGAAAGAACGGATATAGTATAACATTTGGGGGTTTACGGTGTATGCTCTGATGACTAATCATTATAGACGAAGTTTGACCAATCATTGTTTTCCTGAAAATTATATAAACTATATGTAGTGTTTCCTTTGTAAAATGGTGTAATGAAACAATGTCATGAAAATAAGAGAGAGAGGAAAGGCGAGGAAAATGGCATTACAGAAATCGGGAAGGAAAATGGCCTAAGTGAAGCCGTAACATCAACATGAGCCCGGAATCGTATGTGTATGTGATAGCAAGTTACAGGAAACTACTCAGAATACCACACAGTATAGACACCCCATCTTGTGACACTGGGGAGGACTTGAGAAAGTCTCCAGTTTTGCCACAAGACTCGTGTCATTTATTATTAACATCTTTATTGACAAAATTAATTACAATTTTGCCTAATCTGAGGATTTTGATAGGTCTTATTAAAGTGAGGATAATGCTAGTATTCACTGTCACGCAGGACAGAGGGTCATACATAAGACTCGTGTCAGGAATATTACACTCAGCAATGAGCACTGATTATGGGCGATCAGTCTGACGGCACCAGAAGAGACACTATAAGGAAGGACACATGATCACAGCATACACGATACAAAAGAAAGCAACACTGTCTTCTTCAGATGTACACTGTTACATGAGAGTTTTATTTGATCTTTTCTGCACCAGACTTATTGTCAAACTTATTTATTTTAGTTATCGAACTTGGCACTTAGATCATGAATTTGGCGAACTGTTCACCTGACGGAGTGCACGAAGGCCACCACCTGCAGGTCTCAGGAGCTCCTGCAGAAGAACTTCTCATCCATATGATACCTCCTGGGCACATCTGGGAACAAGTGACAGGATGAACAGCCCAGGGAGTTGTCTTCCTACTTGAAGATGCTGTACATGCTGGTACAGCGATATGCTACCCAATAAACACGCCCTTCAGAACAAATATAATTTGTTCTAATTATCAAAAGAAGACGCCAAGCATGGAAACTGAATGATGATTGATTGATGAAGATTAAGCCACCCAAAAGGTGGCACGGGCATGAATAGCCCGTAAGTGGTGGCCCTTTGGAGCCATTACCAGTATCAAGAGCTGATACTGGAGATCTGTGGAGGTGCAACTGCACCCTACGGAGAGGTCGTGACCTCTGTGGAAACCGAAGTTGCACTTAAATGCCACAAAAAAAGTGCCCAGATCTCGTGTTATGGACCTACCTTACACTTTCAGGGATCTGCTTACCTTTAGCTTCCGGTTGTTATGGGGTGTCAATCTTGCACACTCCCTAGCCTGGATCTACCATCTTGTAGGTTCAAACTACCCATCAACCATCTTGTTTTTGTCATATCTACTTCTGAAACTATGAGTTGCTTCTTTAGTTTAGCCTATTCCATTTGTTCACTGCTCTTAGGCAGACAAATTTCTTAATAAAATCCTAAGTTTCTGTCGGTGTATTTTTATCTACCCGGCCTTATTCTACGCGTCCTCTTCGTCGAACTTATCAATTTCTGGTAAGAGTACTGGGTGAACAGAGTACCTCCCAGCCTGCTCACCTACACCATCAGCCCCCAACAGCGTATCCCCCAGCCTACTCACCTGCACAATGTCATGATACAAGCTGCTTTCCTCCCTGACGATGTCCTCTTCCTGTTTGGTCTTGGCGCGTCCCACCATGAAGACGACCCCGAGCTGGAAGCCGTGGATGGTGGAGTTTGCCCAGGTGGCGCGGGTGTGTCTGCGATTCTCCACCCTGCTGATGGCGGAGTGCACGAAGGCCACCACCTGCAGGTCTCCCTGGCGCCTGCAGAAGTCCTCCTCTTCGATATGATACTTGTCGGGCACTACGGCCGGCTGCCCGACTGGGCTCTTAGATGGGTTGTCAGGGATGAATTGCTGGGGGAGAGACAAGGTTGGCTTACACTACCTAAATCAAGTGTTTTTAATTATTAAAATCTGGCAAATATATAATTTGTCCTCCAAATGTGTATACATATGCTGGCCAGGGTGCCCCACTTGCAGGCGATGAGTCGCAATAACGTGGCTAAAGTATGTTGACCAGACCACACACTAGAAGGTGAAGGGACGACGACGTTTCGGTCCGTCCTGGACCATTCTCAAGTCGATTGTGTTTCGAAACGTCGTCGTCCCTTCACCTTCTAGTGTGTGGTCTGGTCAACGTGTCCCACTTCCCTCAAGGGCTGCAGGAAGACACTCACCTCAGGATTACCGCGGTCTTCGTCGCTGGTGTCGTTGGCCGGGCTGGTGGTAATTGAGAAGGCTGGAAGGTAGCCGCCGCTAGAGAAGTCTAGGACGAGGGTCAGGCAGACCCTCGTGAAGACCACGGCAACGGCAATCACCACCACTTTCCCCAGCAGCCGTAACTCTGAAGACGAGGTGAAGGGAGGTGAGCAAGTGCAGGTGGAAGGGGGTGGGAGGGTACAAGGTTGGTTATGGCCTAACCAGGACAGGTGGCGTCAGAGAGCGAGGGAGATGCACGGCCACGACAACAACAGTATATTTTACATCTCCCATTAACACTATATATATATTCACAGCCCCGCTCCTGTGCCAGGTAAGTCCACTACGGGCTCACCATTGCCCGTGCTACTTGCAACTTTTGGTTCCGTGTAGCTGAATCAAAAATAACAATTAACAACCATTACTATAACAACTCTAGCTTACTACTACCACAATCCTATCGCAGTTCCAATTCATTAATACCACTATTCTATTACAAAACCCATTATTCAATTACATTTCCCATTTGGAATGTTTTTATAAAAAAAAAAAATCTAAAAAAATCACGTCTCAGAATACCAGTGGAGGCGAGATGGCTTGCTGTGTTACCATGAGTGTGAGCGAGTCATTTCTGATTATTGAATTTTTGTAAATATTAAATCTACCCCGGGGGAGGGGGGCAAGTGTATCAAATAGTGTCACATCTTATGAGCGAACAGAACCAAACCAGCAGGTACTATATGCCCTGCCCGAAACGCTTTGCGTAATAGTGGCTTTAGGCATTGTATGTACTAGCTCTTATCTATAAATCCATCAACTTTTGTATTTCACCTTGTATGTATGTACTTTACGTGAATAAATATTTGTATTTGTATATATAGATAATAACTAATTGTGTGTGAGGGCTACGACCCAGCCTCTTATTTACATAGTACCTTTTGTAACTATGTCGGCCATTGTACATATATTCACGTAATGGGCAATTAAATAGAATTTGGTACTATTCATTTTTTTTAATCTGGAAAAATAAAGCTAAAAGCCAAACTTAAATATTCCTAGGCCTAATATAGCACATATATGTGCTATATTAGGCCTCAGATAGCAGCGTATATTAGGCCTAGGATGTTAGATTAGTTTTATTAGCAACAAATACTTAACCTTTTCTGATTTGTCCAAATTCAATAATACCAAGTTCTGATAATTGTACATTACGCCGATATATGTACTATGGTCCACAGTGTTAATATTTAAACAGAAGGATGGGCTGTATTAACAGTTACGGGTTATTCATGCCCGTGCCACCTCTTGGGTGGCTTAATCTTTAACGTTTAATCTGTATTAACAGAGTTCAGCATATCTAACCCTCAGGGAAGGCGACGTCAGTCAGTCAATATGAGACATTCGTATATGTATTTACGATATATGTATATGTATTTTCAATATGTATTTTATCAATATGTATTTTATCAACTGTGCCTATTCTCAAGCTAAACGAAATTTCTTTCATCCTAAACCTGCTTTCAACACTAGTAGCACTGTACTCTGCCTTCATATATAGTCTTCAAGGGCATGCATGTTTTCCCTTTTCACGAAGTTCACACCACACATGGTGTATTGCACATGTGTGTGTTCAGAAAGCTGCCAGACACGTCATTATCCTGGGCGTATTCTGGCCACTGTAACGTGCAGCGAGCGTCCCGGCGGCGTCCCTGGCGGCGTCTCTATGGCGTCCAGGAGGCGTCCGGGCGGCATTTCGCGGGCAATCAGTCGGCGTCACCCGGCGGGAGCTTCCACGAATTCAATCTTCATCATTTATTTAATGTCTCTCACCTATTTGATCACAATTTGTTTCGCCGATTTTGTTCACTAGGATGTCACTTGATGTTCTCTTATAACAAAACGCGCAGAACATCGATACACAAATGTATGCGTGTCACAAATATGAACACCAAAACGTTTTATTTGAGTCAATTTGATATGTATTCCTGAAGTGTCGTCACTCAATACATATATACATGTTTATGTTGTATAATGAAGCACTCAGAAGCTGTGGAGGGTGTGATACTGCAACCCGTTCTCGCACTTGCTTATGGTCAATATTGGCTTATCTAATAAGTGCATATGTGACATACTAATTGATTGTAAATATTTTAGTTTACCTTGAAAAGCTTCATAGAAAACACCGACCTCACCTAAGATACTGAAGCAGTTCACATGGCCCAAGGCAGCGCCTCTGCACTCTGCTGTGGCTACTCTGAGGGCCTTGGGTTTTCTTTGCATGTTCTTATAAACAACGCACTCACGTTGACCTCTTGCACGCTTTCCAGTAGCTGGTATATCAGTTTTGTGTGAGTGAAAGCCGTCTTTGAAAGCCAGGGGCCAGATTCACGAATTCACGGCGGCTTTGATTACAAGTATTAAAGAGTTAATGAGCTCCGAAGCACCAGGAGGCTGTTTATAACAGTAACAACAGTTGATTGGGACGTTTTCATGCTTGTAAACTGTTTAATAAATGTAACCAAAGCCGTCAAAGATTGAGGAAAGATGGACACGTTCGTAAGTACATGCGTAATTGCTTCGTGAATCTGGCCCCTGTACATCTTTTCTCAATCTTTAGCTGCTTTGTTTCCAATTATTAAACAGTTAAAGCACAGCTCGGAAGCACCAGGAGGTTGTTTATAACAATAACAACAGTTGATTGGGAAGTTTTCATGCTTGTAAACTGTTTAATAAATGTAACCAAAGCCGTCAAAGATTAAGGAAAGATATACAAGTTCGTAAGTGCTTTCGTGAATCTGGCCCCAGATTGTCTGGAGCAGCGAGAGTTAAGACAATGTCCTCGCCCAACTTTTGTTAGTGTGTCAAATCCGCAAAGACTAAACACACGCGTAGTTAGTCTATGGCCTGATTTCACCATATATATATACTGTAACTGTTTAGCATGGCTACGTCAGCAAGGTGGAAAAACCACTTGGTCCAGTTAATTCATGGCCCCCCCCCCCCCCCTCTCTCTCTCCTTTACTCATTCCTGGCACCTCACCTTTACTCTGCTGACTCATGACACCCTTCCTCAATAATTAGGAAGTGCCACTTAATAACACTGTTATTAAGGAGTAACACTTCCCTGTTACGCCTTAATGTAACTCTCCTGTCTTGCACTCCCTTACGGCACCCGTTATTGATGAGTCGTGCATGATGCAGATGATGAGTCACAATAACGTGGCTGAAATATGTTGACCAGACCACACACTAGAAAATGAAGGGATGACGACGTTTCGGTCCGTCCTGGACCATTCTCAAGTCGATCATGAACTATCGTTCATGATAGTTCCCGTTATGATACTGCCTATTAGTTCCCCTATTACTTGAGAGTTCCTCGGCACACCATTTACTGAAGACATTCAGATAATCCCCCCACTTGTGAAAGGAGGAAATGTATATGTTTATCTCTCAGAATGTTCGGTAATATGTTTATTGTTTTGAAGACGATGTACTGAACGGGGTGAGAATAGCTTGAGCTACCTCATCCCTTTGTGTGTATTTTACCTCAATAAACTTATTTCCAATGATCCCCCCCCCCCACCCCCGTCCAAGGGATATATACACCGACAGGTGTACCCAGCTTTTCGATGTATACACTGAAAGTTTACATTTGTTTAGTCTTGAACTATGTTCAGGACCAAAGTATAGATGGTGATTGGTCAGTAAGCTATTGTGATGGTCTTAATAACCCTCCAGAGATTGATGGCCCAACATCAAGCCAAACATTCCGTGATGACACCTTATCTTGTCAGCACTCATGATCCTCCTGGCACCTCGTGGCACCCCCTGGCACTTCCTGGTACAGCAACACATGGAGACATGTTTTACAACTACATTTGAATGACTTCTTTGTTTAGATATTCACGGTATACCCTCGTGTAGCCCCCTTCAGAATGGCTTTCAATTAGAGAACTGTATCCTGGCACCCCCTTCTGTCAATCTCCTTTCTGTCCATTTTATTTTCAACTATTTGTGGACTTTTATGGTGGTCTCCTTCCCGGTATTCATTGTGGCACTCTGAACAGCAATTTTGAAGCATTTTTGTCTAACCCTTCTACATGGCATTTTCATTTCTAATCATTCACCACATTCCAATAGCACTGCTGGTGACCATAACCACTGGAAAACTTACTTGAAATACGTATGCTCTTGGTTACCATGTTGTCGGCTGCAGCAATATGTCGCATTCCTGTGTTGCTGTGCCCAGGCCCACACCGCAGCGACAGCCGCAGAAGCAGCAGTAGCAACCACAGCTACGCCGGCAGCGCCACAACAACCACGGCCGGACAGACAGTAGGACAGCTACTACAATTCTGGCCGGACAGACAGCAGGGCAGCTACTCCGGCAGCACCACGACAACTCTGACCGGACGGACAGCAGGGACAGTGGTGGTGGCGGTGTGGTGGCCAGTTGTGGTGACGTTAGGAGTGTTGCATACACCTCCGACTCAGTCGCTCGCTGGCACTCAAATGCATACATTCATACTCACATCAGCAGCCTAAGTGGCTCTTGAGCAACTGGGATAATCAGAGAGCGGACGACCGTCCGGGCTGTTATCTCACCACAGATAGCGTCTCCCGTTCTGCTATTACATTTAATAATTGTTCACTTTAATACAAAGCATTTCAATATTTAATGTAGTTCCTAAGTCAAATAATAAATCTTGCTCATTAATAATGGCATAATTATAATAATTATATCAATGCAGAAGATAATAAACATATCGGTAAACAGCGAGAAAGGAGTCAAATGGCATTTGGTTACAGATTACATCATTCGGTACATTTTTTGTCTTCTAACTATTCGCAAATTTCAGCTTGCTGCAAGTTTCAATTTGGTGCCAATTTTAACTTGAAGAAATTAATTGATTCTACAAAAAAACTGATAGTTTTATTTATCGAGTCTTCCTCAGTCTATACTCTGATCTTCATTACAGATAACAAAAGGACAATGTACTCTTTGACCCCTTGTTCAAATGAACATGCAACTTGTTCCCAGGGCAAGCTCGCTAAAGCGGTGGTCGTCCGCCACGAAGCAATCATCAATTTTAACGTATTTTGTATTGAAAATAGTTTTTCTTATATGTAAATTAATATTATTTATTAAAGTTCAGTGTATTGGTAGGCGTAGATTAGGTTAGATGTATAGGTTCTGTATTATTTGTATTAGAAGTACGTGGGTGAAGCATTTATAGCAACCCGGCCTCAGACCAAGTCCATTCCATTCAGCGGTCAACCCCAAAGAAACATTCATAAATTTTAAAATGCTGTTCATTCAAAATAGGAATTTTCTCAAATATAAATTAATATTTTATATTAGCATATTGTGCATGTTTAGACACTGGTTAGGTTAGGTGTTTAGGTTATGTTGACGATTATTTGTATTTGTATTAAGTGGGTGAAGCATTTACAGCGTTAAGTTTCGAGCAAAAGTCGTCAGCGAAGCACTTGTTCCGAAAGTGTTCGAACGAAATCAGTTGTGAATTGTGTGTAAACCGTTTTTCATTCATAAACAGGGGGTTCGGCGGGTGCATGGAATGGTCTTTGTTTATGAGGACGGGCTGACTGATGACTTTTTTCTCGAGCAGTGCTTCGTTCACGTCCTCTCTTCGAATCGCACCTCAGTAAGCAGCCCGTCCTCCAAACAAAGACCCAAAAGTGATTCCATTCACCCACCAAACCCCCTGTTTATGAATAAAAAAACGGTTTACACACGACTCACAACTGATTTCATTCGAATACTTCCGAAACAAGTGCTTCACTGACGACTTTTGTTCGAACCACAACGCTATAAATGCTTCACCAACGTACTACAAATACAAATAATCGCCAACAGAACCTAAACACCTAACCTAACCTATCTTATACCTATATATACACAATATGCTAATATATTATAATATTAATTTATACTTCAGAAAATTCCCGTTTTGAATGAACAGCATGTTAAAATTTATGAATGCGTCTGTGGGGTTGACCGCTGAATGTAATGGACTTGAGTCGAGGACGGGTTGTTACATCCAGCGGTCGACCCCACAGACGCATTCATAAATCTCTCAAACAACAGTATTTGCAGTTCCAACTTCACCCCACAGCCAGCCAAATATTAACAATTATTACCATCGTATATGCGAGCACAGTATGTATTATCCATCATATGAACCAAAATTCATACCACATCAACTTACATCTCAGAATCAAAACCGCCAAGTAAGCCAGAAGGGTTGGGTTACTATCCTGTACTTCCATTATCTATACCTTATATTCACATTTTCTGTGTATGGGTCGCTCGGTTAATTTAAGTTAGGTTCGGGTGTTAGACTACAGCATATTCTGTCGGTAGTTGCAACTCGAGAGGACGGCTAATCTGCCACAGGTTACAGTACTCAAATGTGATCCTGGCAACCACTTGAGTCGCACTGTCTGGTGGACTTTTTGTACCGCCCATATCAGATCTTAGGCCAGGTTTCATGTGTGTAAATCACGAAAAATAAATCTGATAGATATGTTTAGCATATCTAAGCAAATCATAACTTTTTACATTAGTGCTTTCTGGTCTTTGAGAGTGTAATTTCTCTATCAGACCTGAATGTTTGGATCAGTATTGTCTTAATAACAGAGATAGGGATACCTAAGTCTTATTCAACTTCGACTTTGTTGCACACTTATTTGCCTGCTGTCTGTCATTATGGTGAGTTATATTTATATGAGGGGAGTCTGGCCCTAGCTTCGGTGCGGGGCAGACGTGTTGAATCGGCGCTCCAGCAGTTTGGTGTTGTTTGCCCGTTTCGGCCGGTTGGGGGCGGGTGTGTGTCTGCTCGCCTGTGCTGACGTGGCGTTACGATGGGGGTCCCTCTACCCCCAGTCGTCCGGGCTCAGTCTGTGGGACTAGAGTTCTCTGTGCGGGCTGGTTACCCGGAGATTGCCCTGGCTTGTGAACTGCTCTCTGTCCCTGTGTTTGCGATTTATGGGGTCGAGTTGGTAACGGCCCGTAGGGCCATTGTGAAGTTTGCAGAGGAGGCGGCGTATCGCGATTTTCTCCGGCGATACGAGGGGCGGACACTGCCCCTGCCGGATGGTGCGGGCACTGTCACCCTCTCGGATAGAAGTGGTGCACTTACTTACATCAGTGTGCATGGGGCTCCCTTGGAGTTTCCAGAGGCTCTGCTACGGCGGTATTTCGGCCGGTTTGGCGCAGTTGTTAGTGTGAGAGTGAACGTGGTGTCTTCTAGTCCTCTTAAGGGTGTGAGGTCTAACATTCGCACCCTGGGCATGAGACTCCGAGCGGATATTCCGTCCTCTGTGCGCCTTATGGGGTACAACGTTCGGGTGTTTTACGCCCGTCAGCCGCGGACGTGTTATCGTTGTGGTCTTTTGGGCCATCAGGCTGCTGACTGTTCTGCGCCTCCTGTTGCACCAGTGAACCTCTTCAGTGAGGAGGATTTTCCGCCCCTTCCTGTGGGGGATGAATCGGTGGGTATGGACGTCTCTTCGGCTGAGGAGGTGCCCTCTGTAGCAGCTGTTGATCCGCCTGTTGCGCCCCCTGTTGTTGCCGCATCTCTTCCAGAGGTTGGGTCCTCGCCTAGTGCTCCAGCTGGTGTCCCTGAGCCTCTTCCGCCTGCCGTTTGCTCAGACCCCTCGTCTTCCAGTTCTTCCTCTGCTGTGTCTGTCCCGGTCCCTGCACCCTCGCCGTCTGTCCCGGCTGTGCTGGGAGATGAGGTGGATCCGGAATTCCCTCCTGTGCCTGGCCTGGTGCCCCGTGTGGTTGAGGAGGCTGCCGTGCTGCGGCGTGCGTCGGTTCGCTCGGTTGGTGCTGCGCGGGTCGCTGAGTCTGCCTCCGGGTCTGATGATGTGCGGCCCGAGCCTAAGCGTTCCCGGCGTTCTTCTGTGTGGGCTGATGTTGGCGAATTCGACGAGTGTCGTCCTTCCGTTGACGGTGGGGTGGCTCCGGATGTGGTGCACACTACGGTGGTGGCGGAGGTACACTTGCCTGAGGATGCCGGTGCCGGCGTTTCGGCCTCCACTTCGGGTCCGGTGTCCGAGGGTCCTGCTTCAGGTGCGTTGCCTGCGTCGGATGGCTCCGGTTCTTCGTGGGCGGTGGTTCCCCCTGCTGTAGTTGGTGGTGAGCGGGGTGGCCTGGTGGTGATGTTGAGAAAGGATGCTCGCTCTGGATGTTCTGTGGCCCCTTCCTCGTTACCCGTTTCCTCGGCAGCGGTCTTGCCGCCTCTTCCGTTTCCTGCAGTCCCTTCCGTGTCTCCTGCGGTATCCGTGGAAGTGCTATCGTCTCAGCGTCCGACACCTGCTCCGATGGCCAAGGCGTGGCAGGCTCGGCGACCCTCGTCCGCTTCTCCGGTGTCGTCTGCTTCCTCGAAGGGCGTGGTTGGCGCTCCCCAGCCTCGTTATGCGACTTGCGTCAGTGACCTTAGGCATTGGCCGATGCCGCCAGATATAGATGTTCCCGAGTTTATGATACCCGCTCGAGCGCGGGGGATCAAAAACCCTACCGACCTTGAAGATCTCGTCTGGGAAGCTTACAAGTCGAAATATCCTTGTGAGCTGTTCCCGGAGAAGTAAGTTTCTTCCGATGTTCCTCGCAAGTGATTTCTATGTATTTTGTGTTGCCTGGTTGTGGGGTGTGTATGTGAGTGGGTGGGGTGGGTATTGTTTCCCGGTTTGTTTTGTGGGTTTTTTTTGTATGCTCTTTGTTATGTTTTGCCTTCCGTTTGTTATGGCGGATCTGTTTTCTTTATTGTTATTGTCCTTATTCTTGTATGGTGTTAGCAGGCTTGTTTTGTGTGCGTTTTTTACTAATTGTGTATTGTTTGTGTCTGCATTTTTGTTTTGTGGTCAGCCCTTCTGGCTGGTCTTCTATTGATTTGTTCCTTTGTCCTTGTACATATGTGTGCTTTGTACTTTTGTTCTATGTTGTATTTGTTCTGTTTTTCTTGTACATTATACGCATGCTTGCATGTAAAAATAAAAATAAAAAAAAAAAAAAAAACTTGAGTCGCACTGTCTGGTGGACTTTTTGTACCACCCATATCAGATCTTAGACCAGGTTTCATGTGTGTAAATCACGAAAAATAAATCTGATAGATATGCTTAGCATATCTAAGCAAATCATAACTTTTTACATTAGTGCTTTCTGGTCTTTGAGAGTGTGATTTTCTCTATCAGACCTGAATGTTTGGATCAGTATTGTCTTAATAATAAAGATAGGGATACATAAGTCTAGTTCAACTTCGACTTTGTTGCTTACTCATTTGCCTGCTGTCTGTCATTATGGTGAGTTATATTTATATGAGGTGGAATCGATATAAAAAGTATTCTAAACCTTTTATTGTGTTCAAGGAGCAAGTTATTTATATTAGCTACTAATGAGGTTTTTGTTGTCTGTCTTGCAGGATAAATTGTTCAAGTGCTTGAAGAGCTTTGACACTCAGAAGGTAACTCCCGCCTTCAGTGTTTAGAATTCTTCATCTACCATAAATGAAGAAACGTCCAATTCTATGGTCATGCGATCTGATCCGAACTATCCGGAGATAGTCACGTCAGATGTTGGACGGTGTGTACATCATATGACTCAGGTGAGCTAAAATTAACACTGGTGGGCAGTAGGTTTTGCAGCAATATGCATACATGTATTATGCAAGCGGGGATTGAGCTTTGACTCTAGTCCTCTCAACCTTCAATCTACTTGAGTTACTGGTATCAAACGGCCTACTCTTAAGAGTCGTGTATCCCTGTGGCCTTCCTCCTACCACCGTAACTGGCGGTGGGAAACGGCTCTGGTTAGGTTACGTATTGGCCATACACATTTAACTCACGGTCACTTAATGGAGCGCCGCCCTGCTCCTTATTGTTCAAACTTCATTGTTCCTCTTACAGTCGTGCACATTCTTGTTGAATGTCCTGACTTCCAAGACGAGCGTGTCTTGCTTTCCGACCGTCCCTCGCGGTCACTTGTCCCTCGATAGAATTCTTGGTGAATGGGATACTTTTGATATCGTTCGCCTTATGCGTTTCTGTTCACGTATTGGTATCCTTGGTGATATTTAGCGCCCTCAGATTACTCCGCACATTTGGTGGTGCTACCTTCCCAGATTGGGGTCTTCTTTTGATAATTACTTTACTCGTGTACAAGTTCTCGAGCCTATTTGGTTCTGTAATATCCATTTTTGACCTATGTATGGAGTCAGTCTCCAACATTCATTTTTATCGCATTCCATTTCCTTACTACTGTGACAATGAAAACAATTATTCATGTCTCTGTGCCTCAATTAGATACTTAGCTTACACGTGTTTCCCTTTGTGTACCACCCATCCCAAATAATGTCCTAGATTTCCCTGCCAATTCCTCTGAGAAATTTGCATGTGATGATAAAACTTCTCTCTCAATGGTGTGAGATTTAATTAATTTAGTCATTCTTCATAATTCATGTCAGTGAGCTCTGGTATAAGTCTAGTTTTGTGTTTAACGAAATAGGGACATCTCGTTGGTCTTGTATATTCTAAAATTGGTCTGACGTGGAAGTAAGATTCTAAATGACATCATATTCAGGTTTCTAGAAGGCAGTTTTTATGTTGGCCAACAATATAAATGCAGCTGATTATGGCACCGAGTCTGTAATAAAGGTGCTTTTTATTATCATTATTATTGACAGACATAGCATGTGAAACATAGCAGGCCTAGTCTGAGAAATCGACATGTATGATCCTAGAGATTGGCAGGTTCATGAATGTAGACAAATGCAGTGTTAAGATAGCCTCGGAGAAGAAAATAAAAAGTATTCAGAGAAGACCTTGTGGTTTCTCACTGAACACTAATATTATCTTCTACCACCCCCATTCTTTTGTATGTACACATATATATTTCTTTTATTTGAACTTTGTTACAAAAACAGGAGTTACATATGGGGGTACAAAGATGGTTATCTCCTCCAGCTCCTCAGATGGCAGGCAGGACCCCTGAATGCACTGTGCATTTTCCCTCTGTATCGCCACGCTGAGGCGCTGGAAAAGAAAGCTTTTTCAGCGCCTTTGTGTGGCAGCAAGGTCCACATGGGTGATGGCGGAGAAAGGTCAGTTTCGTGGTCACGAAGGTTGCGGGGGTGCGGCCGTGGATATTGAGATTTCTCAGCTTCGATTGCATCCACAATAATAGCTTGGAGGTTGCGGTCAGTAATCCATTTGCCGGTTCTCCTGATGAAGACAGATTTCTCAGCAAGGAACCGTTGAGAGAAAATCAGACTGATATGCGCTTTTTCAAGGTCGGTGTGGGTAGTTACACTGGGACGTGTGTCACGTCACATGGCAGTCTCGCAGGGTTCAGGTAATAATATATTACTCGCTGTTTTATTACAAAAATTTAATGATAGAAAATTTACATGAAAATGTTAAATTACATTTTTTCCTGACTAGCCATACATAAATTAGAAGGTGTTGAACTGTGCTTACTGACATGAAGAACGCTGAAGAGCGGTGTCAAGGGACTCTCCCAAACTTTCCAGCACGTTGACGGAGCGTGGTTGGTTACTACGTTCCTGAGAACGATGCTACCTTCGGGGACTGGAACGTCTCGTAAGCTCTCCGTCTGGGGTTAAGAGCAGAGCTTCATAGGCGTTCACATTTTATATGTATTGTAATTGGTCGTTACTTCACTAACGGCGGTGTCTTCTAGCCTGCTGGCAGAGCATGATTCTGTCTTACTCCAAAAAACAAAGTACAGTACAACTTCCGTAGCGTTTCTTTTCGTCCGCGAGCATTGAAGGGCAACGCAGCTTTAAATCTGGCAGAACGATTACAGCCGCTGGATAAATTGTGAATGTTGTTCATTTGCTGGGCGAAGCCGCCTGTGAAATTTGATGGCATCACAATGATGAACAAATAAGTAGTCGCTAGGAAGATTGGTCGCCGCTAGGATTGGTCATCAAGTGAGGTAGGTACAAGAAGTCTGTGTTAGGATTTGTTTAGACAAACTTCATCATGCCAGTAACTGGTTTATACATTATGATGCACAGTTAATTGCCCAGTCACTCAAAATGTGTGGCAGGTCTCACTGGCCACCATTCTAGAGTCTGCGCTACAGTTGAAGACCTCGGCGAACTCTGGAGTGTTCATCATCAGAGCGTTGATTCTGAAAGGAAGACAAGACACTTCGATATTTACTGCTCTCTAAAAGACGCAACAATTTCAGAATAATATCAATACATAAACGTATCAATAACGATTATGTTTAATATATCTTTGTTCACTCTCAATACATGACATGCAGTGTTTAACAAATCATTTTTATATCGAATTTCAAGCCATGCAACATGTTAAAAGGTAGTGGTAGATGGGGCTGGAATGTTTGTGTGACATGCAGTGCTCTCTAACTCTCACTGATAATGATGACCAGACCACACACTAGAAGGTGAAGGGACGACGACGTTTCGGTCCGTCCTGGACCATTCTCAAGTCGATTGTCACTGATGAATATGTTATGTGACTGGAGAATATGATAGAGCCAGTGTTGGAAATGCCAGTGATGGAGAGGTAAGGGTTGAGGACGTAAGAGAAAGGAGAGTTAATGTAAGAGAGGGCGGCGGTTCACCTCATGCCGTCGGGAAGGTGTTCGTCCATCTCCATCAGGAAGATCTTGGCCACGTCGGGGATGACGGCGCAGTAGGGCTGGAGGGCGAGGGAGCGGAGCGGCCGTGGGCAAGGACGGGCCCGGGATACACACCACCGTCGTTGAAAGACAAATTCGTGCAAATTCTATTAATTTAACACCACTACCACTATAAGGTACACACAATTATCTGCATTTACACAGCTACCATAGACTACATGAAGGGTTACATTGTGTGCCAAGGGCTAGCTATAAGATACTAAAATCTCCATCTCAGGGTGATGGTTTTATTAATAATATATATATTGTTGAATGTAACGAAGCAATGTAAGCTTATGTCATCACCAAGACTGTACTCGAGCAGGTTAGGCTCGGGTTGCTAAATACATAAAAGGTAAGGTGATCCAGGGAATTAGGAACCTTCCCTGTGGAAAGAGACTAAAGGTAACTCTATTCGCACTTTGTAGACCGGCGTAAAGTTCCTACATGACTGACTGAGTGGACACAGCCGCCTCTTACGAGCCATTCTGCATTTTCATTTGTTCTTATGTTAAGGTGTAGAAAAGAAAACAGTGTTGGAGATCAGATAGCCTTAATAAACTCTAGTATCAACTGACAACACTTTCAAAACAACGTAACTAAGGCAACATAAGGCAAAACAACGTAACTGGTAATAGTCAACAATAGCAGAGACAACGACCAGAAATATGGCTAGAAATGACTGTAGGAATGGAAAAAAGATATTGACGAAGTATTGATCAAAAACTCTGTGCCACACTTCAAGAGAGAGAGATGACCAGATGAGTGACATCAGTTTGGGGACGACTGACGTCAGTTGAGTGCTATTGATAAATTTAGTATTTAGTGTTGTTGATAAAATGAAAAAGGATAATTTGTTTGAAATAGGAAGGACTTAAACATCGAAACTCAACACTCAAAAAGCCCAAGATTAAAGATAAAATGTTTTTAATATGAGCCAAGTGAACGAGAACAGACCTACAAGAAGCAGTAGCGGAGGGAAACTGTGTACACAAACTCTGATATGAACAAGACTCGTGGGATCGGGGAGGCATCACTCTGGTCGATTAACGGATAAGTACCTGGAGTTCATATCCCACTATAACAATCAAATCAAATTCATATCTGTTCGCTACACAACCCCTTTCTAACTTTTCGTTTTCTCTTACTTTCCGTTTCGTTGTCATACACCTTTTCTTATCCCTCCTTTCCTCTGGACGGTAGAACGACGTTCACTCTCTTCAAGAAAGTCGGCGTTCAATCCCAGACCTTCCAAGGTGTTGGGCACCATTCCTTCTCCCCGTCCCATCCCAAATCCTTATCCTGACCTCTTCCCAGTACTATATAGTCGTAATGGCTTTCCCCTGAAAGCGTGACCATCTGGTCACCACTTGGTCCGGGAGACATCTCCCGTCACGCAGGGTGCAGTCGCGCCTCCACAGATCTCCAGTATCAGCTCTTGATACTGGTAATGGCTCAAAAGGGCCACCACTTACGAGCTATTCATGCCCGTGCCACCTTTTGGGTGGCTTCATCTTCATCTTAACACATTCACAAGGGAGACATCTCCCGTCATGCAGGGTGCATTCGCACCTCCACAGATCTCCAGTATCAGCTCTTGATACTGGTAATGGCTTAAAAGGGCCACCACTTACGGGCTATTTATGCCCGTGCCACCTTTTGGGTTGCTTCATCTTCATCTTAACACATTCATAAGGGAGACATCTCCCGTCATGCAGGGTGCATTCGCACCTCCACAGATCTCCAGTATCAGCTCTTGATACTGGTAATGGCTTAAAAGGGCCACCACTTACGGGCTATTCATGCCCGTGCCACCTTTTGGGTGGCTTAATCTTCATCATCATCATCATCCCCTGAAAGACGAGAGACATCTCCCGTCACGCAGGGTGCAGTCGCACCTCCACAGATCTCCAGTATTATCTATTGATACTGGTAATGGCTCAAAAGGGCCACCACTTACGGGCTATTCATGCCCGTGCCACCTTTTGGGTGGCTTAATCTTCATCAATCATCAATCCCCTAATGCCCTCCCTGCCCTCTGTGGGTCTCACCTGGGCGGCCGAGACGAAGAAGAGCTGGCTGGGGGAGAGTGGTATGGCAGGCAGGCGCGGCTCTATGTGGTTCCTCTCCACCCACTTCTGGTACGCTCTGTACGCGTGCCGGATGCCAGCAATGTCCGCCAGGTTCTCGTTAAGCGTCGCGCTGCTGTCGATCTAACAAGAGACGACAATTTGGGGGTAAGAATTCATTTCATTGTCTCTGAAAACCTATATAATGAAAGGTTTTTCCATCAAGAAACGTTGGGAAGTCAATGATATGAGACTACCACTCTGTCGGGGTGATTGAACGCTGTTGGGTCTGTCCAACAGACCCAACTGTTGGGTCTGTTGGACCACCCAAAAGCGACCACCCACTGTCTGGTTAGGTGACCATGCAGACAACCGCACCATTGCCTAGGTTCGTAAATTACCACCATTTACAAACCTAAGTCTTTCTGTTGCAGACAATGAGAAACCAACAATTGACTTGTATTATATTCGTATATATTATATGTGACTGATGTATCTGAAGGAAATAGTGTTTAGATGTATGATTGATAGGTTATAATAGTTTATGTTCACGTAAATTATAACGTGCTTCTGATCCAATATTACTAAGTGAAAATGTATTTTATATAATTTCATATTCAGTACACTTGGGTATTCACAGAGTCGATAACTAATTGTAGCAAGGTCTGGATTTTGAATCTAGAAGTACGATATGCAGGCGATGAGTCACAATAACGTGGCTACAGTATGTTGACCAGACCACACACTAGAAGGTGAAGGGACGACGACGTTTCGGTCCGTCCTGGACCATTCTCACAATCGACTTGAGAATGGTCCAGGACGGACCGAAACGTCGTCTCGTCCCTTCACCTTCTAGTGTGTGGTCTGGTCAACTAGAAGTACGATACTTTGTTGTGCATCATCTGAGTGTTGGTTGACACAACTGAACCTGGCGTCCTGCCTGTGATTGGTCTTCACAGCGTTTATAATGGAGAGATATTTCGCGGAGTCTGGCATTATGAGTTAGTCTTCTTCCATGGGAAGTGCAGTGCATCATAATGTAATTGGAAGCAACGTCCAAGATGGCGTGCGCTAAACCACTTGGATACTCGCTCAATTAAGAGTGATGACAAGTAAGTTCAGATATACTTCATTATTTAGATTCCGGAAGGTAAGGTACTCTGAAAATGCTTAATATCTTACCAGCATTAGGGTCGTTCGTGTCCTTTACTGCGCATGTGCAGGCAATATTTACTGATAAGCTGCACCAAGTAAGTCTTGTTAGTAGCCATATATATTTATAAGTTTGGGAGCAGGAAATCAGCACCTGCTCCAGAAACGACTTTCAGAAACAGTCTGACAGTCGTTTCCCCTGCAGGTACCCATTAGCTGCCGGGTGCACAGGACTGTGCATCACAACTAATGCTCAGGTCTAACCTCCATGGCAATGTTTGCGTGCTGGACGGAGACCTCCTCGTAGAAGGCGCGGGAGAGGAGGTCGTGGTAACACTGCACAGTGACATTGAGCCTGGCTCTAGCCGCTTCGCTGAAGGGCCTCGTCAGATCCCCTCTGGCGTCGTACAGCATCCCTGTGAAGGGGATGAGAGAGACGTTACGGATGGTGGTTTCAATGTTCTGAATTTCTGTCCGCTAGACAATTATTATGCAAGGTACCGTCAATAACCAGGTAACGTGGGCCATAAATTAGGCTGAAGTCCTGGCCAGCAAAGAGATGATTCACTAATGCGAACTGACAAATATTAAAGTACCGCCAAACGTCCCGGTGATAGACATTATCTGATACTCATAAATTTAATATCAAAGATAACGGAGTGTAACAGCATCGTCTGCAAACACTGACGATACTAGAGTACTTAGTTATATCGCTGATATCATAAATAGTATATGGGCCTAGTACCTAGAATGGGAGCACCCTGAGGTGCTCCCATTCTTACTACCTTCCATTCCAATCTCCTTATGACTGTGCATCCTGTTACATGCATGTGTAGGGAGGGTGGCGGGGCCAGACGAGAAGTGTGTGTTTGAGTCTCACCATTGAAGTCAAGTCCATGGAAGATCTCATGGGCCATGGAGTTGGCAGCGGAGCCGTAGTTGAGGTACTCTGGTCCTCGGGCGTGGTAGAAGGGCGGGTGGAAGAACGCCTCTGGAAACACTGGCCGTGAGGACAAATATCGAATTCAGATTAATGTATTTTAGTGTAGTTTGTTTATTATGTACATGTAGAGAAAGACCAAGATGAGAGAAGGTTTTAAGAGTTGATGACGTTTCTCTTGTAAAGTCTTTATAAAATCTACCGGAGATACACAGGACTAGTGCTTTTACAGGGGGCAAATCAGGGGAAGGAGAAGGATTATGTATTACAATATATATTTATGAAGTATTAATTCGTCCAGAAGGGGAGCAGTGTTAAACTTGCCTACATTATATACGATGGTACTGTAGTGTTGGACGGCGACACGCTCTTTATACGGCCCGTTAGTCCAAGTTCAAGTATGTTTATTGAGACAAGAAAGAAATACATCTCAAAGGGATAGAGTAGCTTAGGCTATTTCAACCCCCCGGTGTCCAACCACTTGGGCTGGACGGTCTAGCTTCATGCAGGTCGGCGTTCAATCCCCGACCGTCCAAGTGGTTGGGTACCATTCCTTTCCCCCGTCCCATCCCAAATCCTTATCCTGATCCCTTCCCAGTGCTACATAGTCGTCATGGCTTGGCACTTTATCCCTGATAGTTCCCTTCTACCCCCCCGGTCCGTCAGTGTTGAGTTCGTGTTGAATGATGAGATTAGCGTCCCTGAAGCTTATGAAGTGTTGCTCCGGGAGTCTGGGTTTGTGTTTTGTGTATGTATACTTGATGACAATTGTCGTGGGGCGTTGTGTTCCCCACTGACTTGGTGACCTTGTTATTGTTACTGTTGATTGTGTTCACTGCAGGTTGTCTATACACACTCCCTCTATGGCCTTGATGGCAGGTGTTGCTTATGTAGTTTGTTGTGTTTCTGGTCGGGAGAATGAGCCGTCGCTCTTGTTCTGTTGTCAGTGTTGCTGTTGACTTCAGTTGCTGGTTGTATGATGACCAGACCACACACTAGAAGGTGAAGGGACGACGACGTTTCGGTCCGTCCTGGACCATTCTCAAGTCGATTTGAGAATGGTCCAGGACGGACCGAAACGTCGTCGTCCCTTCACATTCTAGTGTGTGGTCTGGTCTTCATACTTTAGCCACGTTATTGTGACTCATCGCCTGCTTGTTGTATACATTCCCTGAAGAAGGATCGTGAGGTTTCTAAGGTTGAGGAAGGAACCGGTGATGTACGTGTACGTGTCTTCAAACAATTGCTGCTCTTCTGGTTAAATTAATACTTCAGAAAAATAACTGGTATAATCCCTGGCGTTCACCTCACCCACCTCGCCCGGCGTCAGAAGTTGTTTTGTCAACTTTGTAAGCCCTAATTCTCTATTTCTGCTGGGTCTGATAAAGACTTTCACGCTAAATGTTATCTACTTTTAAAGTCTGCTCCCATCTTGCAGTTTCTCCATATCGCTAATAGAAACTTTCCTCTTTAGCAGCTAAAAATTGTGTTATGTTTAAGAGCAAGCCAATGTCCTGAAGTTGCGTAAATGATGATAAAGTTAGATTCAAAGTGTATGCTTCAGCTCTGTTAGAAATATAATTCCTATTCAAGGAAACCAATTTAGACAATATACTTCATCAAAATACGTGTGAATTCTCAGGTGCCTGTCCTGCTGGAGCCGAAACGTTAGAGAAGAATGGTGAGAAGTGTAAGTGTGGAGGTTAGACAGCGTCCGCAGAGCCCCGAAGAGCAGGCTCCCTCGGGAGACTGGGAGCGGTACTGACCTATACTGTTAGTTGACTGCATGTGGAAGGCGTTGACGATGTACGGCTGGACGGTGAAGCTCCATCTGTGGACAGGTACAACACTGACCTTCATTCTTTATCTTAACCAGAGTACACTGCACATTCTTCTCACGCCACTCGCTAACGATGTCACTCACCTTTGAACTGCCTATAAGGTAACTTAAATGGCTTTATACTGATGACGCAAGATGAGATGAAGGTAACCTACTGTTGTGTTATCAGCTAACAATAAACACATGTGCAAGTAGAGCAATATTTCCCAGAGCCCTTGTACTGGTGTGTGGTCATCAAGTGGTGGTGTACCGGGAGCAGCTCAGGCCCATTGTGTCCCGCAGTCCTGGACCCAGTGTCCCACAGTCCTGGACCCATTGTGTCCCACAGTCCTGGACCCATTGTGTCTCACAGTCCTGGACCCATTGTGTCCCACAGTCCTGGACCCATTGTGTCCCACAGTCCTGGACCCATTGTGTCCCACAGTCCTGGACCCATTGATCGTAGAGGGTTCAAGTGTGTGTGAAGGTTTGTGCAGTGTCCTATCCACTTTTCCTTAACTGGGACCAAAGGACGCAGGGAGTGTCTTACCAGACTCGAGAGGTCATAGCCAGAGCTGGGATGGTTGTATGTGACTTAAGGAGAAGGGACTCACATGAAGGCTCTCCGCTCAATGGGTGTTTGGTACAAGTGGTACAACTCCAGCCGGAACACCCGGTACACCTCCTGTACCGCCTCCAGGAAGCTCAACCCCGGCTGGAACCTTATCTGTTCAGGGAGGAGCCACGTGTTATCTCTCTTACGGTGAAATGGTGTTTCTCTCTTTCCATTATATATATACTCCTTCATTCATACAGTCCGTCTTTCTCAATGTCTTCTCCCCTCTCCTCCCTCCTCTCTTACTCACTCCATGAAAGTATCACCTACCTTCGAGTGGGATTCATTAACGTAGGAGATGTTCCAGTGGTTCTCGAAGGCGCCCACCTCAGCATGGAGGGAGTGGAGTTTGGACAGCGCCACCAGCCGCTCCTCGCTACTCAGCCACTCAGAGGACCTGATGGACATCTCCACCTCCTCACGCAGAAGCGCCAGTATTGACGTTGTCTGTAAGAGGCCACACCGAACACGTATCTTAGATGCCAGCAATAGTAAGCTGTGGTGAGTCTCTTGTTCACACCTGCATTTGCGGAAACTTCTCTCGAGGTCTGAATTACATGATATAGTTATAATGTGGTAATACATCTTTGCCTGTGAAATAGAATGTCTGTTTATTTGCGACAGGAGACCAGGCGCTTGGGGCTAGCCTCGGCAAACTTTGCAGGGTGACTAGTGGTTATTGGGGGATGGTCATGAAGACCAAGACCAATACTTGGTCGTGGTGACTTCCATGTCTCCTTTGAAACCAACTTCTATGATTCTATAAGGAAACTGGCATAGTTTTCTTGTAATTTTCACTTTGACAGTCTCCATTGTTTTTTTTTTCTTCTGAAATCATGTGTGCATATGTTTATGTATGCATGGTATGTGCGTGTGTGTGTGTGTGAAGTTATTATAAACACATCTTATATGGTATCAACACAGATCTTTAAGTAGCAAATTAGGAGACCTAATTTGGTCCATGCCATCCTCGAGTTGCCTTAGTCAGTCAGCTACATGTGGCATTTCACTTTTGTCTGACTCGCTGAATGTGAACATTATTGCACGTGACCAAGGGAACAGAATAAACAAAAATAACAATTCTAATAATAACACCACAATCTTGGACATATACTCAATTTCTCACACAACAGAGGGAGTGAAAAATATAGGAAGGGAGAGTTGATATACAACAAGAGGAAGAGAGGGCTCATAGTGCATCAGAGAGAGGAAGGAAGAGATGCCATAGTTACATAGAGGGAGAGAGATGCTGTGGTGGAGTACAGAGAGGGAGAAAGATATGCTGTACAGAGGGAGAAGGTGATAGGGGAGATAGCAGACTAACGTGGGCGCGGATGGTGTTGATGGTGTGGTTCCCGACGTGGTGTAGATACATGTTGGACATCACCTCCCCGAAGACGTTCTTGGTCGCCTGCCGGCACAATACTTGGCGTTACGGTGGGCCGCACTACAGTGCCCTATACACACACACATAGTACAAATTAAGAGACAGGAGCTGATGCTCAGCCTGCAAGCATATACAGGCGAGTACACACCTGGAGGCAGAAGGACTGGCGGTCGGTGTCGTCAGAGGCGGAGACGGTCTCGAGGAGGACGTCGTAGATGTAGACAGCGAGCAGTCCGTAGTGCAGCACCCTGAGGGGTAGGAGGAGGAGCACAGGCTGGTTACTGGCCCTCGTCTTGTGTCACCAGCTCCCCCACTCCACCCACACCCAGCCCACTAAACTCACTTCATCCTAATTTGGCCCATTCCTACCTACTGACCCGACGTCATCCCACTCAGCCCACTGACCCCACTCTGCAAGCTCACCATGGGTCGACGTCGCTGATGATGTTACAGAGACGTAAGAGGTAGTCGGGGTAGTAGACCAAGATGCGGTCCTCGTCGGTAATGGTCTTCTGGAAGAGTTCCTCCAGCAGGTAGCGCCACTCAATCTGAGACACCATGTGTTTATTAGTAGTGTTTTGTTATGTAAACAAAATACACGTGGTGGGTTAGCGCATTATTCCCTTTACACGCGACGAGGAAGTGAAGCCTCCCAACGATTGATTGATGAATATTAAGCCACTCAAGAGGTGGCACGGGCATGAATAGCCCGTAAAGACTCCCATTACGTGAAGGGTGGATTTATACACCCCCCGTATGTGAAGGGTTTCCTAGGCAATGGCCTTATTGCGAGTTCTGAATGCTTGAAAAATACTTGCATTCAGATTTCCAAGTGTTCTATCAACACAAAACCAATTCTATTACTATATAATTCTGATAGGGTCATAAGCGTACATGAGCCAGATACCAGCTGGAAAATGTGTTACATCTGCTACATCCATGCGGAATAGCTACATGAGATCCACGTGAGGGGTGGGGTTTTAAAAGCCCTTCCATGTGAGAAATGGTTTTGGAAAGGCTGTGGAGTACATATGGTGATGGTTGTGTATAGGTGAACAAGGGAGACATCTCCCGTCACGCAGGGTGCAGTCGCACCTCCACAGATCTCCACTATCAGCTAATGATACTGGTAATGGCTCAAAAGGGCCACCACTTACGGGCTATTCATGCCCGTGCCACCTTTTAGGTGGCTTAATTTTTATCCATCCATCTATAGGTGAAGCAGTAATGGTGAGGGTGGTGGTGAGGCATAGTTGGGGTGATGGAGGTGAAGCAGAGGTGGTGGTGGTGGGGGTGGTACCTACTAGAGGAAAGTCGTGCTGGAGCTGGTGGAGGGTGTAGGTGTGGTAGATGCTCCCTTGCTGCTGTGATCTGATCTCGTCCCGCTCGTCAGGTTGTATCTGTGGACCGGACACCCGTACAGCTCAGTTAACAACACAAGCGCCAGGAAACAATGCACATTCTTCTAGATGAACGACCAACCACTTGGGCTGGACGGTAGAGCGACGGTCTCGCGTCATGCAGGTCGGCGTTCAATCCACCGACCGTCCAAGTGGTTGGGCACCATTCCTTTCCCTCCTTCCCATCTCAAATCCTTATCCTGATCCCACTTCCAAGTGCTATATAGTCTTAATGGCTTGACGTTTTCTACTGATAGCGCCCTTCTCCTTGCAGATAAACGGGAACCCAAACACTTGGCCTGGTCGGTACAGCGACGCCCTCGCCCCTTGTAGGGTCGGGGTTCGATCCCCGATGGTCCAAGTGGTTGACCTTCCGGGTCATACTGGCATAAAGCTACATCCTGATAATTATCTTACATCTTTCAGATAAAAACTTTCTTATAAACACTAAACTACGACATTTTATAAAATGCATTCACACTAAAATATGTTATCGCTGAAAGAGAAGGGAAGGGGGAACTATCAGGAGAAAGCCACAAACCATTACGACAATATAGCACATGGAAGGGGATCAGGATAAGGATTTGGGATGGGACGGGGGAAAGGAATGGTGCCCAATCCCCTTGGAAGGACGGGTGATTGAACGTCGACCTACATGAAGCTGAGACCGGCTCTCTACCGTCCAGCCCAAGTGATTGGACCGGCTGAGAGAGAGAAATGTCAGAATATTGAAAGCTGGGTAAACTTAGGGTAGACTGACCCGTGTTAGTATGCGGAGAATAATGATGTTGTTGTTATAGATTCAGCTACTCGGAACAAGCTCCAATTAGCATGGGCTATGGTGAGCCCGTAGTGGACTTACCTGGCACAGGAGCGGTGCTGTGTGTATGCGGAGGAAGGTTGAGACTGAGATAAGACTGACCTCTGCCAGCTTTTCGACGAAGGAGGTGATGGTGAGGGTGAAGAGGTGTTCTCCGACGCCGTCAGCCACGTCGTCAGCCAGGCCAGCGTTGACGCCGGGGATGAGGTGTTCCTGGATCATCTTGTTGATGCCGTCTGTGCGCTTCGTCTTCATGTTCATCTGACAACATTCAAGGTGGACTCCAAGTCACATGTGCTCCAAGTCACTCAAACATTATTGTGGCGATTTTGACCTTTTATATATAGATATTATATATATATATATATATATATATATATATATATATATATATATATATATATATATATATATATATGTGTGTGTGTGTGTGTGTGTGTGTGTGTGTGTGTGTGTGTGTGTGTGTGTGTGTGTGTGTGTGTGTGTGTGTATCACGAAAATAAACACGTGATTAAAAATGTGACAATGTCAGACCACGGAGGAAAAATGAAACAGGAATTTCCTTAAGTACTTTCGTATATTAATACATCTTCAGAAGGAGTGAAGTATATATATATATATATATATATATATATATGTCGTACCTAGTAGCCAGAACGCACTTCTCAGCCTACTATACAAGGCCCGATTTGCCTAATAAGCCAAGTTTTCATGAATTATTTGTTTTTCGACTACCTAACCTACCTAACCTTACCTAACCTAACTTTTTCGGCTACCTAACTTAACCTAACCTATAAAGATAGGTTAGGTTAGGTTAGGTAGGGTTGGTTAGGTTCGGTCATATATCTACGTTAATTTTAACTCCAATAAATAAAAATTGACCTCATATAGAATGAAATGGGTAGCTTTATCATTTCATAAGAAAAAAATTAGAGAAAATATATTACTTCAAGAAAACTTGGCTTATTAGGCAAATCGGGCCATGCATAGTAGGCTGAGAAGTGCGTTCTGGCTACTAGGTACGACATATATATATATATATATATATATATATATATATATATATATATATATATATATATATATGACAAATATATATATATATATACGGACGGACCTTACACGGACCTTCTGAAGATGTATTTAATATACGAAAGTACTTAAGGAAATTCCTGTTTCATTTTACCTCCGTGGTCTGACATTGTCACATTCTTAATCACGTGTTTATTTTCGTGATATACACACACATATATATATATATATATATATATATATATATATATATATATATATATATATATATATATATATATATATATATATAGTATATATATATATATATATATATATATATATATATATATATATATATATAAAGTACTGGGAGATGACGGTACAAGGACTCACCTTAAACATGTTGTACACGTCCCTGCGGCTGACGAGGGGAAGGGAGGTGGTGTCCGTCACGTTGGTCAACAGTCCTGTAGGATCTGTAAGTGGAAGAAGACGTGATCATCCCGGCCACTCTCACTACCACCAATGCCACCCACAACGTCTGGTATCACCAGGTCAATATCTGGACAATCTTGCATGTATGCCGAGAAAACTTGAATAATTATTTATATTAATCTTTGCGTGTCTAGAATTTACCAAATAATTAGCAAGAAGCAGCCGCCCAGCAGATCCACCCGTGAAACACACTAAAGAACTCTGTTATCAGCTCATGATGATTGATGAAGATTAAGCCACCCCAAAAGGTGGCACGGGCATGAATAGCTCGTAAGTGGTGGCCCTTTTGAGCCATTACCAGTATCAAGAGCTGATACTGGAGATCTGTGGAGGTGCGACTGCACCCTACGTGACGGGAGATGTCTCCCGTGTGAACAGATGTACAAATCATTGGGGGATCTCTCGCATTTATACATTGTGTGTGTGTTATCAGCTCTTTCCTGCATTTAGTTAACGTTTTCACCAGTGACAAACTTCAAAGAAGACAGCAAATTATAACATTTCCTGTTTATTGATTAGTGTACCACAACTCACTAAGAGCAGCAGGGAGTCAAGATTGCTAATTTTTGTCGTGACCAGAACCTGCGTTTCTTTGACCTGTGGCCAGCGACTCGAAAAGAAATAAATGATTCGTAACGTGCAATTAATTTGTCTTTAGAGCTCTAAATCTCCAGCCACTTACACCGGTCCATATTTACCTATCCTTGTTAGTTTGACTAGTTGAATTATGGTTGAACCTACTTACTACCCAGACTGTTTTTATCCTGACTATGGTACTCACAGTCTTCGTCGATCCCAGTCATTTTTATATCTTCTTCGTCCTCAGGCGTCATTGGTGTTGTGGTAGGAGGGTGTGTGGCGGTGGTGGGCTGGCGGGAGGCCTTCGATGGTGTGCGAGTGATGGTGGTAGGTGCTTGGGGAGACGCTGATGTCTGGGTGGTAGTGCTGGTGGTAGCTGGTACCTGAGTGGGTATGCGGGTACTAGTTGGTACTTGCGTGGATATGGTGGTAGTAGAGGGGGTTCTAGCGGGTTCGGTAGGTGTGCGAACAATAGTGGTTTCAGCGGTGGGCACACGAGTGGTTGTGTGGATAGAGGTGACAGTCTCGGTGGGTAAGCTGGAAGCTGTGGTAAAAAGATCACTTGATGAGGACTTGTCGCCGACCTCCTTTTGCACGGCGTTCTCCTCAGAGTCCTTGGCGGGAAACATGTCGTGGGCGGACACCAAGTTGACGACGGGGCTGTCATCACCGTCCATGACAGCCGACGCACTCTTGGCCTCAGGGTTGAGGTCTCTCAGTCTCCGTAGCAGCACCCCATCGTCTGGCCTGCCCCCGAACAGCGCCTGACTCCCCCTGTCCCTCAGAAACTGTCCGGAAGACAAAGAGACGAGGGTTATTGCAGGCGAGGAGTCACAATAACGTGGCTGAAGAATGTTGACCAGACCACACACTAGAAGGTGAAGGGACGACGACGTTTCGGTCCGTCCTGGACGGACCGAAAGTCGATTGTCGAACAATCTACTTGAGAATGGTCCAGGACGGACCGAAACGTCGTCGTCCTTTCACCTCTAGTGTGTGGTCTGGTCAACACGTGGGTTATTCTCTTATGGACTGATAATAATGTATCATTGTGTGAGGCCAACGCCTTTAAATCCAACCCGGGAGCTGTTAACCGGTATGAAATTAGTCAAATTCACTTAAACAAATGAATCTTGTATAATAAAGAACATTATTTAAACATATAAAAACCCACAAATATTGTCTCGTTATAGCGATATTTGAATTGTTAAGACGCTAAAATAACTGTTCAATTATGATGCCATAATTGAGCAGTTATATTAGCTAATGGGGGGGAAGGGAACTATCAGGAGAAAGCGCCAACCCATTACGACTATATAACACTTGGAAGGGGTCAGGATAAATTACGGGCTCACCATAGCCCGTGCTACTGGAACTTATTGTTCTGAGTAGCTGAATCTAAAACAAGAAGAAGTCAGGATAAGGATTTGGGATGGGACGAGGGGAAGGAATGGTGCCCAACCACTTGGACGGTCGGGTATTGAACCCTGACCTGCATGAAGCGAGACCGTCGCTATACCGTCCAGTCCAAGTGGTTGATGGTAGGGGGGGGGGGGGAAGTTCGGTGACTCGCCAGGGCACAAGACGCCCTCTGGCTTGAGGAGTGGAGTGACTCACCTCTTGGAAGCCAGGACGGCCTCTGGTCCGCCGCGAGTGCGCCACCAGGGCGGGGATGAGGCCGGAGTGGAGCGGGGCGGAGATCACAATGGAGTAGCGGCTTGAGTTATGGATGTCAGCATCAACGATGACATCAAAGAGCGGCGCACCGTTCATCCTCAGCATCTGCACCAGCGCCCGCGTCAGGTTCCATCTCTCCGCCTCGAAGTGCCGACCCACCTGGAACTCCTCCTTCGTCTTCAGCATCTCGAACACTGTATCCAGGACAACTTAAGGGTCTTAATATTTAAATGGCATTACAGTGTCCATCAGTGTCTAAGAGTGGCCGCAAGAATATTATTCGTGTTTAAAGCAAGAGTTAATGAGAACTTTCAAAATCCCCAATGTTGACTTTTTTATTCATTTATGTTCATTTTCTCCTAGTCTATGGTTCCTAATTCTAACTAGAAGTCGTATCGCCTTCCATTCTAATATTATATATATGTAATGCAGATGGAAGAGGAGGGAGTCGATACCAACTAAATTAGTGAACGGAACTTATGATACGGACACGCCTATTAATATCGTTCATTACAAGCGTATGAGCTTACTAATATTAAAATTAATAATGAACGATCCTGCAGGAGTATGGTGGTGGACACGTACCTGGCCGCATGTCCCGCTCAGACTGATCGTCGACGTCCAGGCAAGACTGGTAGAAGAAGAACAGGTCGCGGTAAGGCTTCGTATCCAGCAACGCCTCAGGGATACCCTCTCCAGTCTTTAGTAGCTCTGTGGGGGAGGAGAGACTGTGAGGCTACGAAAGCTGCGAGGCTAGGCAGTCTGTACAACCTGTCCTCTTACAAAGAACGTCGCATTTCGATCGTATGCGTTACATGAGGCCAAAAATTGTAGTACTTTAAAATGGAAGGGGCTGGCGAAAGTGACGTACTGTCCCGTTTTCTGTTTTGAGTCCGCTGGTAGGTTAGGAGAGGACACTTTAAACTGACCGTTTTCTTGACGTTGGGAAACCTTAGGAGGACGGACTGAACTGTGAGAGGGGGGATGATCTGTGGGCTAGAGGAGGCTGGGAGGGCTGATCTGTGGGCTAGAGGAGGCTGGGAGGGATGATCTGTGGGCTAGAGGAGGCTGGGAGGGATGATCTGTGGGCTAGAGGAGGCTGGGAGGGATGATCTGTGGGCTAGAGGAGGCTGGGAGGGATGATCTGTGGGCTAGAGAGGCTCTAAGGAGTGGCCTGGGGGAGATTGTGAGGGGTGGATTTACAATGCTAACAAGCATGTATACATTTTCTTCTGTCCTCCATGAACAGGATGAGAGATCTGTTGAACATATATAGTTCAGTGTTTTATTGAACAATCAACCACAGAAGGTGATTGTAGTGCTTTTAAAATGCTAATCTAACATACATACATAAATACACATATTTACGTCTGCCCTACACAGTGTTCTATGTGTCTTTTTACATAGTGTGGGAGGCGGTGAGGGCTGGTACTCACGGCTCAGCTCACTGTCGACCATCTCCGGCATGATGTTGTGGATGACGCCGTAGAAGAGAGCCTCGTCCCCCGTCTTGTGCAGGTGCTTCTTGATCCACCCCCCGCACGCGTACCTGCAACACACCTGTGTTACCAACACTGCCGCCACACCTGCGTTACCAATACTGTCACAACACCTGTTACCCACACTGCATCACATCTGTGGTGAACTCTACATCTGCCCAGCCTCTGTGCTCGGCAGAGGCTGTTCTGCCCAGCACCTTTATACATCATCCAACACCTTCATACCTGAGCAAGGGGGTTCCTCGCCTCTGGCCGGGTTGATGGGCCCCTAAACAGATATATTCCTCAGCTTATTGCCATCTGTTCTCAACTGTCTGCCTTAACAGAGCGCACTCATAAACATAACTTTACAATTTTCACTACATACTATCACCACAATCACATATAGTTATACCACATAACATGACAAACACATAGGTCAACCTGACTCCATATTTATTCCAATATGGATTCCAGTGTGAAGCAGAATTTCAATGTCATTGCCTGCCTCCCTAGTCATCAGCCGGTTCCTCGGGCGCTCTCTCAGAAATGGTATCAAATATGGTATCATACAATAATGCTATTTAGACCCTTAATTACTACGTAGATATTTTCTGGGGCACACAGGTAAATTTGCATTCTATTGTACATTAATTAAAACAATTCAAGACATTCTTTGAGAACCTCGTATGCAAAGTTAAAACAGCCTAGTGCGGCCTAAAACAGGCTCTTTACGGCCTAATTTACGCTATTATTTCATATTTGACAAATCTACCTATGCGTGCAGATTGACTTGTATACTGTATTTCTTAATTTTTTTAGTATTTAAAGTAACCTCTGATGTTCTATGCAAAGTTCAGTAGCCTACTGCTACACTGATTACGGCTTAGATCCTAGGTCGTAACACAAGCACATATAGATATTAGTATTTAATGCTCAACATCAGCTCATTATCTGTTTGGTCCTTCCGGTGAAGGCTGAACAGTTGAATCAGTCTTCGTAATTTTGGCTGTATCAACGGGGGTTAGTTGACTGTTGTGTATCCTGGGTTTTATTCGACTGTTGTGTGGTCAACGGCATCAACAAATGCCTGAGGTACGACAAAAATGTCTAAGCGACGTCTCCAACCGTGTTTAGTCAGACAACTAGTTGAGTTATAGCTTATTTACCCCTGCAAGCTATCTCTTTTTTGTATATGAATGCTTCAGTAGTGGCAGTGGAATACTCCTTATGGTGATGAGTAAGACAAGAATGGGGTTACTCACTCGTAGAAATCGTGACAGGGATCGACTTGTGTGTTGAGGGCAGAGAGGAAGCTGGAGGCAGCGTGGACGCACTCCGCTGTGAGGCAGATGTCCTCCTGGCATGATGATCCCTGCGGACGACAACACCGCTACAACTATCCGGCAACTTTGATGTTCCTATATTAACATGTACTAACACGTGGGTTTTTGTGCGTGTATGCTTGCATGAGATACATGCTTTACCTCCATACTAACACCTGCCATTGTTTTTGTCTTATAGGATATAACCCTCCATCGTATGGCTTATCATGTTTTTTACAGGCCACAACCCTACCGTCCTATGGTTTATCATGTGGTTTGTCTTACAGGATACAACCCTACCATCCTATGGCTTATCATGTTTGTCTTACAGAACACAACCCTACCATCCTATGGCTTATTATGTTGTCTTACAGAACACAACCCTACCATCCTATGGCTTATTATGTTGTCTTACAGAACACAACCCTACCATCCTATGGCTTATTATGTTGTCTTACACAACACAACCCTTCCATCCTATGGTTTATCATGTTGTTTGTCGAAAACTATCTGAGTGTAGCCGCGAATTTCGTTTACAGACACCAAATTCTTCAGACCGTTTCATATAAAACGTGTTCAGCATATACTTTTTATATTTTAAACCAACAATTTATAATACAATGAAGTTATAGCCTGAGAATATTCTCTGTTTATGATAGAGGTTCACTTGCCAGTTTACAAGTACACTATTAATGGAACCACAATATGCTTTCAGGCGCTCACAAATATCTGTTGTTGTTGTTAAAGATTCGCTACTTGGAACAAAAAGTTCCAAGTAGCACGGGCTATGGTGAGCCCGACACAAATATCCAGGTGGTTGAGGGGAGGGGGTGTGGTCTCTCGCGATAATGGATTTGCTCTGAGAATGGGCTGTGGGAACAGCAATATCGAAGTCATATATTAAGTTATTCATAAGACCAATCGGGAATTAATGTTTATCCAGCGCTGTTTTTATCATATTTAGTTCTATATAATTACCCGCATGAGCCTAGTGCTCTTTGCGATCCGAAGCAAAACTAATTTTGACAATTTTTGCAAATGTTTTTTATTACAATTTGTAGAGTATGGTGTGCGTGTAACATTTAAGTCTGCAAATAGTTGATCAGGACACATATAATGGTCCAGGTTATTTAATGTTAACGTCAGTCTCATGTCAGTTTGTCAAATTGACATTTGGTCTACACTGGTGGCAGAAATTTAGGGCAGTGGAGCCTAAGGTTCTGTGTGTATGTGAGAAACTCTTGTGTAAAGTTAAGTGACTTGCCGTACACGCTCACAACACTACCAACACTTTTTTTCCTCCCAAGTACAACGGGTTTTGTAAAAAAAAAGTGTAAATGGTAAATTCTTGCAACCCAACGTTTCGGGTTATAAATTTGTTGGGAAATTAATACATATACGTTGTGGGTTTACTTAAATCTTATACTATAATAAACTATATTCATCAATAAAGCATACTAGCTGTTTGGTCAGTAAGATATTGTGGAGGCCCGAATTACCCTCTAACGGTTGATAGGCTGTAAGCTCTACACAGTTTTTATCACAAAGGATGCCAACACTGATAGGGGGGATCTTATTTGTCATTGTACTAGACAGTATAAATCTACTAGAGCACGAGCTAGTAAATCACTGTTCTCTGAGTTACCAGATCATCTCACCTGTAAGCCAGAGATTCGAGTCTAAAATTCACCCAAACCTACAGTTAGCTTTAGAGATTTGTACAGAACTTTCTGATTAAACATGACGCTAGTTGTTTCTTCAATGTGCACGTGACAAGGAATTAATTGCAATCTAAATGTTGGTAGATCTGTGGGATTCTGCTCATTACATAGTGTTGTGTATCACTGCCAGACCCACTCATCCAAGTGCGCCACCCACTCATCCAAGTGCGCCACCCACTCATCCAAGTACGCCACCCACTCATCCAAGTACGCCACCCACACATCCACCCACCGACCGCCCACCTCAACAGTCACCCCGCCCACTCACCCACCCTCGTACACCCACTACAGTTCATGCCCTCTTGGTGATGTTTGTCCATGGTAAATCATGAGAGTTTCTCCCATGTGCATACGTTTTTTTCAACTTTGTTAATACCAATTTGTTCTCAGTGGCTGATGTTTGACGGTGTTTATATATTAACCAATGTTGCTTGAATTATTATCCTGTTTGCGTATTTTCTTATTGCTAAATATTAGCTTGTGTTAACTTTATTTAAAGTTAGTTTGAGTTATTATTACCTGTAGAATATATAAATATTTTTTTTTCACTTTTCTATTTCCCTTGTGTTAGTTTTTTGTAGAATTTTCGGCTTGCTTATGGCTTGTTGTTCAACAGGACTTGTAGGAGCTGTCTCTCGTTGGACGCATGCGGAGTTTACTAATCTTTAGTGCGATAGAGAGTTGCCAAAACAAACATGAATCATTACATACGTGAAAGAATGTAAATTGAGCAAAACGCCGGATCAGGTATAACACAAGGACTGTAATCAGAACACGAACGCTGGATCAAGTCGAACACGAACACTGGATCAAGTCGAACACAAGGACTGTAATCAGAACACGAACACTGGACCAGGTAGAACACAAGGACTGTAATCTGAACACGAACACTGGACCAGTCATAAGACCAGTAATCAGAATACGAACAGTGGACCAGATACATGTATAGTAAGTAATCAACGTACCCTGGACCAGACAAGGACAGTATTCAAAACACGAACACCGTGCCAGGTAAAACACAAGGAAAGTGTTCAGAACTGTATCTGGTAATGGAGCAGATGACAGAGTTCACCACAAGGGCACGCAAGGTACAGAGCGCGCAGTGATAGAGCCCAACATAACACAGGGCCCTGAGGAACATACACTGCCTGACTGACAACAAGAACACTTCACATACACGCACAGCTGCCGAATAATGATGATGGTGGCCAGGTTTATGGCTGGTAGTTATCGGGAGGTGGAACCGACCCAGCAGTCGTAATGTTCGTCAACAGCTTCGATGCTCTAGTGTTTACCCGCCAAAAGTGTACTGGACACGCGCGATAAAATACGAAATTCACATTTTGGCGGAAACCTCTGGCAACACCTCACTGCTTCCAGGAATGTTTCTCTCATCTGTTTTCTGTGTATGTCGTTTTTCTTTACATATATTATTTACTTTTTTCTGTCTGTTATTAGTATACAAGACGATAGAGGCTTGTTCAGATGTTACGTATCACAGGCGATATAATTGGCTAGGGATGCACTGAGGTACACGTACCTTCAGTGACCGATTTAAATTGTAGTTATAATTTGTATTTTTATTATTTATTAGTATCTAGTAGTAGTAGGATGTGGATGTAGTAGTAGTAGTATATATTTATCTGAATTTATTATTCATTTTAATTCATTTTGTCGGAGAACAGGCAGTGTATCATAAATGTACAGTATATGTATATACATGTATAAACATATCGAGGCCTCACCTCCACCCAAGGTGGAACTACTGACCCTCCCAAGGATGCAAACTAGAACAGGCTGACTAACTCCTGAGTACCTATTTACTCCTAGGTGATAGGAAACGCGCCCAACCATTTCTGTCCAGCCCGGGATTCGAATTCTCAATTGAGAGTTGAGAATGAACCCAACTCAACCCGTCCTCGACTCAAGTCCATTACATCCAGCGGTCGACCCCACAAACGCATTCATAAATTTTTACATGCTGTTCATTCAAAACGGGAATTTTCTCAAATATAAATTAATATTAGCATATTGTGCATATATAGGCATAGATTAGGTTAGGTGTTTAAGTTCTGTTGGATATTATTTGTATTTGTAGTACGTGGGTGAAGCATTTACAGCGTTGTGGTTCGAACAAAATTCGTCAGTGAAGCACTTGTTCCGGAAGTGTTGGAACGAAATCAGTTGAGTCGTGTGTAAACCGTTTTTCATTCATGAACAGGGGGTTTGGCGGGTGCATGGAATCACTTTTGGGTCTTTGTTTGGAAGATGGGCTGACCCAACTACTATCGGCACTCTCTAGCGGCCTCGACGAGTACTGCAAGCAGGCGGCTTGTCAAATGTCCTCATTTGTCCTGATGATTTTATTTGGTGGTTCCATGGGTTTATAACCGTATGAGCGAAAAAGCATCTTCTGTTTCCTGTCCTACATTGTGGCTCGTTGAGCTTGAAGTCGTTGCTCCTTGTGCGAGTTACATTTGACCTTTTGAAGAGGGCAGCAACCTCCAAATTGTTCACCCCAGTGAGATCAGCCCCAGTCATGTTTGGTTTGTAGTGTTGTTAGGTCATCGTTCCCTCAGTAATTTTTGTAGTAGTAGTAGGAGGAGATAGTAGTAGTAATAGCAGCAGTAGTAGTAATAATAGGTAGTAGTAGGTGGTAGAAGTAGTAGTAGGTGGTGGAAGTGGTATTAGGTGATGGTAGTAGTAGTAATTGATATGAGTTGTAGGTCGTATATTTATTTTTTCTTATCGTTATATCTTCATTATTGCAAATATAACGACTGATATAAATTATATCAGTCGTTGTAGTTTCCTGTTGGCTTCTACTGGCGTTTAGTCACAATAGACGAGAGAAGGTGGAGAGTGCGCACGTCCCAAGTCCTTGGACTGTCGGTCCATGCGTATACTGGCCGCCGCCATGTGAATAGATGAATATCTAGCTAGGCTATCTGGCCAAAAGCGGATTGCGACGCACGGAGACAAGCAATGTTTAGAGGCATCACAGAGGCACGGAAGAGCGTGCCTGCATGCCCTGCCCATACCATCTAGGGCAAGGTGGAGGCGAGGTATTCATTCAGAGACAGTAAGGTGTGCCAGTTCGATTCTCTCTTAAGAGTATAGTGTCGGGTACAGTTGTAACTCCCAGAGGCATGAAATTAGCTAGATGGAGGTCAAAACCTGCAATTGGTTTTTCATCTTTACCTTTATTGAAAAGTTATAATAGTTCAGAATTTTATATTGATTAAATTCGATATTTTATATCAGTTGTTGACCTAACCATACACTAGAAAGTGAAGGGACGACGACGTTTCATGTCAGTTCCTGAATGTTAACTAAAGGGTTACTCCTTAATTGTATATTTAATAATTTAAGGATTCAATGAAAACATTAAATAAACAAGGGTGAAATAAGAAAATTCTTAAAAGGATCTTACACAAATTATTTTAGATATTTTTGGTCACGATAATTGTAACCTGTAAATGCACCAAAATTATTTTCATAATGTTTTTTATGTATATTAATATGGTTTATAATTGTATTATGTGATAATAACCAGTCGAGATGTAAAATCTTGTTAACTATAGGAATCTATAATGAAATTTATATTTCTTTAAATTTCCGTAGTAAAAAAGTAGTAATATATAAGCCGGTTTCACCCTGACTAACCAAAGTATGACCTAAGCTGTCAACTAAAGTTTTGTGGTTGAATTATGCATTTTTATATTCCCGAAAATATACAGTCTGTCTGTCCCCTGCCAAAATGGATTATTATGTAAAATATAGCCACAGTTACCATTTTTGTGTTCCAATAACAAATATGATCTCAGTATACTGTTAATTATGAATATGCCGCTTTATATTCACAAGATCAACAAGTGTAATAGAAACACGTGAACTTACTTGCCGTTTCTCCCTGTGTCGCGACACTGACTGGTCGGCGGGGCGTGACTTCACTTCACCCTGCGCGGGCTTTGGGTGCTGGGCTGCGCGTGACGTCGCCGCACTCTGCGCAGGCTCTGGGTGCTTGGGTGCGCGTGACGTCGCCGCACTCTGGCCAAGCTCTGGGTGCTTGGGTGCGCGTGACGTCGCCGCACTCTGCGCAGGCTCTAGGTGCTCGGGTGCGCGGGACGTCGCCCACACATAGACGAAGAGGCAGAGAACGCTTAGAATCAGCACGAAGAAGACGTTGGCCCGCGCACTCGCACTGCACTGGGACCGTTCCCTCCTATCTCGTCTTTCAGTGTGACTCTGCACCAAAACTTCCGTTCTTTCTGGCCGGGCCCACCAGTACAATGGTACTGTTGTGTCTGGCATGGCTATTTGGAGAGTGATTTCTGGTCTACTCTATTCTCAATTCACTATTGTGTTATTTATTGATTAGGAGTTCCTCGTTTAATCTACCACTTCAGGATCGCTGCTTTAAGTATATGAAAGTGAAAAGTATACATTAGGATGAGGTTCATACTGCAGCTGCATTTGTATTCAGATGAATATCCAGTACCATACACAAACACTAGCGGCGGGACCAAAGAGCCGGAGCTCAACCCCCGCAAGCACAACTAGGTAAGTACTAAACACAGCCCCACTCATCACATACACGGAAATAGTGAGTATTATAGAAGACACCATCACTACAACACCCACACCACCACTACAACACCCACACCACCACTACAACACCTACACCATCACTACAACACCTACACCACCACTACAACACCCACACCACCACTACAACACCCACACCATCACTACAACACCCACACCATCACTACAACACCCACACCACCACTACAACACCCACACCACCACTACAACACCCACACCACCACTACAACACCCACACCACCACTACAACACCCACACCACACACTACAACACCACACCACACTACAACACCCACACCACCACTACAACACCTACACCATCACCACAACACCTACACCATCACCACAACACCTACACCACCACTACAACACCTACACCACCACTACAACACCCACACCACCACTACAACACCCACCACCACCACTACAACACCTACACCATCACTACAACACCACACACACACCACCACTACAACACCCACACCACCACTACAACACCTACACCACCACTACAACACCCACACCACCACTACAACACCCACACCACCACTACAACACCCACTACACTACAACACCCTACACCACCACTACAACACCCACAACACCACCACTACAACACCCACCACCACCACTACAACACCCACACCACACTACAACACCCACACCACACTACAACACCCACACCACCACTACAACACCCACCACCACACTACAACACCCACCAATACACTACAACACCCACACCACCACTACAACACACCACTACACACCACCACTACAACACCACACACCACCACTACTACAACACCCACACACCACCACTACAACACCCACACCACCACTACAACACCCACACACCACTACAACACCCACACCACCACTACAACACCCACCACTACAACACCACCACCACACTACACACACACACCACCACTACAACACCCACACCACCACAACACCCACCACTACAACACCACCACTACAACACCCACCACCACCACCACTACAACACTACAACACACCACAACAACTACAACACCTACACCACCACCACAACTACCTACACCACCACCACAACACCTACACCACCACTACAACACCTACACCACCACTACAACACCCCCACTACACCACTACAACACCCACACCACCACTACAACACCCACACCACCACTACAACACCCACACCACCACTACAACAACCCACACCACCACTACAACACCCACACCACCACTACAACACCCACACCACCACTACAACACCCACACCACCAACACACCACACCACCACTACAACACCCACACCACCACTACAACACCCACAACACCACTACAACACCCACACCACCACTACAACACCCACACCACCACTACAACACCCACACCACCACTACAACACCCACACCACCACTACAACACCCACACCACCACTACAACACCCACACCACCCACTACAACACACACCACCACTACAACACCCACACCACCACTACAACACCCACACCACCACTACAACACCCACACCACCACTACAACACACCCACACCACCACACCCACACTACAACACCCACCACTACAACACACCACACCACACCACTACTACACCACACACACACCACTACAACACCCACACCACCACTACAACACCCACACCACCACTACAACACCCACACCACCACTACAACACCCACACCACACTACAACACCCACACCACCACTACAACACACACTACACACCCACACCACACTACAACACACCACCACTACAACACCCACACCACCACTACAACACCCACACCACCACTACAACACCCACACCACCACTACAACACCCACACCACCACTACAACACCCACACCACCACTACAACACCCACACCACCACTACAACACCTACACCACCACTACAACACCCACACCACCACTACAACACCCACACCACCACTACAACACCCACACCACCACTACAACACCCACACCACCACTACAACACCCACACCACCACTACAACACCCACACCACCACTACAACACCCACACCACCACTACAACACCTACACCATCACTACAACACCCACACCATCACCACTACAACACCCACACCACCACTACAACACCTACACCACCACTACAACACCTACACCATCACTACAACACCCACACCACTACAACACCACACCACACTACCACACCCACACCATACACTACAACACCCACACCAGCACTACAACACCCACACCACCACTACAACACCTACACCACCACTACAACACCCACACCACCACTACAACACCCACACCACCACTACAACACCCACACCACACCATCACTACAACACCCACACCATCACTACACACTACACCACACTACAACACCACACCACTACAACACCCCACACCACACTACAACACCCACACCACACTACAACACACCACACACACCACTACAACACCTACACCATCACTACAACACCCACACCACTACAACACTACAACACACTACAACACACAACATCACTACAACACCCACACCACCACTACAACACACACCAACACTACAACACCCACACACAGCAACACTACAACACACACACAACACTACACACACAGCAACACTACAACACATCACACAGCAACACTACACACACAACACACAGCAACACTACAACAACACAGCACACACTACACAACACTACAACACTACAACACACAGCAACACTACAACACAGCAACACTACAACACACAATAACACACAGCAACACTACAACACATCACACAGCAACACTACAACACACAGCAACACTACAACACATCACACAGCAACACTACAACACATCACACAGCAACACATCACACAGCAACACTACAACACAACAACACAACAACACACACAACACTACAACACACAACAACACTACAACACTACAACACACAACAACACAGCAACACAGCAACACTACAACACACACAACACTACAACACACACAACACTACAACACCCGCAGCACCAATGAAAGATGACTATTGTGAGTACAGTACCAGGCACTGGGAGAGTGAGGAGGTAGAGACGAGTGGTGTGAGGAAGGTGAGGTGTTGAGGAAGAGAGTGGTCTAACACACACCCTCACACTGTGCTGACTGACCAGCTAGCTGGCTGGCCTGCTGACTGGCTGACTGTGCTTCCCTAACCTCCCCCGCAGATCATCCTCCTGGCCTGCGCGCGCAACCTCTGCCCTGACAGTGAACGGGTTCTTAGAGAACGCTCACAGTACTGTTTATTCCGCTTATTTGTGTCGCTGAGTTCCTTATTTTGGTTGTACTTATTTACTGGGTGCCTATTTGCTGCTGGGTGAAAATAGGTATCGTCACGTCACTATTCATCTTCCTCTCTCCTGTCCAAATTCTCATGATCTTGCATCTGCTGAGATTAAATTCCATAAACCACTTGTGAGCAGTGTCAAGTTGGCTTATATTTCCCCGGGAGCGTGTTCTACATGTGTGAGGAACCATGAGGGTCCTGTACGAACCTTGAGGAACTCCACCTAATACTTCTCATCTTCCTGTGAGTCAGTTTGTGCTTCTCACTCCACCCACACTGGACACCCCACAAGCTACATTCACCGGTCTTAACCTTCTGAGTGTGTTGAACTAGAGTCAAGGTCCCATGGTGGACCAGTATACACCGGTTGTGGCCTCCGGAGTGCTGTGTGGTACTCCTTATTCGGATGTCTGAACGTCTTTCCATCATCTGTCAGGTGATGTTATGATGTGTCCCTCGGGGCATCGCTCACTATCTGGCTCAGGGTCCAGGGAGATGGTCAGCATCACTCACTATCTGGCTCAGGGTCCAGGGAGATGGTCAGCATCACTCACTATCTGGCTCAGGGTCCAGGGAGATGGTCAGCATCACTCACTATCTGGCTCAGGGTCCAGGGGATGGATCTGGCTCAGGGTCAGGGAGATGGTCAACATCACTCACTATCTGGCTCAGGGTCCAGGGAGATGGTCAACATCACTCACTATCTGGCTCAGGGTCCAGGGAGATGGTCAACATCACTCACTATCTGGCTCAGGGTCCAGGGAGATGGTCAACATCACTCACTATCTGGCTCAGGGTCCAGGGAGATGGTCAACATCACTCACTATCTGGCTCAGGGTCCAGGGAGATGGTCAGCATCACTAGGAGGGGCTAGAGGCATTAAATATGCCAACACTAGAAGATTGAAGACAAATAGGCGATATGACCACTTCGTGCAAAATAGTAATGGGAATCGACAACATTTATAGAGAAGAATTCTTGAGATCTGGAACTTGAAGAACAAGAGGTCATAAATTTAAGGTAACTAAACAGAGAAGCCGAAGGAATATAAGAAAATTCCCTTTTGCAAACAGAGTGGTAGACGGTTGGAACAATGTAAGGGAGAAGGTGGTGGAGGCCAAAACCGTCTGTAGTTTCAAAGCGTTATATGACAAAACGACCGATGGCGTGAAAGGTGGGGCACAAGAGTTGAAGTTCTGCACGTGTTCTGCACGCACATCCAGTTTAGAACACACACACACACACACACACACACACACACACACACACACACACACACACACACACACACACACACACACACACACGGGGTGACATGATCACCACATACAAAATTCTCAGGGGAATTGACAGGGTAGACAAGGATGGATTATTTAACACGGGTGGTACACGCACAAGGGGACACAGGTGTAAGCTGATTATCCAAATGAGTCACATAGACATTAGAAAGAATATTTGCAGTGTCAGAGTAGTTAGTAAATGGAATGAACTAGGAAGTGATGTGGTGGAGGCTGACTCCATACACAGTTTCAAATGTAGATATGACAGAGCTCGAGAAGCTCAGGAATCTGTACCATTATCCACAACCGTAGATTGACGGTTGAGAGGCGGGACCAAAGAGCCAGAGTGCAACTCACGCAAGCACAACTAGGTGAGTACAAAGAAGAAGAATAAGTGTAGATAACCAGTTTAGCTGGAGCTTCCCACAAGGACAAGGATGTTATTTTGTATTCTAATACAGACACCTGATGCATCTGGCGGTGGTCTGTAACTCATTATATCTGTTAAAGTAAAGGTGGTATGTGTATATTTGTGTATTTTTTTGTAAATTTGTTATTTTGCCTGCAGACTCAAGTTGTTAGCTCTTTGACACCGCATTTCTAACCTCTGGCTGGAAGAAGGTGATCCTTAGCCTCGGAGGAAATCACACATAACGCATTAGAGGGAAAATTTATGTCCCCTCTAGTACAGTTTCTGTGTGCTTTTCTCCTACCATATATATATATATATATATATATATATATATATATATATATATATATATATATATATATATATATATATATATATATATATATATATATATATATATTATTGGTGTATACTGGCAGCAGGTTTTCATTTATAATGTTTCATTGAATATGACTGCATATTCTGTATTAATTATTTTCTTGTTTAGGGCTACTATCCCTCTGACTAGTGTTCTAGCATCTTGGTTTAATTGGAAGAGGAGTTCTCCAAAGGTTATCTTCGTTCGAGATGAAGAAAAAGAAATAACTGTAAAATGTATTTACACTTATTATAAAATTTACACGTTTCGAACCTACATGGTTCATTTTCAAGTGATAAGAAAATAGACTGATTGATAAAGATTAAGCCACCCAAGAGGTGGCACGGACATGAATAGCCCGTAAATAAGAAAATACAAGGTGTGTTACATTTATACCAGTAAGGGGTCAGGTGAAGACAAGTAAGAACCCTACATGAGAGTAAGAACAAGACTGGAACATGAAGCCAACATAGAAGACACTGCTCAACATACTAGGCCTACTACACCTGATTAATCTTTGTATGTGCTACATTTCCTATTTTCGCCTTTTTTCTTTTACGTCTTACCTTTTCCTTTATTCTTGTCCCATTGATGTGCTTCTTGAGATATGGGCGCCATATAACTGCTGGATATTCCAATTTTGGTCTCACAAAAGTCCTGAACAGTTTCTGGAGTATTGCACCATCCATGTAGTTAAAAGTGAGTCTGAAGTTGGAAAGCGACGTATACACTCCTTGCACATTGTTTTGTTATGTGTTCCACTGCTGACAGTTTACTATCCAAAACCACTCTTAGATCTCCTTCTTTAATAGAGTTCTTTAATTCCTGTTCACATAATTTATAAGTTGTGTGTGGTCAATTTTCTCCGACTCCACATTCCATAACATGACATTTATTTCAATACCCATTATGATCTTATACGTCGTAAGCATGTCATCTATTTCCTGTCTCTTTTTCTAATGTAGTAGGATGCAGTTACCCCAGTCTTTCCTCTTACTCTAAACCTCTCGTCCCTACGACCAGTCTTGTGGCATTCCTCCAACTCTTCTCTAGTGTGTCCTTAGTTATATTAGACCAGGGTTCCTTGCAGGTGCCGCGTATTGGTCTCACACAGATAGTGTACAATGCTCTAAATGTCTTGTTACAGCTACTCGGATGTTCTACAGTGTCTACACGGAACAGTTGTCACCAGGAGCAGTAACTTTTTGGGGCAGTACCCACCCAAGGACGTAGCTACCTAGCCCAGTAACACCTACCGGGGCACTAATTGTACATATAAATTTCCTGATCTGCACATAAACAGAGGGCACATCCTAAAAACTTAATTCTTGGTCAAAGTTCCGATAATTTGTATTATTAAATGTAAAAGTTCCGTGGCATCCAAGTTTAAAAAAAACCCGCTGATTTAAACAAATCTGTAAAGAAATGCAGCTGATTCTTGAAACAGTAAAAAATAGCCTATTCGATTAATACAGCCATGTTTATAATATAGATTATACAGCAATTGAGCACTCACATAATCTACTATTCGACTTCTTATAACGTGAGACTTGCACCCCGCTGCAGTCATGCAAGAGCAGCGATGCTTCAGGTACAGTTGGTAGTGCGTATTGTGGCTGACCGTTAACGCCTCCACATCTGCACCTGGAATGACACGAGGAAAATAAAGCTAAATAGACTCCTGAACAATGCAAACTTCACCAGACTGAAGCCTCGCAACAGCTCTCTGCGGCGTGGAAACGGACACGCTCCACAAGGTGTCATAATAATACGGGAAGACTATATCACTTTTGATTTTGTCCTTCACATTCAACATAGTAGCAAGAAGGCATTTTTATTGTTTTCATATATGAACGCAGATATGATAATGTTTGTCACATGTCATGCCTTTGCCCGAAACGCTATGCGTACTAGTGGTTTTAGGTATTGTATGTACTAGCTCTATCTTTAAATCCAACATTATGTCTGTAACTCATCTTCAATGTATGTACTGTTGTTGTTTAAGATTCAGCCACTGGGAACTAAAAGTTCCAAGTAGCACAGGCTATAGTAAGCCCGTGATGGACTTACCTGGCACAGGAGCGAGGCTGTGTACATACAAAAGGCTGGAAAAGAGCGAAGCTGGACACATACAAAATCTAAATCTAAATGTCCATACAAGCGCTACAAGCAATGTTTTCAGACAGTTTGCGCGCACATACGTCACTTGAAATCATTAAAAAACAATACACACTCGAGCTGGAACAATGTCGAAAGATCAGCAGATGCTTATGGGCGAAACATCTGCAATTCAAATTTACTCTTATATTGGTGTTTACAATATTGTAATTACACTTGGCTCTCTGCACACGACTTTGGTTTACGTATGGCTACCCATAATTGGGGACAGGTAGCCTGCGACTTGTCAAAAGCCCCAACACATTCCTGAGGAGTATTTTCTCGGTAAATTTTGAACTGTAGTTCTATCAATTATAGCTATAACGGATAGATGATTCAATTAGTTTATTACTCTATGGGTTAAAAAGCATCTGTTGTCTATCCAACATTGTGATTTGTTGAGAAACAGCTACTATAGATACAAATGTTTATTCAAATATTAAAAAAATACGATCTATCATGGGCCTAGGATTGTTTATTTAGGCCTAAGACAGGTAAGATTGTATATTGTTTAAATTTTTGGCATGCTCATTGTGGTACAAAAGGTGAATATTTTATAGGTTCAAGTCCATTTGTGTACGTTCCATCAATATACTATCCTTTCGTGTAGGCTGGGTTTCCCATTACGATAATTTTTTTTTTTTTTTTTTTAGATATATACAAGAGTTGTTACATTCTTGTACAGCCACTAGTACGCGTAGGTCCCTGGAATACTATCCCCGCCGCGAAGAATCGTTTTTACAACTAAGTACCCATTTTACTGTTGAGTTAAACAGGGGCTACAGTTTAGGATTTGCGCCTGGTAAATCCTCCCCGGCCAGGATACGAACCCATGACAAAGCGCTCACGAAACGCCAGGCGAGTGTCTTACCACTACACCACGGAGACTGGATAATCTATCATGGCCAGGAACACTGAATGTGAGAATATGCAGATGTGAAGCACAATGCTGAAGTGAGACGTGTGATGTTATACAAATGCTCTATTTGCTTACAGTTAAGAAATCTATGACGTTAATGGGTGTGGGTTGAGCACGCATCAGAGACTGTTAATTCAGGAACATGGGCGTAAAATGATAAGACATTCAGTGAATGCTAATTGCATGGTGATTATGACTATCCTGGTTCAACCATGACAATGATCGAACGTCTTGGACATTAGCTCTACCTGGAGACCACCGGACAACGTGATGTGTTTTGGCCACTAGGGCTCGTTACTTGGCCCGTCCTCATCAATAAAGGTCAAATGCTCGTTAATCGATCCACCAAACTCCCTGTTCACGAATGAAAGACGGTTTACACACGCGGCCCGTCCACCAAACAGACCCAAAAGTGATTCCATGCACCCACCAAACCCTCTGTTTATAAATGAAAAACGGTTTACACACGACTCACAACTGCTGACGGTCGAACACTTCCGGAACAAGTGCTTCACTGACGAATTTTGAGTGAATCACAACGCTATAAGTGCTTCACCCACATACTACAAATACAAATAATCGCCAACAGAACCTAAACTAACCTATGCCTATATATGCACAATATGCTAATATAGTATAATATTAATTTATATTTGAGAAAATTCCCGTTTTGAATGAACAGCATGTTAAAATTTATAAATGCGTCTGTGGGGTCGACCGCTGGATGTAATGGATTTGAGTCGAGGACGAGTTGTCTCCTGTTTCAAACATTAATGTTTGTTTCAAACAAACATTATCTTGTTGAGCCCCTTGTATGCGCTACATATGATCTTTTAAAGAAATTGTATGGTCATTTTTGTCCTCTTCTTTTGCAAGTTTTTTTGTGACGAGGTTGTTTTTTCGCCTTTGCCTATCGATTGCTTCTGCATCCCTATCCTGAACGCTGCTTGAATTCATTGAATTCACCCAGAGTGTCTGATTACCTTTAAGATTCTCCTGGTTTGCCAAGGGAAGCATGCTTACACGAGTATTTTCTATTGTTTGTTTAAAGTTTATAAATTTGTTCATCAATACCTTATGTTCCTCCTGTAGCTCCTCCTCCTATATATATATATATATATATATATATATATATATATATATATATATATATATATATATATATATAATACTGTAAATTGAAATTGAAATAAGTTTATTGAGGTAAAATACACACAAAGGGATGAGGTAGCTCAAGTTATTCTCACCCCGTTCAGTACATCGTGTTAATACATACATAGACACACATCACAAACAATAAACATATTACCAAAATAATACTGTATGTTAAACGATATGCGTGTTAGTGGCTTTGCAATAATGTAAAAATACCAATCTTATGTAATCTCACCAACCCATTGTAGTCTTATGAATAAATTATTATTATTATTATTATCATTATTATTATTATTATTATTCCATATCTTGGTTATAAATTTACTGAATTTGCCATTGCATTTAATGCACTAAAAGTGAAAGAAATTGAAACTGAAATAAGTTTATTGAGGTAAAAAATGAAAGAGGGCTTTGCCTCCAGGTTCCTCGTTGTTATAAGCATCGCATAAGTACTTAAAATTTCAAGTACTGTGGTATATCAGTTTACATCTCTCACATCTGATTGATAATAATCGTAATAATAATTTTTATATACAGGAAGACACAATGAGATTGTGATTACATAAGACTGGCATTTTTACATTCTTGCAAAGCCACTAACGTGTATTGAGTTTCTTGCAGATAGATTTGTCCTGGGCCCAACTGCACAATTTTAGTACATACATACATACATACAATGCCTAAAGCCACTATTACGCAAAGCGTTTCGGGCATGAAAAACATTAATGACTAAAGCTTAATACTAATTAAGTATAAAGTATAAAATGTGTTGAGAACAAATAAAAATAAAGATAAAAAGGGGGGAACATGGCTGAAAAGCAGCACAAATACAATTAGGTCGATAAACAGCGTTGTTTAAAAAACAGACATGGTTTGATAATAGAGGGGTAAGGTAGGTTACAGGGAATTTATTAGGTAGTGCTTCGTTTTTATCTTAAACTAGTTGAGAGAGGTACAGTCACATAGTAAATATAGTAAATTAACTATATTTATAACTATAGTAAATTAACCACATTTAACAAAGCTTACTGACAAATCCTGATACTCTAAACTGTCCCGTTTTTTGAGGGGAATGATATATAGTTTATATTTATTTTATATTTTCATTGATAATGAAAATCGTGCCTAGAGTGCATTGTTTGTTTACTCGATCAGCTGACTTCTCCCCCAGCTGGGTGGTGGGAGTACCCAGGCAAGCTTGTTGTGAGGTTGTATCCTGGAGAGGGTCAGTAATTCCACCTTAGGGGGAGTAGGGGACCTCGATATAAACCTAACCTATATATATACACTGGCGGCCTGTCCCCCGGTATAATGAATTAATTGATATAATCATTCAGCAGCGGTTGGGTGACTGGTGTGAGGAGCCGGCCAGGGGGCAGCACACGCTAGTCACGTGGGTGACAAGACGACACCTCCCGTCGTCTCCTACACGACAGCTGATGCTTCATCTCTCCAAGGTTGTGCTGCTAGTGTGAGAGGTGAGGAGCTTATTTCGTCCTCCCCTGAAAGATTATTAACTGTATACTCATGTATTGGTCTTGCTCATGCTGTGGATTCAAGCCTGTGGGGTGCTGCGCTGTTTGGAGATAGACCTGTGGGGTGCTGCGCTATTTGGAGATAGACCTGTGGGGTGCTGCGCTGTTTGGAGATAGACCTGTGGGGTGCTGCGCTGTTTGGAGATAGACCTGTGGGGTGCTGCGCTGTTTGGAGACAGACCTGTGGGGTGCTGCGCTGTTTGGAGACAGACCTGTGGGGTGCTGCGCTGTTTGGAGACAGACCTGTGGACCTGTGGGGTGCTGCGCTGTTTGGAGACAGACCTGTGGGGTGCTGCGCTATTTGGAGATAGACCTGTGGGGTGCTGCGCTGTTTGGAGACAGACCTGTGGGGTGCTGCGCTGTTTGGAGACAGACCTGTGGGGTGCTGCGCTAGTTGGAGACAGACCTGTGGGGTGCTGCGCTGTTTGGAGACAGACCTGTGGGGTGCTGCGCTAGTTGGAGACAGACCTGTGGGGTGCTGCGCTGTTTGGAGACAGACCTGTGGGGTGCTGCGCTGTTTGGAGACAGACCTGTGGGGTGCTGCGCTAGTTGGAGACAGACCTGTGGGGTGCTGCGCTGTTTGGAGACAGACCTGTGGGGTGCTGCGCTGTTTGGAGACAGACCTGTGGGGTGCTGCGCTATTTGGAGACAGACCTGTGGGGGTGCTGCGCTAACCATATACTGGCCACTAGTGCTGCACTATTTGGATATTGGTTGTGGGTTATAAGGTTTAGTTCCAGTAATCTTTCATCATAGCTCATACCCCTCAGCTTGGTGGCTAGCCTGGTGGCATGCCTTTTAATGTTTTCTAATTTCGTTTTGTGTATGTGTTCTAACTAGATATGGATTCCATGCTTTAGCCTCATACGCTAGTATTGGTCTGACATTTGAGGTATACAAGGTTCTGTAGATACATGCCAGTGGGGTGTTGTATTATTGGATACATGCCAGTGGGGTGTTGCATTATTGGATACATACCAGTGGGGTGTTGTATTATTGGATACATGCCAGTGGGGTGTTGCATTATTGGATACATGCCAGTGGGGTGTTGCATTATTGGATACATACCAGTGGGGTGTTGTATTATTGGATACATACCAGTGGGGTGTTGTGCTACAGTATTTGAATTCAGACTAGCAACATAAACTTCTTCATAGCTTGTGATATTTGTAAAAAGCTAAAGGTTCAATTAATTACTTAAAAATATAAATATAATAAATATAGTATGAGGAAATGTGAAATGGTTCCAACATAATTCGTTATAGTTCTGATAGCTACTTTTTCTGGGACATAATTATGGGCTTGAGGTAGTATGAGGTGGTTGAACTTCATATTTTGAACTATATTTTGTGTATCATTTATCTAACTAAAAAATCTGATGATCTGATACCTGATTTTAGAATATGATTCTAAACATCTCTAAATTTCTAAACATTTTTCTTGTTTGTTAGATTTATTATGCTCAACGAGCTACCCGCCAAACACACACCGAAACTACGACGTTGGTACAACGTTCGAACAAGTTTTATCACTTCCTAACCAGTTATAACAACCAATATAGCAAGTTGTAACAACGTTCTAATACGTCATAAACACGTTAAGCCAAGATTTAACAACTTTATTACAAGTTGTAACAAGCGGAAAATAGAGACAGTTTCGGTTTGTGTTTCCAGGGTAGCCACCTATAGCTTCAGTTGAAAATATATTATTTCCTAGTTTACATTTGTTATTATAGAAGTGTGTTTTTAAAGAATTTGTTTGAAACAAAAAAATGTATTGCTTCCTAGTACAGTACTGTTAACTTTCAGAAATGGAAAACCTGACCAGAGAAGAATTACTTGAAGAGCTCAAGAAAAAGGAAAAGGAAAATGAATATCTGAAATTGCAGCTGGAAAACTATCATGATAAGAGCCTTGATTTATTGCAAGCTACACTTGTCAAAGACCTAAAAGATCAAAATATTTCACCAAAGACAGACACTCCTCTTTGTCATGCAGAAATTGCCAGATATTCTCGTCAATTAATTTTACCGGAGTTAGGACCCCAAGGGCAAAGGAAATTGGGAGCAGCATCGGCATTAATTGTTGGATGTGGAGGCTTGGGATGCCCTGCTGCAATTTACATGGCAGCTGCAGGGGTTGGACGCATTGGATTGTTAGATTATGATGTGGTAGAAGTAAGTAATCTTCATAGACAGATTTCACACACAGAGAGAAGAGTTGGAATATCGAAGGCTGTGTCTTTAGCCTTTGCAGTGAAGGAACTGAACGGTCACGTAGAGGTCATTCCATACAATATAGCTCTCACAAGTGATACAGCTATACAAGTTATCAGTAAGTATGATCTTGTATTAGACTGTACAGATAATGTTGCTACCCGCTACTTATTGAACGATGCTTGTGTTATGACAAATAAACCATTAATCTCTGGGGCAGCTCTAAGGTATGAAGGTCAGCTGACAGTTTATCACTTTGAAGGGGGCCCTTGCTATCGCTGTATCCACCCAAAGCCTCCTCTGCCTGAAACTGTCACCAACTGTTCTGATGGAGGTGTTTTAGGTGTTATACCCGGAGTGATAGGTTGCATGCAAGCTCTAGAAGCAATCAAAATAATCAGTAGGTTAGGGTCATCTTTATCTCAGAGATTATTGCTTTTTGATGGAATGCAAGGATCTTTCCGCACTGTCAAACTGAGAGGTAATAGAAGTTCGTGTGAGGTTTGTGGGGAAAATCCCAGCATTCTCAAACTTATAGACTATGAACAGTTTTGTGGCGCAGCAGCTACTGACAAAGACAAAAATATGACACTTCTGGAAAAGGATGAAAGATTGACCGTTGAGGAATTCAAGACCATTTTAGAAGCAAAGTCTCCTCACGTACTTATTGATGTACGACTTCCAGTCGAGTTAGAGATTTGTGCCCTTCCTAACTGTATAAATATTCCCCTGAAGCAGCTTAGTAGTGAAAAAAATATTGCTGTCATTGAAGAGCACTTACACGGTTTGGACACAAAGGCAATCTACTGTGTTTGCCGACGGGGAAATGACTCTCAGTTAGCAGTTCAACAGCTGCAATCAGTCTTTACTCAACAAGAATACCAGATTAAGGATATAATAGGTGGGTTGACAGCATGGGCACACAAAATAGATCCTACTTTCCCAGTATATTAATAAGACATCATTAATTGTTTGCCTCACAGCAAAACTCCATTACTGATATTGAATTTGAAGAGTTCTTGCTGAACTCTTCATAACTTGGGAACCTAAATAAGCATTTATTGAAGGTTATGTTAATTGGGAAAGGACCAATGCACAAAGTAGATTTTTTGTCAAGTTACGGTACAAATATTCTGTACAGCATATAAAAGAGACTGATAGGGAGTTGCATTGAGTTACCTTATAGGTTGTCACTATAGCTCATTGTTGCTGAGTGTTTCCATTTCATATTTAAAAAGTTATCCACTTTAGCAGCATTTAGATGTACAAAATAATTTGCTATAATTGATATACTGTACAATAGTGTTTGTTTACTAATCCTGCAAAAGTTTTTTTCTGTGGCCAGTAATTAAGTGTTGAAAAGTATAAGATTAATATAGATTATTTAATTAACATTAGTATTAATAGTTTCAATTTATAAAAGTTTTTTTAGTTGAGCCTAAGATGTAATTATACATCTTTGTATTAACAAAAATATTAACTTTAGTCACACCCACTGTGCCACATTCCATTGCAATTATTACAGTACTAGATATTTTTTGTATTTTATAGTTTTGTCATGCCATTTTAATTAAGTTACAGTATAATTCACTCAAGGTTTTGGTGTGATGTCTTGAGAATGCCTCATTATATTAGCTAATACATTTACATAAATTGTGCATAATCATAATATTAAATCTTTTATTGAAACTGGGTATTTTAGGGTAATTATGACTTCAGTCATAATTGAATAGAAAGCTAATAGGTTTTCTATCAGATATAAGACTGCTTCCTTGAAGCAATTTTATCTGGAAAAAATTACCCCCAAGAACTCTGATTCCTCTGAAAAGCAGATGTAGCCCATCTAAGGGAAAAGATAAGAGTTGAGATAGAAAATTCCCAAATGAGAAAGGTGAGGATAATGGACAAAAAATTGCAGGACTTTACAAGGCATATGAGTTATAGGGCTGTACTGAGAATATTCTCCGTGACCTGTTACCAGTTAGATATTTCCAGGATCATTGTCCCTATGACCTAGCCTCTGATCAGGCCTCCGGGTTGCTGGTCTAATGAACCAGGCTGTTTGATGTAGCTACTCACAGCCTGATGTACAAGTCACAGCCTGGTTGATTAGGCATCCTTTGAAGGTGCTGGTCAAGTTCTCTTTTGAATGCTGTGAGGGGTATGCCAGTTATGCTCCGTATGTGAAAGAAAAGTGTTGAAAAATCTTTGGCTTTTTATGATGGGGTATAGGTGATAGGAATATGATAATAAAATGGCTGCACATGTGAATAGAGCAGTTTGATACCTAAAATATAAGGTAGGAAGTGAAAGTTACAAGATGGGCTGAGAAAGGTTATAAAAGGAATATAACCTTTATGAAGCCAGGGAACAAGAATTAGAGTTTATAAGAGACAAGGAAGAAAATGGGAGAAATAAACCAATAGGAGGGTGAAATGGGGATACCATTTATAGAAGCTTTTAAAAACCTAGTGTGAGAAAACAAGTCATGTTAAAAAGCTGTGAGGAGAATGTATAGCTCACTGCAATAAGGATGCTGAAGACGATAATTATGTTACGGTTACAAGAGCTGTAGATGGATAGATTAAAAAGAACTTGTAGCTAATAATGGCAAGCGAGATGACCCAAGAGGGCGAGACATACTGTACACTTAGTTAAGATGACGTGTACATTACAGCGGGCAACAGGTCACATACTAGCAGAACCAGAATTAAGTTGATGGGTGCAAATTGATATAGGGAAGTATACCTAAAAAAAAAAAGCATGTTTTTGGACGAGAGAAGAAAAAAGTAAAGTGTAGAGATAAGATCCTAAAATCGGCAAACAGACCCTTACCTCGACTACCCAACAGGAGCCCCAAACACAACAGTAGTAATGAGCCATGTGTGGAGTGATGTGGACAAATATGGACATTATCACAGACTAAATCAGGAATTCCTAGATGCAGAAGCTGCAGCCTCTCAACATTGTAGTAACAGCAAGAAAACTTAGAAATAACAATGGATGCAGTGTATGTAAAGGACTATCAAGTGATCAGGGAAGTTTGTGGCATTTGGCATTACTGTTACAAGAAAAGGCACAGTACACTAGAGTTTGAAGAAACATCTATGTCAAAGCTGGCCCCAACCCACAAAATTACATCAGGTATGTTAAAATTAGAGAACCAAAGGTTAGTGTTTGTCGTCATATATATACTACTAGCCAAGCAAGCAGCAGGAGGCCCAGACAAGAATAAAACCAGTCTGAAGGTCAAAGACAGCAACAGTAGAACGAAAGCAAAGTTTCAAATCCTTGGTGAATATCACAAGGAAGTAACTGGACAATAACACATGGAGACCATAACTGGTGGACACTAGACAGACACAATACAGCACTTCCTAATGCAGGCAACAAGGGATAGATGCAGTACAGTACTTCGTAATGTAACTATCAAGGGAGAAGATGAACTAGCCTTGCTGGATTAAATTTTCACCCAAAGTGAATGACAGATTTCTTGAGAATAGAACACGATTCACCACTTGGAATCGGTGATCATTATCATGTTTAATGGAGCTGAAGAACAAGTTGAATAGTGAGTCCAGAAGAATTACAGGAGGGCACACTATGTAAGGATGAAGAATTTCCACAAGACCATCCAGTGGATGAGGTGGGTTGTGATTTTATTCATAAGAGGAGAGTAGCACTTGTTTATTCACTAGAGAAGTGATTGTAGGTAGAATGGTGAATTTTTAGGCTTAATACTGTATTATACATGTTACAACAAGTATCTTGATGCAAGAGCACTTTTTACTATACAAGAAAATAATTGATAAAAGAATAATCCTTTGTACTATTTCCCTGATGCAAGCTCTTTATCTGCATTACTATCAGCAATAAATAATATAATTGCACAATGAACACTAAATTTTATATTTGTCATATCTTAATATCCTTAAATGCAATTTCTTGTATTATTCAGCAGTTTAAAAAAATATGAAGGGAACGTAAAAATGCATGTAATAACATAAAATGGGTAACCTTTATTTAACTTTTTATACAGTGTAAGATGCAACATATGAGTATAAAAAACTGCATCTGCTAATACAATACATGATTTATGTATTACATTATAAAAAGTACAATTAATTATTTGAAATTTAAAGAAATATAAATTAATTTGGAATTGAAATACAAAACTGGCTTTTCAGGAATCTGACATAACTATAAATTACATTAACCATTTTCTTCTTTTCTAACTTTAAGAATTTTTGATGTATGGTTTGCAGACATGTTTGCATACATGCCAGTTCTTATAAGGAAAGGAATTTGTTTTCCCATTAGGTAAACTTTGTTCACTTGTTCAGACATGCCAATGTTGTCTGCAGTAAACCCTTCGGATTTAGATGTTAATTTATTAACTTCAGAGATGTGAGCTGCAAATATATACCCTGTCATGAAAGCATCAAACCCAGCCCTATGTCCACTAGCACTCTGCTTCCCATTTACTTTAGGGTCAGCAGTACTCTCTGTAGCAGCTACATCAAGTACAATTTTCTTTTCAGTTTTCTTTTCAATTTTGTTTCCATTAATTTCACGAGAGACTTTGCACTTTTTTGTTGGAGTGTCAGTAACGTCTAAAGTGTCTCCATTCTCTGTCTCTAAAAGTTCTTTCTTCGCCGCTTCCTCAATGATACGAACAAGTGATCCCGATTTAGGTCCACTATATTTTGAAGTGCCACGTTTTTTTGCTCCCTTAGGTTGGAGAATTTTCACAATCTTGTTTATGTCATGACTCATGGTACACTTGTCATTCCTTGAGCACCAGCCATGGAACTGAAACAAAAAAGTATGATGAAAACCCCCAAAATTCAGTAAATTAAATTTTTACAAAAAATACTTTTTCTCAAACTGCCATTTTGTAATACAGCAGAAGAGTGCATGTAAAATAATTTTCTCTTGTTTATAGCCATTATTGATAGCTGGCCCCACTTTCTTCACTTAATCTTTGGATTTATACAGTACCTGGGTTCAGTCCTTGGCAGCTACTTAAACATGTCTAGCTTGCTTTCTCCTATATCTATGCAGTATCTGGACATCCTACATTGTCTAACACTCAAAAGTAAAGACAGCAAATTAAAAAAAAAATAAAAAATACTACTGTATCTTGACAAGAAGTGTTCATAGGTGTACCTGTATATGGAGTCATAAGCATAAGACTTCAAATGCTGGATTTACAGATACACAAATACAATCAATCCTGTTTACATTCCTTGGGAAGCAAACTTTTTCATGCAACATCATATTTATAAAATGTGATTGCATTACATAGTGTGTAATGCAATCTCACTCTGTATGTGGCAACAGATCGCAATTCATGAAGCTGTTTAACTTCATCAAACATGGTAGTGCATCAAGGAACATTGATGCTGGAAAAAGCAGGTAAAGAGCATACACATGCAAAATTAGAGAAATGCAGAGTTCCCACTCGGGTCATTGGACCACATGCCGGATGGGTCACCCACGAGGGGCCACTCTTGGAGATTGGTTGGGTGTTTGGAATGAAGCGACAGGGAGAAAGAGGTTTTTGCACTGGTGTAGAAGAATGTATGATGAAGTAGGACCCCTTGTTGATAAAAGGTGGGGGGGGGGAGGCCTTTCCTGCACATGGGATGATGCCCCCTTTCTTGTTCTGGCAGGTGGTATACCTTGGCTACTAGGTCCAAACTTTTGAAAAAAGGTGATGTAACCGAAACGACTTCTCAAACATAGGCTCGTGGGACGGCAACCAGGGTGCCCAGAGTCGAACACTGATGGAAAATCAGGCTCCATAGCCTCAGCTAAGTTGGGCCCAGGCTTCATCTTTGACTATCCCAATTGATCCTTTTCATTTCCCCTCCCATTTATTGGCAAGGTCGAGCCCCAAGCCCACAATGGTGACTACCTCATCACCTGGAGTGGCTCTATCTCTAGTAGAGACAACTGCAAACTTCACTCCCTCCTTATTTGGGAACCACAATTGCACACACACAATTCCTTTCAACACTGCTATATACCATGATCTATTTGGTTCTGCTATGTGGCCTAAGTATCTTTACGTTTGTCATGATGAACATTCCTGACCTGATAATTTACACATACATAGGTATCCAAAGTATCAACAAGGTACTTATGTTACCTTGTCTATAACAATTCTAAAAGTGCTATGTATTTTTCTGTGGTTTACATGCATTTATGGGCTATATCCTCCATCATCATATTTCTTATCCTCCCCTGTAGTTCACACACCCACTGAGTTTCCAGTGGGTGTGTCTCACCCTTCTGCAGTCTAGTTTCCAACTATGGGCCTGTTATGCATCCTGTCCATGATGTAGTCAAACACTATGATAAGAGTGGTCATTGGCTCCTCATGTGTTATTCCTTCAATATTCACCTCACTCTGGATGAGCATCCAATTAGTTAACATTAACAAGAGCCAGCAGTAACGTTCTAGGTCAAGAGAGACATCTGCAGGAGGCACTAGTCAGACAGAATGGAGTATCTATTGTACTGCTGGCATGATTTCAAAACAGCTGAGGTGATACTTCCAACAGAGTTTATGCAATTTGGTTATGTACCTGTTTCAAACCATAGATTTTTTTATATATAGACTATTCATGACAATCTCATATACATCACTGCTAATTAACCAGACAACTTGTGGCCAAATGTATATTTGGTGAGGAAGTTCACAGAACCTAAACAATACATTGATTATAAGTCCAATACTTCCTGTTTTATTTGGGTTCCTATTGGTAAAATTCAGTACTGAAATTTTTTACCACAGGGTCAAGACAGGGCTCTAAATCCAGCTGACCAGCTGCCAAAGTGTACCCTAGACAAACCTCATCAAAACCATGGACCTGGCACAGCCATCACAAAAGCATCATTTACAAAATCTTCACTCTTACAACTCCACCAGTGGAGATGAAACATATGCCACCTGTACAAGTGTTGAACTACTGTACTGCCTGTAAAAAAGGGAATGTATGTGCTTACTACCTGGAAAACTACTCTAATCATCTTCCATGAGCTATGACAACAAAGATTACACATAGTGGCTAGCTAAACTAGCAGTAATGATAAACTAAATATTGCATCACATTAGCATATCCTCTTTGCTCAAGAGGCTGCAATAAAAAATGGAATAAATTGGTCAATAGAAAGCAGTCAACCATTGCAAATTCACATTTACAGTTAGGGCATAAATTTATGAACTTCCTGTCTTTAAATCTGAAAAACCATTGAAGTTTGACTAAACAGTGCTGAATGAATGTCACATAAGTGATGCACATCTGTCTAATTGTGTAGCGCAGACCAAGCTTCCGAGTAAGCAAACTCCACTTAAGCTTTATAGACCTAATACTCTATCCTTAAAACCCAGAAAACTGAAAGATTTAGTTAAAACTAAGCTACTGCCCCTGGAGTAGCTACTACAAGAGAGGCCACTCTCCTGAAGTAGCCTCGCCCTACTCTGCGCCCTGGAGAGGCCACTCCTCACTGACAACCAGTGCAACTCCATAGTCTCCTATGACTGATGGATTTCAACTACTACTACTACTACTACGGCATTTCTGATGTTTAGTCAGTACTGTGTATCAAGGCAGCCTTGGTCCGACAGTCCCTATTCCATATAACTAGGATGTACAGGTATTCCAATAGTAAATTCTTTTTGGTCCATGACAGGGGTCCCATTCACTCGAGTCATTCTAAACCACAGTCCCACTGTATGCCCTGTCCAATGAGACCCCTCTCTCTCTAGTGGATGTAGACTGAGCCTTTATGAAAGTGCTAAGAGTTGCTTTTGCATGGTTGGTTTGATAGTAAAAATACAAATACTTTGCAACTTACTGCAAACATCTCGCAAATATCGAGGCCGTCATCATCCTTCTCTAAACTGTAATTATGGATCTGAAGATATGGATGCCAATCAACACTTGCCAGGCTTTTTGGATACGGAGGAAACTGCATGCGTATGTGCCAGTCTCCCATATTTCCTCTGCGTGCATTCTTCAACTGCCTGTTGAAAAAAGGTAAAGGTTTAAAATGCCACACAGCATATATATAAGAATTAGGTTAAGGAAGATAATACATGAGAGTAGATCAAGATAAAGCCAAATTGTTATTAAAGGGTAACCTTAATCTATAAGTTATAGACTGGGAGGTTAAAGAGGCAATAACAGCATATGGCCAGTCAAATTCACATTTGAATTTGAGGCATTTAAGCAGGCCATGAGAGCAAGGGAGAATATTCCATTATTGTTGGATCTCATTCACTAAAAAAAACTTTGACCTACAGTACCTGCCTCTATAAGTAGAGCACTTGTGTTCTATTGGAAATTAAATGCACCATTCATTATAACATAGAAGAGACTAGAGAAAAGAAGATGCTAAAGAAACTTTAGGACATTGTGAGAAATTGTCAGTTCTTTAATGTATTCCACAGGAGGGTATGGGGTGCATAATGAAGAAATTGAATTGAATTTAATGTATTTCATTAGGGACTTTTGTTGTTAGGAGAGGATGTAAATAAGAAATATGCAAAATTTTGATATTTATAATAGGCACACATTCTAATACTGTACCAAAGACAAATACAGGCTAAGAAAACAGAACCGGTTCAACAGAAATTATGAGCTTTAAAAATTTTTTGGGGAAACAATACAGGAAGAGGCTAACCAACAAACATAAGAAATACAAACAAACCCAGAACCACATAACCAATAGTGACAAGGAAAGAAACTTTGATAAAGGGATATCGGACAAATAACAAATCCTAATCTATCACAGATTATTATTTATTAAAAGTAAACTGGATGTGAAAGATAATATTCAGAGATTAGGAATGAGAAGGAAATGTGCAAAGCTAAATAAACACTGTTTGTAAACAGTTAGGATATCTTAACAGCATACACTTTAGAAAGATAACAGAGCACCTACTTGTGTCTTGAGATACTGTACTTCCTTTTAGGCAATTTTGCAACCACAAAATCCTTTACTTTATTTAGGAGAAAGATTCTAACTACATGCTCAAGCACAGAGTATATATATATACATAATGTACATACTTACATTCTTTTATACAAATACTCCAGATAAGTAGCTGGCAAAGACTGGTGGAACTCTGCAATATACTTTGTGTCATAGATTCCACAAGGAAACATATCGGTGAGATCTGCAGCAAATGTATCAACCTTCTTTGGAAGATCTGCATAGAATGACTGGTAAAGAAATGCCAAATCTAACAATCCATTATGGATCACTATTGGCTTTTGATATTGCAAAATTGTTGTAAATAGGTTTCGAACATTTGGCGTCTCATCTTTCTGAAAATACAACAAAACTAATAGATATAGGCCAGTAAAAATTTATGAAAATAAATTACTAGTACTGTACTGGGAAAATATTTACAGTATTGCATATTGTGTGTCTATGTATGTATGTGTATTTATATGTACCCATGTATATGTAGAGTATATCCTTATAATCAAATCAGAATGGAAACAATACTGAAAGTAACTTTTAACCTCTTATTACAACTCACAAACTTGGAATAACTAATTATATTACTCACATTTCTATCACATCCTCTGTAATAGGGAAGTCCCTTGGTATATAACTTGTTGAAATCAAATCCATGACTTAGCAAGAATTTGATTGCTTTACAATCAGCTTTAAAGCTGTCATTGCATAATGTTAGCACATTGAAGGTCTGCACCAAGTAATCGTGACTGCGTATTCGGTCATCACCTGCAAGCAAATAATTCTAGAAATAAAAATTCCCTTCAAAGACAAACAGTTTACTGAAAATTAATACCCCAGTTTAATAACACTTGAAATTTGAAATGTAATAATTTGACTGAGTTCTAATTAAAAACTTCTTTCTGAAACAGCTCAAAGCCTCTCCCTAAGAGAAGAGCCAACTGGGTTCAAGGGACATGATACATGCAATCAGGACAAGACAGGATCGTACTAGTGCTAAGCTACACCAAATAGTATTCAATCCAGCACCGAGAGCCCACATGAAACTCACAAGTACTCAAAACCCCCTCCAAACATTCCTCAAGATTAAAACATGACTACTGAATCCACCTTCAGCACTAAGCCTAAGAGGTAGGCTAATACCAGCTGTCACCAGGTGGAAGCACTGACAACACAGTACAACCCGGCCACCCACTTCCAGATGCACAGAAAACTTCACACCCATGTCAATAGGAAACATCAAGGGGAACTGGAAGGGACAGCAGATCATGATCAGAAAGAAGCTTCTTCCCAAGAATTCAAAGAATATTTTCTAACAAACTATGTTATGTTCCATAATACATGTTATGGAAAGCAACTACAGTAACTACAAATATATCAAGCACAGAATGTAATGAAATGCCATTTTCTGGCAAGGACCTCAGTAGCTTTCCTGAACTAAGCACTGGCCAAGCAATGCTTAGGTAAATGCACCAGGCCTTTGAGATCCACTCTTGCCTATCAGGAGACTTGACCATAATCTAGCTTTTTTTAACAGAGAAGGAGAGCTATGGGATCAGAGTTCTACCAAAGACCAATGAACAAAAATCTCCAGAAAAAATAATTGCAACAAATCAACTACATAAAATACCATTATGCAGGAAGACCCACAAATCTATGAGTCATCCAATGAGGTCAGCAGACTTCTAGATATTACAATATTATAATGAAATACAGCTAGGTTTAGGCTCAGCAACAGGTACCTTTAGGGGTTTCACTACCTGCCAAAATTGATCTGACCAAATGTAAACTCTTAACAAAACTATTCACATATCACACTATGTAATTAAATGTGATCAAATTCAAGAATTTACAAATAATTTTCTGAACTAATGTCCAAAAAATTGTGTATGCATTTCACTCAAAATAATGTTCTGCCATAACTCTTAGTCAAGTTATCCCATGTTTGCTCACTGTAGATAGTGAATGCATACTACCGTGAACTTCCTGCTGCCTCTCACTGGGTTAGTGTGGGGTACATGATGGGCAAATTAAGAACATAAGAATGAAAGTAACTGCAAAAGGCCTATTGGCCCATACAAGGCAGTGCCTAATAAATAAAATTATATGTGACAAGCTCCACAAATGTAAATTGCTTAGCTTAGAGATTATTATAGTCCAGTTCTTATACATTATGTGACACTGTAATTAGTTCATCAAGACTGCAACTTGCTTAGATAACTGAATTTTGGGATTTATTTCCTAAGCCCATTATATGCCTCTGTAACCTTTTCCACCACAGATCACAGGATCGTATGGGGGTGGGCAAAAAATATAAAATAAAATTTAAAAGAAATTAGGGACCAAAATGTAACAAGGCAAACTATCATTCCCTTGATGAAACACACCAGCCATGTTGCACCTGACCACCACTAGATGCTGGTTCTGGTCACCTAACGTTCCAATAGCCAAACTTCTCATTGTTGCCTGAAATGATCCCCACAAGGAAAAATGGAACAAGACAGGGACAGGTAACAATTACCTAAGTAATTAATTACCTAAGTGTAGTTACAGGATGAGACTACATGGTGAGACTCGTGGTGTCCCGTCTCCCCAGCACTCAGTACTGTACCACTCAGGCAGTACAGTGAGGTCCCCACCAGAAAATGGCATTTCATTACATTCAACACCTGATTTCTGGAAGGAACCCCACAGTAGAAGATGGGAGATGAAGAAGAGGGTCAAGAACAGAAGAACAGTAACAATGTGCCAAGCACAATACTGTATAAGAACAGCAAAGCCAATGAACATCCTAGGTAAAACAAAAGGCCAACAACCAGGCAGACTTCCCAGAACAAGCCCCAAGCCATCAGAAATGGGCTGAGGACAGCCCAAAGGCTGGCCAACACCACAAAAATTTAACGGGTAAGAAAACCCATGCCAGAACCCAAAGCCCAGGAGTCCCTTACCCCAGTGATGAACCAGAAAGACACTGACAAGCATTTCTGGGATACCTTGGAAATGGAAAATTGTTGCAATATTCCCTTGTTATTTCATATGATGTTAGGAATAGTTAATGAATAAAATTATATAATGTCATTAATATACAGAAACTGAATAATGTAATAAAGTGAAATTACTAACCTTCAATGTCCATTTCAATATCAATAACAGATTTGCACGTGAAGCATGACAATCCGAGTGAAATAACTGCATAGTTGCGGGCAATATCTGCAGTGTACTGGTACCTCATGTCAATCTCTGGGTAGTTTAACAACTTGTGTTCACCAATGCCTGTCAGTTCCTGAAAAAGTTATTACCCTGTGAGTTTATCAGAAGACAATGACTGGAAATTAAATTTGCTATACACTGTACTATATTGGAGAAGAGTATAACTGTGTCAAACAAAGCTATCAAGAAGAAACTATAAAAACATTCAGAGCCTGATCAAGAAAGGTATCCCCCCAAGTCATCATATATAAGAATACAAATAATATTTACAAAAGAGAACTTTCTCATGTTTTGGTACAATACCTCTGTTTCCTGAGCTTGAATCTACGACCTCTTTCTTGAAGTTGCAGGTTTAAAAAATTCCTCTGTCTATTTTGTAAATTCCTATTACTGTTTTGTACTTGGTGATCATATTACCTCTTTTCTTTCAATCTTCTAGCTTTGGCATATTTAACATCTCTAGCCTCTCCTGGTAACTTTTGTTTTCAGTTCAGGAAGTCATTTAGTAGCATGTCATTGCAACTTTTCAGTTTATGTGGTTCTTGATATATGGGCACCATACAACTTCTGCATATTCCAATTCTGGTTTCACTTTTAAGTCATAAATAATTTCTTTATTTGAAAGAACACAACTCTCCCCTCCCTCTCTCGTAACGAGCTTTTATACCCGTCTATCTCCAATTTTCCGTTGAATGGATGGATTTGAATCTGGTATAATCCCAAATCTCTATTCAAGTCACCTCAACAACTGTTACAGACATATACTCCAAAAACTGCTGTACTAGAAAATGGTAGACTCTTGAAATTGATGTAATGTCAAGTTTTCTGTTCGTGGGTCCTCTGGTAGGTTAGGAAGAGGCACTTTAGTACAACAGTTTCTTGATGTTGAGAATGCTGGCGAGAATGGGCTGTCATGAGAGACAAACTTGCAGTATGCCAAATCGACTATAACTCATAAAGTACTGTACACTATGATAAAACAAGTGTTGCAAAAATTTATCACACATACTGTACACACAGAAATCACAATAGCGTGATATATCAAATGAACAAATCCACGAGGGCCGTGTCGAGGGTTCAAACTTATGCCTGATCCCAGATGCTGCCTTAGTCGACTGTACCATGACATGGTCAAAAGAATTGGAACCAAGAGCTCTACTGCCCTCACTCAGATCCTGTAGCCTCTCTGAGACACAAACCAGGGTTTTACATAATTCCCCCAAGCACTCGGGTTCTATCAACAAGCTTTTCTACCTCTTTGCCCTTACTTCAATAATTTTGTTATAAGTGTGTTGGGGGGTTACACCTTGGGGAGAGGGTCAGTAGTTCAACCTTGGGGAACCTCAAAACAATACAAACCTAACATTTTTTTTTTTTTTTGAGATATATACAAGAGTTGTTACATTCTTGTACAGCCACTAGTACGCGTAGCGTTTTGGGCAAGTCCCTGGAATATGATCCCCGCCGCGAAGAATCGTTGTTACAACCAAGTACACATTTTACTGTTGCGTTAAACAGAGGCTACAGTTAAGGATTTGCGCCCAGTAAATCCTTCCCGGCCAGGATACGAACCCATGACAAAGCGCTCACGGAACGCCAGGCGAGTGTCTTACCATTACACCACGGAGACTGGATAATTCATACATATATATATATATAGGCTGCTTCTGCCCCCAAAAAAATATTATAATGAATCTTTCAGATAGTTATATATAAGGAAATAAACGTTGCTGAGCATCAATTGTTCTACTTACACAATCTACAGCCACAAACGCAGCATCCTTTATGGCAGCCTGTATGGCTGGGAACACTTTGACAAAGTTGTCCTCACTGACTTCGATGATGGGCAGACTGTCGCCCATGGTGACAAGTGGCACTCTGCAGCCTCAACAACACACACACACTCGGGATGAGCTTGTCACCGAGCATCAGGGAGTGACGCGGGAGGAGCTAGACATGGGAGCTGTAGAGGAGACTGTAGAGTAGTGTGTGGAGGAGTCTTGCGGGGCAGGAACGTTTGGACTCAGCGGCCCACCATCACACGCTGCTATTTTAACACGATGATACATATCGTTAAACAGGTTTTTTTTAATTTCGTTACGTCGCGCAGACTTCACGGGGATTTGTTAAAAGTTTGAATAAGACGAGGTAATGTTAATACATTATTTATTGATAGCTTACTGAAGGAAAGATGATGTGTATTGTTAGGTGAAAATAACGTTTTGTTTACAGCGACACTGTGTGTAACAAGTCTAATTATCACCTTTAAATTTTATATCAAAATTTATTTCTCATATATAAATCAGATATTATTTAATTAAACGAACTTGATTTTCAAGCCAAATTATATAAAAATCAATATTATATTATCATTAAACTGACTTGCAATGCTTTACATTTAGGATTTCAATGTCATAAAACTTGTAAAAATATTCCTTGTCATAATTTCTGCACACTCTGGAAATTGTTAGGAAGCATATTAAAACCAACCTCACATATTAACCAAGCAGAGGAGTTATAATAATAAGTTATTACATGTTTGTCAGTTGGTGGCGCGAGCTGTATTATTGGAACGTTGAGGCGACGGAGTGGCAGTGTGGAGGAGCTGGCGTGGAGGAGCATAAGTCACCATGGAGAAGTATGACTCCCAGTGTTCCTACACCTCTGTCCCTCCACTATTGTCCCTGTCTGAGCCGTGTCCTCGTGCAGGTGGTGTGGGGGGACACACTGCCTCGCCTACACCACCTCGACCCTCGTCACCAGCAGCATAGTCTCGCAGCATTACATTTCTCATACTGACCTCTATGCTGTGTCCTCTCGTGTATTATCGTGGCAGGATGATCCCTCAGTATAGTCTCGCCCCATCACGCCTCTCATACTGACCTCTATGCTGCTTGTTGTTGTTACAGATTCAGCTACTCGGAACAAGTTCCAAGTAGCACGGGCTATGGTGAGCCCGTAACTTACCTGACACAGGAGCTGGGCAAGTAGCACGGGCTATGGTGAGCCCGTAGTGGACTTACCTGGCACAGGAGCGGTACTATGTGTGGCTCTATGCTGGGTCCTCTCGTGTATTACCGTGGCAGGATGAGCCACAAGCCAGGCAGCTCTTGAGTACTCCCGGATATGTCATAACTTTGAACTGGTTGTCTGATAGTTTGTCAAGTTGTAAGGCGTCTCGTTAATATTTGAGTTGTTGGGTTGGTTCTTGACGCTCATTCGGGAGTCCCGGGTTCGCCTCTTAATTTTCAATACTCCATATTACACAATAATGGTTCCCCGATACCCTGTACACCTTTTCATTACTCTTCCAACAGGTTGCAGAGTCTAAGGAAGGAAGGAATTAAGAGACTAAATAAGATGTGGCCTGTGTGGCCAAATTGTACGCAGGCATTGTGTATATATAGCTAATTTTTAAACTTGTATATTGAAAGGCAAGGTAGATTATTAAAATTCGTCGGCAGACTGGTATGAAGTGACCTGTATGTATGCAAACACTGTGAAGTAATTGAATGTGATGGTTGGTAGATTGATCAAGCAGGGACTAAAATTTACAAGGGGGCATATTGAATTAGAAATAGGACATTAAAAAACTTAAATAAAAATTCCTGGTTGAGACACTTGTCCCAGGTTTTGCTCTCTTTTTGGGGAAAAAAATCCAACATCTTGGACTTGAAGGATAAAGTGTTAAGTGATTGGACATAACAAGACTGGCAAGAGGACATTGTAGCGAGTAAACTTATACTCGCTCCATTATCTCATCATCTTAATGGCATAACTAATCACACAAGCTATAATCCTATCCCTATTTACAGGGATAGGATTATAGATCTGATCCTATCAGAAGGATCAGATACTTGATACTTACTAAGCTTAGTACTTATAAGCTTAGTAAAGCTTAGTACTGTAGTTGTAACTGTATTTACACAGGGAGCATGATTGCTTGTGAGGCACTTTAGGGGTATGTGTTTGGTAAATGTTCAGGGAAATTTAAATTTCACACATTGCAATAAATTTTGCATTTGCAGAATGGCATTGTACCATCTTTTTGATAATTACTTGGCTTTATGGTTAATATGGTCACTATCTTTTAGGCTGATTTATCTCGACCCAAAACATTTCATTATTAAGCCTGTTGAAGTAAATAAACCACAAATCATTTTCAAACTTGCTCGGTAAATAGAATCTAGTGTTTATCACAACTTAGTTGGTAAACAGACTGCAGCAAAATCATCACAGCCAGCATTGCAGCATTGTTTACTACTTGACAGATGATGCCAGGTGTCTTGGATAAAACTTAACAATTCAACATAATGTTAGTCCTTTCTCCTGCCCTACCATGGTGGTAGGGCAATGTTGATGGGCTCCTTTGGCTGCCTGATGGGTAGAAGCAAAGCCGTTTGTGGCTTGGCTAACTGTATCAAACATGTATGGAGAATTGTAAGTAGCCAGTTTCCCTTCATTGGTAAGTTGAGCCTAGCTAGTGGCTGTTGCTTCTGAGGGTAGGACAGCAAGCTTCTTGGCGAGGAGGGATAGGGGTAAAACAAGAGGTTCTGCGAGGCCTGGCTGAATCGGTTGGCTAGTCTGGCTAGCAGCCCTAGTTGGATTTGGGTCGAGCATGCAATCCCCCATCTGTTTTGTTACTCTGTAATCTGTTCCACAAGTTAAAAAATCTGATTTCCAAACCAATATTTTCCTTGGTCGTCTTCTGAATCTAAACTTATCCTATATGTATCCTTGTTGTTTTAGGGTCCTAGTAGTACAGTCGAGTTCGTTCTCAACTTAAATTTGGTAATTCTAGGTTCGAATCCCAGGCAGGACAGAAATGGTTGGGCATGTTTATCACCTAATGCCCCATTTCACCTAGCAGTTAATAGGTACCCCAGGAGTTATTATTATGGGGCTGCATCCAGGGGAGGGTCAGTAATTCAACCTTGGGAGGGATGTTGATATAAGCCTGTCATGTATGTATTTATATATTCTGGCTGCCTGTTTCCTGACACAATGAATTATTATTATTATTATTATTATTTTTAACAGCTTAATAATATCTCCTTTATTGTACCCTTTAATCCAGTTGTATACTTCAGTTATGTTGCTCTTTTTGCATTTCAAGAGAAACTTTTTAAGTACATTTTCATTAGGGAAGGCTTCTAATTTATAGACTTGGCATTCTTTTCTGCACATGTTCAAATTCGTGGGTTGTCCATTCAATAGTATACAGTAGTGACAAACATATGCATAATCTAAATGGGGCCTAACAAAGTCAAGTTGAAGCTGATGAATTGCATTAGTGTTTCATTGCTAATGTTTCCAGATATGACTCGGTATCCTATTTCAGACATTAGTATGTTCATTTTATTGGCTTGAGATCCCTCCTAATAACTTAAAGTATTATAACTCCTGATATATTGCATTCGCATTTAGCAGTTTGAACATTGACTGTTGTCTGATATTTATTGTCATTACATAGGCTAGGAACCCTACATTTGTCTGCATTAAACTATGCCAGTTTGACAATGACAGATGTAAAGTTCTCAGCCTAGGTATGGCAGGCACAATTTGCTGAATATGGGGAACTTTGTCCTACTACTGTGTTAGAATTTGACATCTCGCCATAGAAAAAATATTGTGCATGTACCACACAAAAAATTTAACTAGAGCTTGTTTCTCGGCCATCTGCACATTTCATGCAATTTTTTTGTATTGCAATACACCTAAATATTAATTTGTTTTATGTTTGGTCTTCAGGGAAGTCGTAAGCCGTTTAGTGTACTCGATGATACAGTTCCTCCAGTCACAGCTGGAAGGAGGGACAGGCGGGAGCAACCTTTCAGAGGAGGGCATAGAGAGTGTTGAGGTTGCTGTTCAGTGCCTTGAGACTGCTTATGGTGTATCACTGTCACAGAATGACTTGGCAGTATCCAAGAGTCTTTACCAAATATTTAATGAAGCCACCAAAGGAGAGGTTATAACCCTTGTCTTTTTATTATTGATTAGTAATATATGTTGTTTGAATTCATGTGTAACAAATCTGTGTAGCTCATGTGTAGTCAATCATAGCTTAGTGTTAATAGACTTAAAATCAATGATTATACATGGTAAACCAAGTTCTGCTTTATAATTGAATCATAAATAGTTTTTGATAATTGGGGGAAATGATAAATGCCAAAGTAATGGCAGAAAAGAAAGTCTTTTCTTTTCACAATGGCTATGCATTTTTTAGAATCATGATTAGGCCTATGACATGGAAAAAAAATTAGTGAAATCTTACAAATTTTGTTTGTCAACAACTTTTGATACCTAGCAAATGGGATTGAAATGTGCATCTTATCCAAGGAATTTGTTCATAGTCCCTTTACCGTAAATTTAGTATTGAGCAAATTAGAATTTATCTAGCTTTTCACAATATTTCATACCCTCTCTACCAAATAGATTTCCGAATTACAGGGTACTCGCTTGTTCATTTCCTGTACTGTACAGTTCTATGTACTGTACAGTCTTACTACTTTTTTGTTTTGTTTTCCCATATGCCACTGATATTTCAAGACCTCGATAACTTGCAGCCCAATTTAATGTTTAACATTCCTACCTCTTATCTTAAATTTTCTTTAGTGTTGCAGTGTACAGTATTTTAAAAATCCTACATGGATGCTTTGTCTACACTTACGAGGAAAATGTAATGGATTTGAATGAAATAAAACTATTAAACATAAATGAAATTGGAGAATAAAGTTCACAGCGGTATACTGTATATATATATATATATGTATACACACCAAAGACGAAGGATAGATATAGATAATATATATATATTTTATTAATTTATTTATTATACACTTCATCACATTGTTTAATCTTGCAGCCTGTCCGCGAAAATGCAACACGCATTACTTCTGTGAAAATGGAAAGTGCGCCTAAGGAAGCCACCCCTGAGGAAAAGGAAGAAGCTGAACAACTGAAGAATGAAGGCAATAAACTTATGAGGGATGAAAAGTTTACTGAAGCTCTAGATTGTTATACCAAGTGAGTTTTCCATACATTGTTTCAATTTGAAATGTTGAGCATGACGTAATCATTAGTGTACTTTAAGTGGGCAAGACAAAATGAGGCAAGGCAACAGAATCAAAATACTTGATGTTAGTGGATCTTTATTTACCTTCAAGGTGTGGCTATCATCAAAGTTGCCACCCTAACAGCTTAAAAAAAATTTGAAAGTATGTATAGAAAATAAAATAATAAACCTTCTGGTATTTGTCCACATTACGCTTTGATGGACACCATGACTAAACCCCCCATAATATATTTTGTTGTAAGGTTTCATGTGAAATATTGTATATTGAAATGGAACCTATTTCCAAACATAACTGAATACTGTACTTGCATATTCTTATACCTTGTGAAGATCTGGACCATGTAAGGGATATAGGAAACGTAATATTTAGGGAGGGATTATTGAGATGGAGTAGAGTTAATACAACATTGAATCTACATTCATCAATGTTGAAGTAGCTTTGCACTTTGATATTGTGCCTACTGGATAGAGATTTAGAAGCACCCAGGTACAAATAGCTAGGTGGAGGACCCCTAAAGCCTGATTTTCTTTCCTTTAAGACACTGATAGGCAAGTACCATGCACATCCATTCAAACATATTACCTACCATCTTTGCTTTGCAATCTGTACATGACTTTACTGCATTGTATTTTAAAAAATTTCATATTGTTTAAATTGTTAAATAAGCATGGCATAGGGGACTGGGAATACCTTCCTCGGATGGCAGCATTAAAAAAAAAATTTATTTGAAATTTATAGGAGGCGAACACAGTGCTGACAGAAATGTAAACACCAAACTCGGATAACACATTATATGTAGATATTACTGAATTCTGATTGTTTTAACCATACATTAACATTTTTTTGTTTTGAATAAAGCCTAAGGTTTATTTTTTTAAGGTTACCTGAAGACCATGCTTCTCCCATTTCCTTGGAGAGGAATTTGTGCTAATTCTTATAAAGAACACGATCTGCTCTTTCCTCGTGTGTGCTTTGTCTTTAGTCAGTTTCCGTGCCTAGATATAAAATTTATCCACCTCCTTTAAATTTACTTGTATGAAATGGACATTAATGAAAACACATTACTGTACAGAATGGTATATTAATTAAAATCTTTACTATTTTCAGAGCTATTAGTAAGGACTGTTTAAATGCTGTTTACTATTGTAATAGAGCAGCAGCTCACAGTAAACTGAACAACCAGCGAGAAGCAATCGAGGACTGCAAGCGAGCTCTTGAGATTGAGCCTCAATACAGTAAAGCTTATGGAAGAATGGGGTAAGAAGTTAAGTTCATAATGCCTACCTGGTGATGTACAGAATATTGCAATAATTATAAATGAATACCCTTGGGGTGGGGGGGTGAGTGGTCATTTTGGATAGGGACACGTCAGAAGTTTATCTTGATGCCCATCAATTTTTTTTTTTTTTTTGGGGGGGGGGGGGAATAATTATTTTTGAGTTATTCCACCTGACGGCTACCTAAGGCTGAGACAACTTTGTGGTCCAATTGGGCTGAATCATGCATAGAGCACATCAATAATCTGCACCGGTGTAAATGATTTCATAATGCCCTTGTGGAATTACATTAGTTTGTGATTGTCAACAGTTGACCAAGGAAACTGGGTTGAATAAGGGGTTAAATCCTCTCGCTTTAATGTTTGAGTGAAGTCCAAAAGGCAGTAAAATATCATTGTTTAGGTACTCGTCAAAGGTCAAGGCGAGAACCTTATATGAATAAGGTGTTCATATTGAACAAATTAGAAAAGATTGAGATATACTTAAAGATGGATACTATAAGTGAGAGAAAGTGAATATGTAGACATTAAAGGAACAAGCTACTGAAATCAGTAGATGAATGAGTGAGAGGAGATACTGTAGATACAAAATGTCATGGGCAGAGAAGATAAGAGAAGGGAGAGATTTTGTGACACAGTTGACAGAACCAAAGGACACATGGTTAAAATACAATAGGAAAGAAATAGGAAAAACATTAAAAGTTCTTCTTGAAGAATTTAAGGAGTAGGAAAATACTGTACCAGATTCTGCCATCGTCACAAAAACAACACAAAAATAAAAAGTAACATTCTAATAATATGTACATATAGTATAAGGAAGATGCCATACATATCATATGTGTACAGTATCCATAGGTGATTACCATATGTAAAATAGAGAAAAAGCAATTGAGAAGCAGGCCAATTATAGGGTGTTGACAGAGCCAGCCGAGTAAAAACATTACACAGCTGATAGATTATTAAAACTGATATAAGGGGGCTATCTTCTGTTTAATTATAATCTGGGTCTGATAAGTGAATTTACTATGTTTTAGTTGAATTTATTTGTAACTGTATAGATGATAATGGGTGCAGTCATTCGTTGCACCAGAACTGATTTTTAAATTGCATCCAATCTTCCATTGTACTATAAATTCAATAAATATATTCTTAGAAATGTAATCTTTGAACAGTGTGAAAAGAGGCATATATTTATAACACTGGCATCAAAGCTTCAAACTTCTTCAAAAGTTTGAAATTGAGGTACTTCAAAGTACCTCAAGAGTACAATGTCATAACAATTTGATATTGAGAGATATACATGGATCAGTGGATGGTTGGTCACCTGATTGCCACTCTGCAATTTGTGTAGTGTAAACATATTGCTGTAGATTTGTGTGTGGTAATCCAGGAGGTTAATATGGACCAACATGGTGAGGATGTAAATGCTGAATGATTATACATAAACATGCACGTTTACATAGTTCATGTATTGTGTAAATTATTTCTCTTAACAGATTAGCATATTCAAGTTTAAATGATCATCACCAAGCAAAGGAATGTTACAAGAAGGCATTGGAACTTGAACCAGACAATGATAGTTATCGAGGGAATCTTTCCATTGCTGAAGAGAAGATATTGAGAGAACCTCAACCACGGGCCAACTCTTTAGGTGGATTTGGTATGAATACAGTCTAGTACTTATTTGAGTAAGCACCTTTTTGCTCATGAATTATTGCATTTAATATTTGATAATCCATGAATGTGCTTCCATGGTATTAAATGTTAATTTACATTTCTTCTATCAGCGATTTTTTTTTTTTTTTTTTTTTTTTTTTTTTTTTTTTTTTTTTTTTTCTGTTGTATCTGTGGCGCATGATGACGTCATGCTAGATTGCAAATTTTCGTTTGGGCAGTTCTGTCCACTTGTTCGGCCTTCGGTCACAATAGTTTTACCAGAATAGGGGTTTGTTTTGGGGTGGCTCTGGGGAGCCTCCAGGACTCGTCCAGGAAATTGCATTTCATTACATTCAAACTTTTTTTTTTTTCTTTCTTTACTAATTGCCAAGTTATTTTTTCTGCTATATCTATGAAGTTTGTCAAAATATTTAGAACTGAATGCAGAAAAACAGGCAAATCAATTTGTGTATGCACGTTTATGCTTGGCATTGCTAAATATATTAAAGTATATAATTAGTTTAACATTTCCCATTTTCTGGGAGGGCTTCCCTCTGTATCTCTGAGGTATGTACCCAGAGTCTTCCAAACCCAGGTACCACACCAGACACTATAAAATCACAAGTGCCTACTGGAAACCTAGACCAGGATCTGGCCCTCCTCGTTAGTCATAACAGTAGTGGGGATACTACATCACCAACATTATTTAAGGAAAACCCACTGAAAAAATATTGCATAGCAACAAACAGCTGCTTGGACAACATTTACAACCCTAATTCGAACTATGTACACAATTGTCAAGGTCTAGTCACTAGTTAACTTCACAACTCTTGCCACCAGATGGCAGCCCCAGCAACCCAAGGACCTGGGGCAGCTACCCCCTTAGTTATTCATGTATTCATTACAATATTTTGTATTATGAGATGTGCCTGGCATAGGGACCCAGGGATCAAGGGTCGCTTTGCCTAGCATAGGGACCCTTGATTGGATGTACAGTAATGGAAAAACATTTATTATAAACTTGGGTGATTTTATTTTTATTCCTCCCTAAATTTTATTTCATACAGGACCTGGAGGTTTGCCATTTGGTCTGGGTAACCTTGCAGGGTTGGGAGGTCCTGGTGGCCCTGACCTCGCAAGCATGCTGAATAATCCTGCACTTATGAATATGGCTACACAGCTCATGTCAGACCCTAATATGCAAAATATGTAAGTGGTAAATTTTTGTTATATTCAGAAAAAGAATATACAGCCCATTTAGTTTAATCAATGTGTTTGTTGTGGGTGTGTGTGTTAATCATGAGCATCATTACTTTTGCCCCATTTTTCACTTTTATGAGATGCTATATTGAGGAGTAAGATCTAGCTCTTTATGCTCCCTTCTAGCCTTATATAACTGGCATATTTGTTTTCTTAATGTTTAAGTTATGTCATAATCTTCCCCAAAGTTGTGGACTGAAGTACCTTTGACAAGTTCTTTAACTCTCAAAAAATAAGAACAAAGGAAAAAGAAAACTAAGTCTGGTTTTATGATGTGTACAAGGAGACCAAGTGGCAGGGTTGTTGGAGCAATCACCATCAGATGTAATTAGCTAACAGTGGTGTGGGGTACAGGATTCAAATGTTCACCTGGTATGGTTTTTGTTCATTGCTTTGCTTACTTGTTTACAAGTAAGATACATCACAAGTCAAACATCACAGGCACATGTGATGTTTGTGTTGAATAACTGTTTGTGCACACAGTTGACCAAAAAACTGAGTACTGTATTAATCAGTACTTTAATACTGCATACTATTATAGGGTTCATACAGTACTATACTAAGTACAGCAATCTCCAGGATTGGAGTATACAGCCCCCAGTATTGAGTCCATACCTTGTCAAGCACAGGATGAAGGTTCCAATGATTAATAAGTTATTCTACAAAGTATAAAGTTCAAGAAATATTAGACAAAGAAATAGAGATTTGGTGTCCAGAGATGGGTGACCTAACCCTAATTAATTCCACTTTAATGCATCTTGATAAGGTGCATTAATTGTGAACTGAAAATCAATGCACAGCTTCTCACATAATTAAGAATATTTGAAAGGCATTCTCATTTCAGGATGAGTAGCTTCATGGGCAATGTCGGTGGCTTGGGAGGTCCTGCCACTGTCCCCACTGGAGCACCCAGTGCTCCTGCTGAAGCTGCTTCAAATGGTGGCATGGAAGCTTTACTTACTGCGTAAGTTGCATTCCTAGTTTATTATGTTTTACAAGATTTATATTTTTGAAATATTGCATACTCTTACTCAATGTTCGTTTCATTCTGGTCTATATTGTTCCATACTTAAAAGGTATGACTATTTTTTTAATGTTTATAATGTTATTAATTATTAACTGAAAATCAATGTTAAGCGGGATAACAATATAGCAACAATTATCTTGTGGAATAACAAATAACATACAGCAGTGAATGATGTGGAAGAAAATCCAGAATAGAACCAGTGACGAGCAGGAGTGCCATAGGCACATTCAGAGAACATTATGATCATCACAGGTCCACAGTTGTTCAATATCCTCCCAGCGAGTATAAGACATATTGCCGGAACAACCGTGGACATATTAAAGAGAAAACTAGATAGTTTTCTTCAAGGAGTGCCAGACCAACTAGGTTGTGGTGGATATGTGGCCTACTGGCCGTTTCAAGCATCAGCCTGGTGGACCAAACTCTCAAATAAAGCCAGGCTTGGGGAGTAGAATAACTCCCAGAACCACATCAAGCAGGTATCAAGTCTGTCAAATGTGAACACTTTTGCAATATCCAGAAATGAATGCTCTAAAATACAAATTATCCAAGTATGGTGCTGTTTATGCATGGTGTTACTGATTATATGAAATGTATCAACATTTAACCATTCCCCATTTTTTTCTGGAGAGTGCTGAATGGTGGTTAACTGTTGCTAGCCACACTGAGTTGGCTCCAAACCTATAATCCACATCAGCCCTTGCAAATCCTTAAGTAGGCTGGATTATATCTGGATGAAGTTCTGAGAGTTCTTCTACTCTTGACATGTGAAAGCTTGGTTCAACAGGCTCTTGCTTGGAGCGGTCCACAGGCCAGCATATCCACTACAGCCTAATTGGTCTCGTACTTTTTGCAAAAGTCGGTTGACCAAACCCTGAGGGCAGTGGTCAGTCGTTCACCAGATGTCAGACATGTTTGACTGCTTCCAGAGTTGCCAGCTTTTTTGGGTCCCAAATATTCTAGATAAGTGTTGACCATCCTTTGGACTTTGCCCTATGGGGGCCCATTTGCAGCCTAGGGAAGGCTTCTTGCGCGCACTATAACACAAAGCAAAATCTCTGAATTCAGTTTCTCGCCGAGTGTGAAGTACACACGAGCTGTAAACTTAATAGTTGCATTGTACAGTATTGTCAGTTTTAAATGTTTTTTTTTGTTCTAAATCTAATACTTTATTAGCTGTTCAAAAAATTAAAAAATTATATCACACACTGAGAAGTAAATTATGGTAATTATTTTAATTATTAAAGGATTGTGATTTACATTGCCTATGGTGAACAAATCTCAAAAGTGTGTGATTATCATGATGTTGCCATTTTAAATGTGTAAAGCTTTGGGGCTGGTAATCCTAACCTCATTTGACACTTTGCCCCAACAGTAGTGATACTGTATATTGTGTAATTGCACCCTTTCTCCTTAGGCTAGAACTTCATCTGAATCTTAGCTAGAACATTCTTTTAGAATTACAAGAACTTTTCTTTCAATATTCAGTGGGCGACAGTTGGCAGAGCAGATGCAGTCCCAACACCCAGAGCTGGTTGAACAAATTCGTCAACAGATGAACCGTGGTGCTGGTGGCAGCACGGGAGATTCACAAAACAGTAACGATCAAGATCCGCCCCCTCAGAGTTAACCATGCTGTACAGCTCAAGAGTATATAGGACCTCATAGCTACTTGCATTTAGGAGAAAGTGCTTGATTTGGTTTCACATATTTATTTTCCCATGTTGAGGGATTTGACTGTGCTGTATTCTAAAGTTCACAAATAATGTGCAGGTTACGTGTCGATGATTATATCGAATGATATGTGAAATTCATTATGTGTTTGTTTTCATCTTTAAAATATTGTGATGTTTCTAGCAAGTTGTTCAAACATAATTTGTACATAAAATTTCTCGCACTGAATTACTCACTAAAATAAGATTACATTATTTTGTTAAATTTCTTGAAGTGTTTTCATTTTGTCAATATCTTTCTTTAAAATAATTAATAAATTTTAAAGATATATCTTATCTCATTTTTTATATACCTCCAAATATATTGGCAATCATTCAAAATCTAATTATTAAGAGATAAGATTAATAATATAATCGCCTATTAATGTTTATAATCCAGTTCAAAGTAATATACAGCAGAATGTCTTATTTTGAAATTCTTTATTATATAAGAGTGAAATATTTAATTTAGGCCCTTTGCAAAGTGCTTGGATTGTTCATAGTTTAGTGCTTCTGGCTTGCATAGAAGTGACTACCAAATCCCAAGAGTACAGTATTTAGCAAAGGATTTGGAAGTAGTAAATATATTTTTCTGTTCTTGAAACCATGTATTTTGCATGGAGATTGTCAAGATTTTCACATTTTATCTTTTTTTGGCATTTTGTAAATTGTTGAATTAATCTGATTACTGATATATTCAGGAGGAATATATCTATAGACTTATATTTAATAATTGCTTGTGTTGCTAGTATGTGCGTGTGATCAAAAGAAATGTAGTTGAAATGGTGTTTATTTACCGGTGCATTTCTTGCATTGCTTGTTACAACTTGAATACAGCACCATTACTTATCATAAGTACTCTCTAAATTCTTTCTTGCAGTGGTAAATTTAATAATAAATATTGTACACTGCTTGCAAATTACAAAAGTAATTAATATTTAGATTGCTTGCTAGGTAATTTTTCACAATTTTTCCTTGAGTACAGGACAGTATGCGATGGAACCCTCAAACAAATCTCATATTTGTGAAAGATATCAATTTCAAATACAGGTACTAGAATATTCACTTAAAAGTGCTTGCCAGTTATGTGTAAGTCATTTACTGTCATAAACTGTAGTGGTTATCTAAAAATAAATGTTTACACAACCTTTTTCAAATGGTTAGCTGAAAAATTATAAAAAAAGACAAATGTGTTCTAGCAAGATAGCTTAAGTAATGTAACTGTGGGACCTCTGTACTGTAAGTAAACATTGTGCACATGTATGAAAGGATTTGTTACATATGATTTAAGAAAACTTGTTAAATACACTGTATATGCAAAGTATTTAGTGATTGCAATTATTTAGTTTCCTGAATTTTGTGTCGATATTGGTGCTTACATGCCTTTTTATTACATAAATTGTTAACTAAGATGAAGGTGTAGCCATTAATAAAGAACCTCTCGCTTCTTGCAAACAGATTTTTTTTTGAGATTGCAAGATCAAGGGTTTCCACTTGAAATGAAACTAAAAGATATTTGCAAGAAAATTATTGAGGGGTGAGTAAAGTAGAAGGTAAATTCAATTTCAATTAATATTTTCACTTTGTTCCCCCCACATACATTACTTCCAATTATCTTTGAACTATTCAAAGTTAAAAGGAATAAAATATCGAGTGGAGCCTCTGCTATGAAATAAACAAACATGTATATGTACAGTATATATAATTTATAATATATACAACAATGATCACAAAACATTTACTTGTGCAGAAAACCACAGTGAAGTAGAAAAGGAACTGTAATGTGTTTGACTGTTCAAATCATCTGGAGCAAGTGCTGATGAACACTTGAACAGTTGAAAACGTTACAGCTCCTTTCCCAATTTGCTGTGGGTTTCCATTTTGTATATATAAGTACAACACACACACACACACACATCCCTTAGGTAATTACACACAATAAAATTGATAGGGAAGAATTCATGAGACTATTCTCAGGAATTGAATTGGAAGAATTCTTTTGATAATTGACTTCAAGAAGAAGAGTCATAGATTTAAACTAAACAAAGCTGCCGAAGAAATATAAGAATTCACTTTCGCTATCAGAGTGATGATGGAACAAGTTAGGTGTGAAGATGGAGGCCAAAACCATCAGTAGTTTCAAAGCGTTATACCACAAAGAGTGTTGGAAGACTGGATACTATGAGCGTAGTTCTCGTCCTGTAACTAAATTGGGTAATTGCACACACAGGAGTTTGTGATGAGGCTTGTCCCAGAGTTACAAAGGATGGGTATGAAGAGCAGCTGAAGGAACTGAACCTGACGACACTAGAAAAAGGAGGGAGCAGGGGGATATGATACACACATGAAATACTTAGGGTGGATTGATAGTCGAAATAGACAAAATATTCACTCTGAATACTAACAGGACATGGGTGGAAGCTGGAAACTCGGATGAGTCAGAGAGAAGTTAGGAAGTTTTCTTTTAGCATTATTTAGTGCTGTTTTAAATATCCTGCAACTCTGATGGTGCTACATAGTCTCCCCTTGGTACCTTATTTTGATAATTACTGACAGAGCCAAGCAGCAAGGGTGAAATTATAGGGACGTGTGCTATTACAGGATCCATCTGCATGGATGCCATTACAGGGCCCAGCTGTCGGGAGTAGCAGCAAGAGTGACGTTATAGGGCCTAGAAGCACTGGCGCCGTTACAAGGCCGAGTAGTAAGGGTGCCTTTGCAGGACCCAGCAGCTAGGGGTGCCGTTTGTAGATTCCAATAGAAAGGGTGCCATTATTGCGCCCAGCTGAAAGTATTGTTACAGGGACCAGCAGCAAGGGTGCCATTACTTGGTCCAGCAGAAAGGTTGCTATTAAAAAGCTCATTAGCAAAGATGACATAACAGGACCCTATAGAAAGGGTGCCATAACAGGGCCTTGTAAAGGATTGCTGTTACAGGGCCCAGCATCAAGGGGTGCTGTTACAGGGCCAAGCACCAAGGGGTGCTGTTACAGGGCCCAGCATCAAGGGGTAACTGTTACAGGGCCCAGCATCAAGGGGTGCTGTTACAGGGCCCAGCATCAAAGGGTACTGTTACAGGGCCCAGCATCAAGGGGCACTGTTACAGGGCCCAGCATCAAGGGGGTACTGTTACAGGGCCCAGCATCAAGGGGTACTGTTACAGGGCCCAGCATCAAGGGGTGCTGTTACAGGGCCCAGCATCAAGGGGTACTGATACAGGGCCCAGCATCAAGGGGTACTGTTACAGGGCCCAGCATCAAGGGGTACTGTTACAGGGCCCAGCATCAAGGGGTACTGTTACAGGGCCCAGCATCAAGGGGCACTGTTACAGGGCCCAGCACCAAGGGGCACTGTTACAGGGCCCAGCATCAAGGGGGTACTGTTACAGGGCCCAGCATCAAGGGGTGCTGTTACAGGGCCCAGCATCAAGGGGGTACTGTTACAGGGCCCAGCATCAAGGGGTGCTGTTACAGGGCCCAGCATCAAGGGGTACTGTTACAGGGCCCAGCATCAAGGGGTACTGTTACAGGGGCCCCAGCATCAAGGGGTGCTGTTGCAGGGACCAGCATCAAGGGGTACTGTTACAAGGCCCAGCATCAAGGGGTACTGTTACAGGGCCCAGCATCAAGTGGTTCTGTTACAGGGCCCAGCATCAAGTGGTGCTGTTACAAGGCCCAGCACCAAGGGGGTGCTGTTACAAGGCCCAGCATCAAGGGGTACTGTTACAGGGCCCAGCATCAAGTGGTGCTGTTACAGGGCCCAGCATCAAGTGGTGCTGTTACAAGGCCCAGCACCAAGGGGGTGCTGTTACAGGGCCCAACATCAAGGGTTACTGTTACATTGCCCAGCATCAAGTGGTGCTGTTACAGGGCCCAGCATCAAGTGGTGCTGTTACAAGGCCCAGCACCAAGGGGGTGCTGTTACAAGGCCCAACATCAAAGTTTAGAGGACGTTTTAGGGCCCAGATACGAGGGTGACGTAGGGCTCAGCTGCAATGATGGTGTTAAGGGTCCAACAAAGGGACAGTGTTATAGGACTCAGCAGCGAACATGATGTTAAAGGACCCAGCCTCAAGGGTGGTGTTAAAAAGCCAAGCAACGAGGGTGGTATTAAAGGGCCCAACAGTGAGGGTGGTGTTAAACTACTCAGCAGCGAGGGAGGTATTAAAAGGCCCAGCAGCGAGGTTGTTGCTGAAGAACCCAGCAATGAGGGTGGTGTTAAAGGGCCCAGCAACGAGGGTGGTATTAAAGGGCTCAGCAGCGAGGGTGGTGTTAAAGAACCCACCAGCAAGGGTGGTATTAAAGGGCCCAGCAACGAGGGTGGTGTTAAAGGGTCCAGCAGCAAGGGTGGTATTAAAGGGTCCAGCAGCGAGGGTGGTGTTAAAAAGCCCAGCAGCGAGGGTGGTGTTAAAGGACCCAGCAACGAGGGTGGTGTTAAAGGGCCCAGCAGTGAGGGTGGTGTTAAAGGGCCCAGCAGCGAGGGTGGTGTTAAAGGACCCAGCAACGAGGGTGGTGTTAAAGGGCCCAGCAATGAGGGTGGTGTTAAAGGACCCAGCAACGAGGGTGGTGTTAAATACCCAACTAGTGTTTGGCAGCCCTCGCCCACCCGTTTGTTTACACCGCCCAGCTGATCACCTCCCGTCTCATCCATTGTGTCCCATGTATATTGTAATATCCATAGTTAACGCTCTGAAAGCCGTTAATAACATGTAATAAAGCGTCAAATGACTATGAAAAGTTGGAAGATTAATGTTAATATATTTAACGATAGGCTCTGGCATGACTGCGGAGTGGCGAGCGCCATGACGTCACACCCACTCAGACATCGCCATTTTCGACCAGTTGTGTGTGGAAGGCTGTGAGGGGAGGGTTAGCTGCCGGCCCTCTGAGTGCGTGTTGTGTTTCTTGTTGTATGGCCACTGGAACCCGCCCTAGTGATCTCTTATAGCATCCTACTCGCTAAATAATCGAACACCATGGCCGGGCAGTCCATCAACGACAGACTGACGGCAGCACGCTACAGTCTAGCCGGACAGGGGCTAGCCAAGTCTGTCTGTAAGGCGACGACAGAGGAAGTAATTGGTCCCAAGAAGAAACACTTAGACTGTAAGTATTGCCCCGATAATCAGTTCTTGAAGAGATAAATGGCCGTAGTTGTGATGGTTGTGCTTCACGCAGGTCCCGAGTCGTTTAAGTCCGTGAGACTTGGCCTCAAATCAATGACATTACATGATGGCTGCCTTGATGCATGCACAAAGTGTTTATAGGTTATTTAGCGTGTGTAGTTGGTGTGTGGGCGTGACTGGTGGAGACTGTATGGCCTCCGCTGGTATATAGGCTGTGAGAGAGGCAGCAGCAGAGGGCGGCTAACATTGACACTTGGTAGGCTCGGGTCGCCCTTGGTAATGAGGCGTGAGTGAGGGGCTCCCCCCCCCCTGTTTCTACCCCCCCCCCCTGCTCCTCCTCGTCCTCGCTTGTCGGCCTCGAGTGCACCTGAGTGTGTGTGTGTGGTGAAGGTTGAGGTGTGTGTGTGGCGACTGTGGGGCCACCAGACGGTGAAAATGGTTGCCACCATGTCCCGGCGGCGCTCTGTCACTCGGCTGAGTGGCCATGGTAGCCACTTGTCCAGTCATCACAACACCTTTTCCGCACCGTTTGAAGTATGGCGACGACCCCCCTACCGGATGTGCAGGGTGGCAGGGGATTAGGTTGAGGTACGTGAGGAAGTACCGTAGTGGGACACGTACCATTGGTACGGTGGTGTGTGGCAAGGACGGACCCGAGGAGGACGTCGATAGCCTTCCCTGGCAGGCTGTGACATCGCCTCGGGTCAACTCGGCAGGCCGCCCTCGTCTCTCGACTTATATTGTCGCTTAAAGTGGAGTCGGGTCGGGTATTGACCTGCCAGGTCAAGACCTTTGTGCACCCCCATACCCATCCTATGAGCGGTAGTGGAAAAAATGGATTATACAGGCCACAAAAGCTCTTTATCAGAGCTCATCGGAGATTATTATATTAACAATTTCCTCTATCCTTCACACCCTTATTATAATGTCAGGGAGTTAGCTATTGAAATAGAACATTCTCTATGTATTTAGTTAATCATTATACATTTAATGGTAGGCCTTGTCGTTGATAAATAATTGTTTGACTTATGCAGTTTACAGAATCATATGAGAGCTGCTGTTTATTATTAGTTTTTCACATTCTTCTTAATCTCATATGTCGTGTATTTAGTATAAGTAAAATATGGATACAGTGCAAGGATTTCTGATATTTGATCTTGGGGTAATAAGATGGTTTGCCATTTCGTTCAGCGTGAGTTTAGCTTTAATTCTAAATGGCCCAATTTTATTAGTCCAAGATATAATGCTAGTGCCCCCCTAGTGGAAGGCATGAAGCCCTGTGCTTTACGTGGCCATAATCTTTGGCTATGAAATGCACTACGCCCTCTCCCCCTCCGGTAGTCGTCGACGAAGGAAGATTTCCTTCATAGTTATATTTAAATGACGGGAGGCTGTGAGTGGGTGAGTACGATTGTGAGTATGAGAGTGCGATTGTGAGTATGAGAGTGCGATTGTGAGTATGAGAGTGCGATTGTGAGTATGAGAGTGCGATTGTGAGTATGAGAGTGCGATTGTGAGTATGAGAGTGCGATTGTGAGTATGAGAGTGCGATTGTGAGTATGAGAGTGCGATTGTGAGTATGTACGATTGTGTGTATGGGAGTACGAGTGTGAGTGTGAGAGTACGATTGTGAGTGTGGGAGTACGATTGTACGAGTGTGAGTACGATTGTGAGTATGGGAGTACGAGTGTGAGTGTGAGAGTACGATTGTGAGTGTGGGAGTACGATTGTGAGTATGGGAGTACGAGTGTGAGTATGGGAGTACGAGTGTGAGTATGAGAGTACGAGTGTGAGTATGAGAGTACGAGTACGAGAGTATGAGTACGAGTACGATTGTGAGAGTACGAGTACGAGTGTGAGAGTACGAGTACGATTGTGAGTATGGGAGTACGATTGTGAGTGTGGGAGTACGAGTGTGAGAGTACGAGGAGTGAGAGTACGAGTGTGGGAGTACGATTGTGAGTATGGGAGTACGATTGTGAGTATGAGAGTGCGATTGTGAGTATGAGAGTGCGATTGTGAGTGTGAGAGTACGATTGTGTGAGAGTACGATTGTGAGAGAGTACGATTGTGAGTATGGGAGTACGAGTGTGAGAGTACGAGTGTGATTGTGAGTATGGGAGTACGATTGTGAGTATGGGAGTACGAGTGTGAGTATGGGAGTACGAGTGTGTGAGTACGGGAGTACGATTGTGAGTATGAGAGTACGAGTGTGAGAGTACGAGTACGATTGAGAGTATGAGTGTACGAGTACGAGTGTGGGAGTACGATTGTGAGTATGGGAGTACGATTGTGAGTATGGGAGTACGATTGTGAGTATGGGAGTACGATTGTGAGTATGGGAGTACGATTGTGAGTATGGGAGTACGATTGTGAGTATGGGAGTACGATTGTGAGTATGGGAGTACGATTGTGAGTATGGGAGTACGATTGTGAGTATGGGAGTACGATTGTGAGTATGGGAGTACGATTGTGTGAGAGTACGATGTGAGAGTACGAGAGTGAGAGTACGAGTGTGAGAGTACGAGTGAGTATGGGAGTACGATTGTGAGTGGGAGTACGATTGAGAGTACGAGTGTGAGAGTACGAGTGTGAGAGTACGATTGTGAGTATGAGAGTACGAGTGTGAGTAGAGTACGATTGTGAGTGGGAGTACGATTGTGAGTGAGAGTACGATTGTGAGTATGGGAGTACGAGTGTGAGTATGGTAGTAGATTGTGTGAGAGTACGAGTGTGAGAGTACGAGTATGAGAGTACGATTGTGAGTATGGGAGTACGAGTGTGAGAGTACGAGTGAGTAGAGTTGTGAGTATGGGAGTACGAGTACGAGTGTGAGAGTACGAGTGTATGAGAGTACGATTGTGAGTATGGGAGTACGAGTGTGAGAGTACGAGTACGATTGAGTATACGAGTGTGTGAGTATGAGTGTACGATTACGAGTGTGGGAGTACGATTGTGAGTATGAGAGTACGAGTGTGAGTACGAGTGTACGATTGTGAGTGTGAGTAGTACGAGTGTACGAGTGTGAGTGGGAGTACGATTGTGAGTATACGAGTACGATTGTGAGTACGGGAGTGAGATTACGAGTATGGGAGTACGATTGTGAGTGTGAGAGTACGAGTGTGAGAGTACGAGTGTGAGAGTATGAGTGTGAGATTACGAGTATGAGAGTACGATTGTGAGTATGGGAGTACGAGTGTGAGAGTATGAGTGTGAGAGTACGAGTGTGAGAGTACGATGTGTGAGTATGGGAGTACGATGTGAGAGTACGAGTATGGGAGTACGATTGCGAGTATGAGTGTACGAGTACGAGTGTGAGAGTACGAGTGTGAGAGTATGTGAGAGTACGATTGTGAGTAGTGGGAGTACGATTGCGAGTATGGGAGTACGATTGCGAGTATGGGAGTACGATTGCGAGAGTGGAGAGTACGATTGCGAGTGTGGGAGTACGATTGCGAGTATGGGAGTGACGAGTGCGAGTATGGGTGTACGATTGCGAGTATGTGAGTACGATGTGCGAGTATGGGAGTACGATTGCGAGTATGGGAGTACGATTGCGAGTATGGGAGTACGATTGCGAGTATGGGAGTACGATTGCGAGTATGGGAGTACGATTGCGAGTATGGGAGTACGATTGCGAGTATGGGAGTACGATTGCGAGTATGGGAGTACGATTGCGCACTCAATTTCCACCTGTGTCCCCTAGTACGTGTGCCTCTTGTGGTAAATAGCCTGTCTTTATCTACCCTGTCAATTCCTTTGAGAATTTGTATGTGGTGATCATGTCACCTCTAAGTCTTCTGTCTCCTAGTGACGTAAGGTTTAATTCCCGTAGGCTCTCCCCGTAGCTCATACCCCTCAGTTCAGGTACTAGTCTGGGGGCAAACCTTTCAACCTTTTCCAGTTTAGTCTTACGCTTGACTAGATATGGACTCCATGCTGGAGCCGCATACTCCAGGTATACATGACATATGTGGTATTCAAAATTCTGAAAGATTCCTTACACAAATTTCTAAAGGCTGTTCTTATGTTAGCCAACCTGGCATATGCCGCAGACGTTATCCTCTTGATATGAGGTGCAGGAGATAGATCTGGCGTGATATCAACCCCCAGGTCTTTCTCGCTCTGAGACTCTTGAAGTATTTCATCTCCCAAATGATACCTTGTATCTGGTCTCCTGCTCCCTACACCTATCTTCATTACATTGCATTTGCTTGGGTTAAACTCTAACAACCATTTGTTTGACCATTCCTGCAGC